AAATAGATAAAACATTTACCTGACCAGAAATATTTTTGATCTCTTATGTAGGATTTAATCTAGAGGGATGAATGTTTCCTTGCCTTTAAAGGTAACTCCATGACTTCTCAATCTGTTGGTTCAAAGTGGTCTGCTATTTGACTCAAAGACACATTGCCAGGTGCTGAAACCTGGAAGTTACAGGTCTAGCCCTCCCTAGTGGCTGAAAATTACACAGTGCTGCCTTGTAGTGTTTAAAAGTTATGTGTTTTACCTTATAATAACAACTGACAAAGTTAATTAACATTTTCAGCATAAAATGCCAAAGAGAATTAAAATGCAGGAAAATGTCTATACTGAACCTTGGCCATTCAAATATATCTATATTAACTTGAATTAAATTAAGTTTTATTGTAACTCTGGCTGAATAATTATTGTTAATTTCCTTCAAATAAGGTCAAGAAGATTCAACTTTTCTGCTAGTTTCAAATGTTCGTAATAACAGATGTATTCAAAGCATTGCAGAAAAGGTTCAGAATTGAAGAGCTCATGATCACAAGATAAATCAGTTTACTTTAGCTTGAGATTAAGCCTCAAGCTCTTCAATCCACTTTAAGTATCTTTCATGCTCTCTTCTTCTATACTGTGTTTTGACTTTACACATGCACATACTGTAATTTCCCTCTGGGATTATTAAAGTATGTCTGATTCTGATAAATGAGCTCTTGACAGAGCAGCTGTTACAACTTGATTTTTACAGAGTAGTTCAAAGGTAAACTGTACCTGTAGTGTCAGCACACAAAGCTGAAGCCTCTTGGACTTAGCCTCAAGGTTAGGCTGTACCTCCAGTGGGGACACTTCAAGGTTTTCACACAGATCAGCTGGTTGGGGAAGAACAGCTGACATGTAACAAGAGTGGGGGAAAAATCTGAAAATATATCAATGTGTATAATCCATACCTTTGTGCTGTTTAGTTGCCTTGGAGACGTGCTTCATTACAACACCCTCTATTCCCTTCTTGATGAGCGTTGGAGAAGCAGAGACTAAACTTAGCTCCTCCCAGCTCTCAGCCACCTTCTGCTCCACCTTTTCATCTTCTGCTGCACGGCCTGCCCGCTCTATCAGCTAAACACAAACATTCATTTTTCCAATCATCAAGTTGAAGAGGCACAAACTAAGCATACGCTAACATGACCATAAAGGAAAACTAGGTTACACTATAAACCTGAGGTGCTTTTTGCACCATTACATTGTAGTTAATATCCAATATTTCAAGTGAAGAAAGGGTTGTTTATGAATAAAATTCTAGAACTATAATAGACACACAGATTGATGATATATTGAATGTTAATGTAAAATCAGTACTTGAATAGAAAATGACATAACCAGGCATTTTTAGTATGGAAAAGAAAAAGTAGTCACAACATTAGATGACCTTACATAGATTCAAAAGAAAGTTCAAGTCAATAGCAATAACCTCATGTGACATCAATGGGATTCATGAGCAGAAGCGTAATTAAAACTAAGCAATCAGCTCTGGCAGCGGATGCTACCAAAAGTGAAAAAGTTCTTTATGTCCTTAAGGGCAGATTATGGTCCCATCTGCATTACAACAAAACAAAAATCCCAGAATGTCAGAAAAATTATGATTCTCCATACAAATTTAGGTAATCTATCTAATGCCACCAGTTTAAAAGTGCAAGTTGTCTCAAAGCAGTTTATGAATCTAAAAAAAAAAAAAAAAGTTTTGATTCAATCATGAACACAGATTCAATGTAATAACTTTCCAAATTGATCACAGTTATCCAACAACGTGTTCAAGTTTAGTTTATCATTCAAAGTGTTTAACAAGTGCCCGGCTATCACTTCTTGGAAGAGCATGAATTAACAGCAGACTGTCACTTGAATTGTCAACTTAGCAGCAATCCCTCATGGTTAGAACCTATTTCTGGTTTCAATAAGATGTCGGCACTGACATGCACTAAATAACAAATTAGTTCTGCACATCCGTGCAAGCACATCTGTGCTTGCCTTTGAATATGCTTGGTAAACAAACTGGGAGAGACGTAGTAATGTGGCAACAACAACCACCTCAGGAGCACTTACCCGTTTAACTGCTAAGGTAGCAATGCCTAGCAGAGCAGCACCACCGACTCCCAGAACCAGCCGAGCGTTAGCCAGCAGGAAGTCAATCACCACGGCAATGCCCTCTTCTCCTCTTTTCCGACTGCCCTGAAAGCTCATGGCTTCCTTTCTGTGGTTAGCCTTTGAAAGAACAAAAATATCCAGGTATATAGAATAAAAAACAACATGTCTTTCAGGACAAGAACAAACTGGCTGCCATTTATTTATTTGTTAAAGGTTTTCTTACTTCGGAAATTCAAAATTCTGAAAATCTGACAATTGATTAAATAAACTTGGATCAGAACTGATCTGTTACAAAAATTAAACCAGAGATCAGCTGTGTTTTAGTTGCAGATTTGGTTGTTTGATCCCCATGGTATGAAAGTGTTGATTTACTGCTCTACACATATTTGGTCCAATAGAAAATGCTCCATATAGCAACCAAGGGTCACTATAGATGCCAGGATCAAATGTTGTCCAGACAAATTTATGTGACAGAACAGACAGAAATCAGGAGTCCTCTTAGATTAGAGTTTGGGGGGGGGGGGGGGGATGATCCAAACACATGATCAAATTCTGTCTCACTTCTGACAACGACACATAGATCAAGTGGCACAATCATTATCAGAAATTTGTCAAATAATCTGCTACATTACATACTCTTAGCAAAACAAAAAAGAAGCCAATCATGCAATGAGTTTTGCATGCTCAATTTATAAACAGAGTAGCTACATTAGTTCACAGCAAGCTGGTTTAAAAGAATCTTCCAGGTCAAGTTATAGTCTGTACAGTAAAAAAAATATATATATATATATATATATATATATATATATATATATATATATATATATATAAAGCTTATAGTTTCAAAGACTACATCGTTTGAGGCCCAGTTCCATAAATAAACTAAACTAAAGCCCAAACAGCAAGCTATATTGTCTTGAGAACAATAACAAAGGTCAAATGGTATGAGGACCAAGTTATGCAATTCTGTCGATACAGATATAAAACCCTCGAGCTAAATAACATAAATGCGCAGTAATACTTAGAGGATGTTGTCCAATTTTCCCCTACAATACCAACGCTAACGTTTCTAGCAGCAACTGTTAAGCAATTTAGCTACGTTAGCTGTGAATGACAGCTAAGTGATTTTAGGTGTTAAAAACACTGACCGCTCGTTGCAGACAAAAATGCGTCCTTCAGAACTCAAACCATCAGTCTTTAATGAAATTAAAAACGTCCTCAGCTGTTGTTTAACAATAGAACACCGCAGTTCTGTCATTAGCATAAACATTTAACAAACAGCTGTTCGCTCCGTCTTCTTCGTGTGTTTGAATCCTCTCGCGATGTTTTTTGGATAATTAACAGCTCCCTCTGGCGACAAACTGATGGTAATGCAGCAATTTCGTGATTATAAATTCAAAATTCCTTTTTTTTAAATGCAGCAGAGGCAGGTAGTAACTGGCTTCATTTACCTTTGTAATTATTAGGTAAAAATGACCAGCTTTGGCCCTCCTTTTTACTTCTACTCGAGTCATATTGTTTTAAAATATGACTACTTTTACCCAGTGTTACTTCACTTAATGAGGAACTAGGATGTTTTAACCAGAAAACGCACCAGACATAGATGCACACAGACAAATGTTTAGGTTAGCATTTATGTTTCCACATCAGTTTTTATAAATATTATTTCATTTTCTATCTAGTGAGACAAAAAACTGCTCATGAGTTACTGTAACATTTAATTACCCTTTGGGATTAATAAAGTAACAACAGCAACTTAAAATGTCAATTTCCTCTGTTGTATTTTGTAATGATCTTATTTCAGATTTTTTATTAGGATTATATGCAAAGTAACAACCAGGTCTTGTCTTTATTTTCATGGATTAATTTCTATTAACAGGATGGTCGCATCTAAATTTACATCTATTCCTTATTCATCAATAGTTTTCAAACAACATGTTAACTATCTTACAGAATCTGCAGAGAAAATAGCTCTAAGAGAGCGACAAAACCCGTTGGTAGGTTTACTTAATGCACCTCTACCCAAGTTAAAGTTTAACTCTTTGCAAACACACAAACTAAGCTTTTATCTGTTGAAAAACAGGCCAATACAACAGGGTTGGGTAACATTCTGAATACTGATCGATTCAAGAAACCCAAACTGGACCTTTAACCTAGAAACAAAGAGTAGAAACACATTAAGAAGTGTCAAACAGGCCAGAAACCTCAAATAACTCTCCTAATTTGAAAATGCAGATATAGGATGTTTCTTTTAAATGGGAATCATGTTGATTACTTGCATGGTACACACACTGTGGGCTATAAATATTGACCTTTTTCCAATGAATCCATTTTGGTCTGCACTTTTTACACCACTAAGGATCCCAGGTTTGGTTTGTGGAGATAACCTTTAACCAAGTTCGTAAGTGCAGCAGAGCTTCACTCATCCTGTTTTTAGAAAGTAATTTCTCCTGTGACCTGAGGTTATTTTTATTCATGTGTAACTCCAGACTAACCTAGTTGTCTGCTAAGGCAGCACCTTTACCAAATATGGTATCTAAGAAACATGTTTATGCAACAATCCACAAATGCAGATTTCTTCACAGATATTTTCAGACATAAAATACAAATTCCTTTTAACAGAATACATTAAAAACAGAGTAATATGAGGAAAAAGTGGATTTATTAAGGAACAGGAATGACATGTTTCATGTCATAAAGTATACAGCGGCCTTATACAGAGGCAGGAGAAAGTATCATCTCCCACAGAGCATTCGCTTAGCTCCTGTAACAACTCAACCTAAATTAACTAAAATCATAAGTCATAAAGCAGAGATGAACTCGTGCCATATACATCAACTTATAACTGAAATTTGTAGCTTAATAGAATAAGTAAAAGTAAAAAGAAAAGATTTGACATGATGCAAAGGTAATGGATTTGAAAGGATATAGAGAACACAAAAAACAAGATCGGTCTCCATAAAACCCCCAAATAAAGACTGCTGATTTGTACATTATGAGGTTAGATTACAGCCTGGGTTTGCTTCTGTACAGGTCCATATGTCCAACTGTCCTTTAGTTTTCAAGGTAGAAAAAATACATGCCTTTTCCGATCCTCTATTAATACATAAACAAAGAAATGTTTAATTTAAACTAACTGAACTGTTAAACAACAGACTCTTACTTTAGTAAGTAAGGTGAGGTTTATCATAAGCAGCAGAAAAGCCAGTTTTATCTGCCAGAAAACAAACATTTTTTAGACTCAAATAAAACTCAAACCTAGCTGAGGTTCTTGCATCAGAATAAACTGGACCATTCAAATAACAATTGACCAAAGAAACATAAGAAAAGTTACAATACTGACGTAGATAAAGGAGCAGAAATATTTTAGTAAGTGAACAAGCGTGTCAAAGAGGTGCTCAGTGGCGTCTCATTTTGACTTTGCGCCCTGAGCTCTCCTGATGTTTGTCGTGGTCTTCATCACGGCTCCTGTAATTTTCTGAGCTGGCACCGCGGCGAGGATGGCGGGATAGTGAAGGATGTCTGTTCTCCTCCTTATCCATCTCCAGGACCCTTGGCCTGGTAACACAAAAATGGGAATAAAAATCGAATTTTAAATAGAATATAAATCAGTTGTATGGCCGATGAAACTAAATCAAACATTTGAATAATTAGTTATTTAATGATGACTTCTTTTCCCTTAAACTAAATCATTAATGGACTGCTGTTATTATTTACTCAAACCTTTTGCCAGCTAATGCTTGCTTTGTCAAACACTATCCCTGAGACACTCAAGATCCTATCATGACCAAGTTATAAGTTTCAGTTAAAACGGAACTTTGTGCAAATGCTCCTTTAATTTAATGTTAGTGTTTCAGATAGAAAAGACCAGAATTCATTCAGTTATGAATGTTTCCTATTCTCTCTCCTACGTAATTTTTTTGGGTTGATTTTTGAAAGTTAAAAGAACAAAACTGAGCAAAAAAATAATAAAATGCCAAAGTCACAACGTACAACCAGCCTTTCAGTTATAAAAATAAATAGGGATCCACTTCTTTTCTGTTTATCTTGCTTTAAGAGACTATAGACCATTTAAAATGCTATAACTGCCTTACAGGTCAAGCAGTAAACTTTCCAAAAAAATTTAAAAAATCTAAGGTGAATACCTGTGAGCAGCATCCGGGTCTGCTTTTCGATGAGAGCGCTTGGCTTTGAGAGGAGCGGGTCTCAGTGCAGGAGACGAACTTAAAGGGCTCTCAGAGTCCAGCCGAGGGGCATCGGGTTTAGTTCTGATAACGTAAAGAGATCAAATAGAATACACAAGTTTAAAAACATTAAATAAAAGGACATTTCCCCTGAGCAGTTGTGTTCTACAAACAGGACACCGACTCACTTTCTGAGGATGATTACTGCACGTCTCTCCTTGATGTCCTGAGGCCTGATGCAGTGAGTGATGTCATCAGCAGCATAGCCACTGTGAATCAAAAGAAAAGCTTTTTTTTCAGCTACTGAGTCATGGAAACACATGGAAACACACTTCATCTTTTTTTTTTTCACATTACAACCACAAACTTGTATACAAAGTATTTTAGTGGAGTTCATAAGACTCAAGGTAACATCTAAATAAAGTAAAATATGATGAAAATGTTATTCGACCAATTAAATAAAATAAAGTAAAAGCTAATATATACATTTATGATGCACGGACTGATGCTCCTAATGAAACAAAAATCTGGGTTGGTTAAAAAAAATGTCTCTACCAGAATTGTGCATATAAACTAATAATATTTTTTTCCTCTTTGCAGCAAATACTTAGCCTGATAAACCAGACTGAATGTGAGATTAAACGTGTAATTCAGTCTGGCCCCGATGAATGAAAAATCGTAACCGTTGTCTTTCAAACCATGTCTGAGCCTATTGGCCAACGCTCTGACCAATGCGTGCAAATGACTGAAGTAGAAAGCTGGTGGGGGAGTGTAAACAAACGGCGTGTGATGTGAGCAGTGGATAACTTGTTGAGATCATGGAGTTGGACTATTGTTGTTGTGCAAAAAAAGACATGCGAGTAGCCAGTGTACTACACCACTGTACACAACGTTTCCAAAGTTCAAATCAACCGTTTTCAGTGGCAAAAAGATTACAGAAAGTTGGAGTGAACGTTTCGATTACACCGGGGGGAATTCATTCGAGTCTGTTGAGCATGTACAACGGTGTTGAATAGACTGGAAAGAGATCTGCCAATTTAATGGAGGTGGATTGAAAACGGGGTGGAAGCAGGTGCCCCTGCAGAACGACAGCTGCTGAAAAGAGAACTCGGGAGCCTACTTCCTCGAAAACAGAGTCTTTAAAAAGCTCCGCCACAACACAGACGAGCCAAGGATATCTGTCGCTCTTCCGTGGAATATAGCCAAGGTAAATTGACATTATCAGTATATAATTACGACCTGTGAAAATCTAACTGCTTAATTTTCTAACAGTCATGCACCGTAGCTTTAGTTTCTTGTTGTGCTTTCTCCAGCGTTGCACAGCTTTGTCGTCCCGCCCTCAAAACCCTGCACGCTTTGCATCCAGAAATTCAAAACACATCTCTTTGTTGTGATTGGCCTGCCAGTTCTAGGGCCTGGGGCATTGATAGAGGCTAGACCAAAGTCGCAGGCGAAAATTATTTTGTCCGCTGGCAGGTGGGGCTAGTCTAGTAAGCTAGCAAACACCAAGCTCAGTAATACCTCTTTCCCACTGGCCTAAGAACCTGTTTAAACCCGGGAACAATCAGCTATTAGCGACAGTGGGAACAGCTCACTGAACTATCACTACCCGGGTCAAAAGACTTGGCAAGCGACCCGTGTTAAAATCACCATTGGGGAACACCAGAATGCCCACTAAATTACGTATCACCATTCAGTGCAATGTACGGACATCACACCGCTCTGGATGCTTATGATCTAACAAGCCAAAACGACTCCGTTTACATTCGATCAACACTGGTGGGAGGAATTCGGAGGGACAAAAGAGCAAAACAATAAAGCACACTTATTATGCCCTGGCTTCCTTACATGTTTCTCTCCATTGTTTATTTTCTTGATTTCTGACATCATCAGCGCTAACCCAGCGTGATGGTGTTCCCAGACATGCAGCAGCGGGGGGGAACGGAGGCCATGCAGCTCACCAGCGAGGGGTTAGATCCACCTTTCTTTGCCAGTGGGAAGGGAGCCAAATGCTGATTGTTAGCAGGTCGACCCTTACTTGAAAAACGTTAATGTCCTATCTTCAGTGTGAAAAATGATTAAGACTAGGCCATTACAACATAAGCCTGTAGCTCAGGCTGTACATTTTATTTCTGTTCTTCTGTTAAAAGATTAACCTAAGGATCAGTCTTTTGCCAACTGTTAAAGCTCCCCTGCCTGCACCACCCCATATTTGGTAAAACCAACCAACAGCAGAAAACTGCAACCATCATGATTCATTCAGATATGGTTCTTTGTTTTCTGCTGGCGAGTGTTGGTCTGATTGTTCCAAAAATATTATTTTCCATGTTCCTGATTCTTCTCTCATTCAACAGTGGATTTCCTCATCCCACAGTCATCCGTTACTGTAGAGTGTAGAACTCATTCTTGCCCATAATGTCCAACTCTATCTCTGCAGCTCCTCCAAAGATTAACACTACCCTCTTGACTGCCTCGTTGACAAATGTAATCCTTACCTCCTCTGCATAGTTAGGTAAACCTAACATGTTTAACATCGACACTTGTTCATAAAATCACATATTAAACATCTAATGTTTAAGGATGTTTTCTGAAAATTTCATACCATGATATTTACATATTAGGACTGCAACTAATGATTGTTTTGCAAATAGATTAATCTGTTGATTATTTTTATTACATAAATGGATTAATATTCGGATATGAAAAGGTACCTCAAAGAGATTTTTTTAATGAAATTAAACCTGGTGAAACTAAAACAGCTAAAGGCTAGTTTTAACGATTAATCAATTAGTTGACGATTAATTCAATAATCAATTAATCACATTACTCTGATTGTTTCAGCCCTATATGCAGCACAAACTATGAATTTTTTTTAAAAAAAAACTATTATTGCATTTATTTTCACTTCAGAAACACGCAATAATTTTTAATGACTCATACCTTAAATCCAAATGGAATAAATTCAAGTCAGTGATAAATGAGAAATAAATATTTAAAGAAAAGAAAAAAAACTTTTGCTAGGCCCCATTACAGATAAGTCATTTTCAATAAATTCATATTTAAATTATGGTTAGGTTCATTGCTCAGATTAAAATTACTTTTAAAAGTGATCAAGGATAAATTTAGACTTCTGATTTTAAAATACTTTCATTTGATGTAATACTGTAATAAAAGAAACTAAAGGGTTTTTTTAATAGCTGTAAAAGTGAGTAAACTGAGAGGAGCTTTTCACTGATGTTTTGTCCTGATTGTGCAGTGATTGTGAGGTATGGCAGTGCTTACCTGAGCACTGTGACACTCCCTCTCCTCACAGGCAGGACGAACACCGGCTCTGACACCCGGATCGGTTTGAACTGGAAGCGGCAGCCGAAACACAGCGCGCTGTCACTGAAGAAGGACACCGAGACGATGGGCCGAGCGAAGATGTGGAGGGGGTCCACGTGGGACACGATGCATCCACCCGGCTGGTAATCGTTGATCACCGCGCTGTTGACGAACCCCTCAGGAATCACCCCGTTGGACACCAGGCGCTCGATCACCAGCTCATGAACCCAGCTCGGGATCTCGTCCACCTCTCCTTTGCGGTACAGTCGCTCCTGGCCCGGCCCGCGCCTCTCCAGCTGGGCACCGTACGTGTACCCCTCCCCAAAGAAGTACTTGTTTCGGAGGGGCGCCCTGTCCACCGTGTGCTCCCGGTACAGTCCAGCCTCTGCTTTAGCGACCACCTCGTCGATCTTCTCCTCGATGCGGCCGCACTCCTCCGGGGTGAAGATGCTCCGCTGTAGGACGCTGCTCCTCACCCGGCGGGCCTCCTGCTCCCGGAGGTCAGCGCTGTCATCGCTATGCTCGTATTCGTCGTCGTCCGACTCTCGATACTTCCGCTTTCGACCCTTCTCGCTGCCGTTACTCGCCCGGAATTTGTTCCCGTAGTCATCCCGGTGCGGAGTCATGGACTTTAGCTTCTCTCTCAGGTCAGAGTATCCGCTGGCTGCCATGTCGACCAAAACAATATGATCGCCGTGTTGCAAAAACGTTTTTTTTTTATTAAACAAATTAACGCACTTCAATTATGCGTTTCATCACAGATTTACTACAGTTCGATCGCGATGCACAAACTCAGAATAAATTGCTACAAGAGTCCATTAAGTCTCACACATAGCATCAACAAAAGTAGCCGATGTTAGCTAGGACTCCACGTTTAGCCTTCGCGTTGAAGCATTGCTCCCATTTAAAAGTTCTGAAGTCGATATATCCAGGAGTTGAGAAAGAAAGAGGGTTGTTATTAAATGCTGCGTCAAAAAAACCCTTACTGCGCTCCTTTATAGCGATGGAGCAGCCAACGGTGTTAGCTGATAGCCGTTAGCTCGGTTAGCCTGGCTTGGTTACTCCTTCGCCGCCTGGAATTACCGAGAAACCACGCAGCGACATGTCACCACCAACATTCCCAAGCTGGAAACTTTGTCGGCTTTTTTCAATGATCCATAAAGCCTGAAAAAACACAGTAACTAAATAGTTAATAAAATGCGAAGCTAAACACACCTCCTCAGCCCGTCTCCAAGAATAAGCCTGAATATAAACTCGTGTAACCTGCCGACGGTCTGCGCATGCTCAGTGGGGATTTCAGTTTGTGGGAGGGACGCTCTGTGAGGCTAATTTTGTCTCACCATTTAACTACTCACCAATAACATTCTCTTTGAAAATAACTTATCTACTGTTCTTTGTTCTATTATCGATTATTCGACTATATTAGATTTTTAGGGACCAAATATGGAAAAACATAAACATTTGGGGAGTGGCGGCCTAGTGGTTAGGGCATGAAGCTTGGAATCAGGGGCGTAGCCAGAATTTTTTATAAGGGTGCCCAGGCAATAACCAGTGTACACTGAGGGGTGGCCAAAAGTGGGTAGGCACGGTCAATCTGCACTGTTGCAATAGGAAAATTAACAAGCAAAACATCCACATTTTCTAAATAAAGGCAAACTATACTTTCCCACAGCCTTTGCTAACAACTAGACGAATATATTCAAATATCCATGCTTTTTAAATAGAAGGTATAGTGGATAAAAAGTTTGAGTTTTGGGTGAACATCTTTTCCATTGTCATTACTTACCCATTTTTATCAGTAATCATCCTGCATAAAATTGATATTTACAAGTACTAATACCTACATAAATTGATTATTTAATATGTTTTTATTAAAATAGTTAAAATAGTTATTTATCTATGATTTCACTGAAGACTCCTAGATGACTTGCAGAGACACATAATTTTCTCTTTACTTGAATTCTGTACTTATCATTTTTAATGTAAGTTTATTGAGGTGCTTAATCAATCACAGTGTTTTTGTTCTCAAGTAATTGTTAATATATGAAAAATTAAAATGTTTTGAATATTCCACTTGAGATTATAACTGTTGCCTCCATCTGTATTAGAGGGAAATAAATGATGGGGTGGCCAATGATTAGCTACAAGGGGCCATGCCCACTCCTGGCCCCCCATCTAGCTCCGCCCCTGATTAGAATCTTGAGGTTATGAGTTTGAGCGCCACTCCCACAGACTGCCACTCTTCAGAGGCTTAGCCATGAATTTTTATAAGGGTGGCCAGGCATTAACCAATGTACACTGAGGGATGGCCAAAAGTAGATAGGCACCAAAACCTCAGGGTCAAGCTACACTGTTCCAATGGGAAAATAAATTAACGAGCAAAACATCCATATTTTCTAAATAAAGACAAACTATACTTTCCTACAGCCTTTGCTAACAAATAGACGCATATATTTAAACATCCGTAGTTTCTAGATAAAAGGTATAGTGGATAAAACTCTGGTTTACCAGGCTTACCTATTTGTATTAATAAACATTCTGAATATAATTGATATTTACAAGCACTAATATCTACATAAATTGATTATTTGATAAGTTTTCATTAAAATTGTTATTCATCTTTGATTTCACTGAAGACCCTTAGATGACGTGCAGAGACACATGATTTTCTCTTTACCCCAAATAAGACAAAATCTAGTTCTAAAAAGAGCATGAATTCACCTTTGATGTTAGTATATTGATGTGTATAATTATACATTTTTTGAATATTCTACTTGAGAGTATTACTGCTGCCACCATCTGTATTAGAGGGGAAAAAATAGTAGGGGTGGCCACAGGGGTGGCCATTGATTGGCTAAGGGTGGCACTGGCCACCCCTGGCCCCCCATCTAGCTCCGCCCCTGCCACTCTTAACCCCACAATGCCCCCAACGCGCCCCACGATGGCAGCCCACTGCTCTCCAAGGGGATGGGTTAAATGCAGAGGTAAATTTCTCCAATGTGAGAAAAAGCAGGATTTATAAACATTTCAAAATGTCAAAAAAATTTACAATATTCAAAAAAGGTTTAATCTGTAGTAGACGTTTTTGAATCCATTAATGCAGACTGAAATACGGAATTTACACAGAGTTATTTACTGCTGGCAGATTTTGGTTTTTAGAACCTCTTCTCATTTTCCCCACGTTTCCTTTGAAGTGATACAAAACAAAGTTTTGAAACCCGATATAGATCTGAGTGGATTTTTAAAAAGAGCAGAATAATATGGTGCTAAGGAAGCCTTCCAAGCTTAAACACATTTCAAATAGGTGGATATATGCATAGACAAGAGCTGCATGGATGGTGGCTGATGAATGGATCCAGGCTTTATTTACGATTTAAAAGTTGCATCCTGCTCTTTATTCGTATCTGTCCATCTTTTCTTTTCATTTAGAGCAACACATGGAGAGTGTTTCAATTAAAACCTGATATTCTGCATCCACATTGCTAAAAAGTACAACAGCTCAATGGATTTTCCCCAAGCTTTTAAAGATTTACTGGTTTACAAGGACAGATGTAAATCAAGCAGCTGGACCAAAATGTTTAGGTTTTTAATCCCCCCCCCTCCTACCCAGTGTCACCTGTGAGAAAATCTACTATTTTCATTTGTTCAAATAGTATGTAAAATATTTCACTTGAATTTAAATGTAAAAGCAGAAAAAAGAAACAACTACCCCAGTACCTAAATACTGTATTTAAAAGACACCCCTAACAACACATTCGTATATAAAAGCTTAAAACTTAATATTTTTTGTTTTCTGAGAACTGAGAATCCAGTGTATGCCCAATCATTCTAATATATATCAGAAAAGTGCCAAACTTTAGACAAACCTGTTAAAATGTTGAGAAAAATATAGATTTTAAGGTATGAGTCGGTGGGTTCCTCAGTTTCTCAAATTATTCTTTTATTTCTTTCTGACAAAATATATGTTTTTCAAAATATAGAAACTTTTTTTATTCAAAAGTGAACATAACCAGTTATAGAAGTATAACAAAAAAAAACACACATAAAACTGATGAGTTATAAAACTTTGCTATTGTGAAGACATTATTCCAAAGTTACTACATCTACAGGCTGAAATCCTTTAAAAACACACTTGTAAATTAATCTATAATTTCTTTTTACAAAGAAAAAAGGTGCACTTTAACTCAAAGAAATAATCCACAAAAACCTGGACCGACATCCTGATTATCTTATTTTTTAATTACCCGAAAGTAAATGGAGGTAGTTTCATTTAAATGTGCAGCAACATCTGTGTATAATATGAAGCATGTGCACACATCACAGCATGGTGATTTCACTGGGTGGCAGAGTAAGCCTCTTTTCTCTCACAGACATCATGTTTTCTACCTGCATGGCAATAATTCGACACAGCTCCAGGCCCTGCGGAGAAAAACAGTCAGTCATAAAGCACCAAGAATCAAAAACAACAATTAACCCAATCAGCTGCTTGAAACTATACCTGTTCCAGTTGCAGCTGAATGACTCGCTGTGTATTAATGTCCCCTAAAGTAAGGTCAACGTATGGATAACTGGTTCCAGCAGTGGGCGTTTGGGTGCGGCTAGACTGCACTTCCACAAGGGGGACCACTGCCATCAGCTCCTGCAGCACAGAAGTCAGATTTTAGAGCGCTCCAGAGAAAAGTTCTTCTTCATCTATCTATATGTGTCGCTTTGTGTCGTGTGCAGTTCTTACATGTGTATTTTTGTGCAGGAAGTGGAGACCCCTGGCATTGACAGCAAGAATGCAAGGAGCATAGAAGGTGGTGGAGCTGCTGCTGTGGATGTAGAAGAAGGAGGAACCAAACATGGGGAAGACACTTACCAGACCTGTATGCACACAGACAGCACATGACAAAGGGGAACAAAGACATGAATATTGTCTTACATACATTATGATAAAATGTGATAAATATGTCTTGGTTTATAAGAAAACACAACAGGAAGACAACAAAAAAATAGAAAAGGTTGAGATGAGTTTGGGAATCTTCAGGGATTTAGGATAACTTATCAGGAAGTATGCATTACTGATTATTTTCAAAAAGGCAGATAGGCCTACAAAATAAAAGCAAATGCAGAACATCAGATTATACAGTTCAGGATACATAAAAACGCACTCTTTTGCAGAAATGTCGTAAATCACCCTCAGTGGAGGGTTAAATATAAATTAATAAATATAATTAAGATTACTATATAACCTCTATATTCTGTATTCAAACTCAAACTTTGAGCAGGATGCACCAAAAATACCCCAAATTTCATAGCTGGTCATAACTTGCTGAATACGACAGCTTGCTGTTGGGTTTTGGATTATTGTCCCGCTGCATAACTGAAGGAATAAGCACAGGATATCCTGGTAATAATCATGGTTTTCCAAATTATCATGTGGTCCACTCCTGAAGGAGCAAAGCGATTATAGATCATCACACAACCACTACCGTGTTTGACTGTTTGATATACCCTTTTCTTACGTGATTTACATTAGATTTAACAAGATACATGCAGCTTAAAAAAAGTCTACCCTTATCTCATTAGTCCACATAATGGTTTCCCAAAGGTCAAAGAGGTCAATATAAGAATTTTTTTTGAAATTTAAGTAAGATCTTTTTGTCTTTTTAGAGGGGTAAGCAGTCTTTTATACATTTGAACTTCACAGATAAGTGAGAACGGTAGTGTTTTGAATGCTGTTCTTTAGGTCCTAAAGTCAGTTTTAAAGGTGGTAGCCCCTAGAAGAGTTAAATACTGTTCCATGTTTTGTCCATTTGTGGAAAGTGGCTGTTATTTTGGTTTGCTGGAGTGCCATAGCTAACTTCATGGTCCCACACAGGTTCTATGCAAGTCATTTCTTCACTCTCCATATGGAGGACCTAGAGAGTCACTGAAAAGAAAACCAGTCTTCTCAAATGTAACATTTATATCAGGCAATCTGAAATCAAATTTGAAAAGTATTTTTATAATTGCACACTTTAAATTGAACTATAAAATTTTAGAATAGAAAATACCTTTATTGTCCCACAATGGGGAAATTGTGGTTTTATTATATATTTATCAATCCATTTTAAATATAGCAAGTTGAAAATGGATTTTCAAATCCATCCATCCATCTATCTTTTCCCACTTATTCCTTCAGCATCGAGGTGGGTCTATCTCTGGCAGTCTATGGATGAGAGGCGGGTACATCCTGTACAGGTCGCCAGTCTGTTGCAGGGCAACAAAGAGACATACAACCATGCAGACACACACTCTTGCTTAAGGACAATTTACAGTTGCCAATTAGTGTAATATAACGTAAATTAATTTTCAATGTAAAATGTATAATTAGAAAATTCTTTTAAATTGGGTTTTATTTTTATTGATGTAAATGTTAATTTGAAATGGCTTGTTTTCTTTTTTAGTGACTCTCTAGGTCCTCCATATCCCAAGGGCTTCAAGTTCAGATACATATATATAAAGTATATGAAAACCTTTCTCTTTTTTTTTTTTTTTTGGGTAGGGATCATACCAAGAAACTGTGCCCTGGCCTGGTGCGGACTCAAAGGCTGTACTAGCTGCATATGTTGCGTTGCCAAGGTAACCCACTGCTGTGGAGGTTGCTTTTTGAAGAGAGGTGCGGCGATGTACTCCGATAGCTCGTGTCTTGAGGAGAGAGGAAGGAGAAAATAGCTTCAGATAAACAGAGGTCTGCTTCACTCTGTGATTTTCAACACTCTCCAAAGTTGTTTCACACAACTCAGTGAGCCGATCTGCTCGCTGCTTTGCTCTGTGTCAGGCAGTGATAAAAAAGAGGGCGTAATAGGAACAGACATCCCATTAAAGCACAACACAGTAACTGTCCCTAAAATCCTGCAAGTGCAGTAACGTCTGAATCTTTGGCTTAGATATTTCTCACAAACACAAGGAGAAATTCCACATTCAGCGGGTAGAAAGGCTAGGTGAAGGGGCTAAATGGGGGTTAAAACGTACAGAACCACAGATTTCTATTAGTCTACTTCACAAAATAAAAATTTTTAAGTTTATGGTTCAAATAGACAAAATGTAAACATTTTCAATAGGTGACTCTGTGATCCACATATAATGATACATTACCTTTCTGCATTGTCCTACATATTTAGGCCCGAGCAGCGAAAGCGCTGCAAAGGCCTATTGTAATTGTTTTGTTTATTATTTGTCTTGTTGCTTGAATCCCTTAGCAACCATAGAAAGCTACACAAATTAAATATAAAGAGAACTTATGGGATATTTGGAATTAAGTCTTTTGCTCAAGTTTCCTTACATGCTGGGGGTATAGATGATGTCCTTGGCTCTATGCTGCAAAGCAGCCAGCTTGGAGATTTGGTGAAACTGTTGATCACTCACTTTTCCATGTGAGAGAATATTAAGCAGACCTTTACGGTAGTCTGGAAGGATCTAAAAATAAAAATAAAGTTCACCTGAGTTACATGCCAACATGGAAAAACATAATAAAGTGTGTACAGTCATTTTCTTTAATACCTGGTTATACTGCATGGCGACACAGAGCTCATTCTCAAACCTCAGCGGCTGAGTCCAGACAACTCGCCGGAACCAGAGACTGTAGCCGGAGTCGATTGACTCTGCCTCTGTGGCTACATCCAGGATGTACTCATTCTTGTTCAAAGGACGCACATTTTGACCTGAATGAATGAAGTTACACAGAAATCCGGTTGTTATTTCATCAATTTATAGGCATTTACTTCAGGAGGTGTTTTAGTTTGAATTTAGTTCCAGTCCAATGACCAGTAAAAGCAGCAACAGATGAACTCTAAAATATAACAAGCACAACAGCATAGTCCATCTGCGGTTCAACAAGCTGACGGTTTGCTTTGTAAATAAAAGATAAAAACAGAGGAGAAAACATTTTACATTCAAACTGACCTTTAGAGAATGAGATTAGCTCAGAAAGTGAAGAATAAGAATTTGTCTGGTTAATTTTCTGTTTGGTCTGGCAAAGATGAGCATTTGGCTCACCATGAGAAATAAAATGAAGGAGGCAGGTTCAGTAGATGTCGAACTGATGTTTAGAGGCCTGGTGGCGGCACGTATTAGGACAGAGTTTGCATATTATAGAATGGTGTCAGACCTGAATGAGTTTATTTCTATTTGGGGAGGTGGAGACATTTGATGTCGTGTTAATAATGAAATGCTTATTATCAGTTTTGGAGAAGGTGGATTTACGTCTAATTTTTTTTTTCTTTGGGTTGTTGTATATGAGTATATGTGTGTAATTTATTGTAATTGAAACATTGGACCAATAAAGAGAGTCCATGGTATCTGTCTGTCTGTCTGTCTATCTATCTATTGTAATATGTTTATGTAGAGTATCTAAAGATATGAAGGACACAAAAATTCTTATATATATAAATGCTTTACAAATAAAGGTGGTATGGGATATAATATATCTGAGATGCTTTTTATTAGTTTTACATTATTGTTGTATATTCTGTTGAGTATGTCTTACTCTTATTTCTGCTGTTATTTTGAATTAAGATCATTATCAGAAAACAAAAGAACATCTTTCTGGGGATAGGAATATTTTGGGATTAGCTATATTTGTTATAAAGAAAACAAAACTGTACATACCTTTGTTGGTGACCAAAAATATGGCATATTCTTCAATGGCTTCTAGTGTGTGTAACCCCATCTCATAGCACAACTCCTCTATCACCTCCAATGCAACCTCAAAAGCAAATCCAACAGAGCCATCAGAGATGGATCAGCCAATCACAGCCTCTCTACACCAATGCATCCCACTGATCACCAACTGCTGGGTACTTACAGTACAAGTTTTTATTTTCACATGGCGCTCAATGCCTCCAGGAAAGAGAAACAGCTGCCGTTTAGAGCTGCGTCCTGCCTAAGGAAAGACAGCAAAGCATTCACATGGCAAAAGTAAGTATACATTTAATTCAAGTGAGTTCAATTAATTCCAATTCAAATTTAACAATACTTTATTAATCTCATAGGGAAATTAGACGCTGCAGTAACTCATGGGCAGTTCTTCACCGAGTCCTGAATGCTCTAAAGGTCTGTGTATTTAAATCTAAATTTTATATGAACTAATAAAATCAAAAAAAGACTAAATAAAAATTTTCTTTGTCTTTCTTTCTTTAAAATTGTCTTCATGCTTCTTTGGCTGCCTATTAAACCTTTGAGATCATAATCGGTTTTGGCAAACTGCAGTTAAATAAAAGTTGATTTGTGTGATATTATTCTTTCACAAAATCCCTAACAAACAACCCAATCTACCTATGTGTTTTCTTGAAATGAACACTAATTGGTTTCTATATCGGATTTAAAATTATAAATATAAATAAATTGAAAACCTTTGTTAAAATTGAATCTTCAATGTACTGTCCAACAGAAGAGACAGAGTATCCAAAGTTAGTACTAAGTAACAAAAACCCTTCCTTAACATATTTTAGCCCAAATAGAAGTAAAAGAGTAGAAATACAAGAAATTACTTAAGCAAGACCTAAAAATGTTTTTTGTCATAAGGCTATATTCGGATCTGAGTAACTGGTAATAACATTTTATTTAAAAAAATATAAATTTATATGATTACATGACTAATGATTAACACCTCTTAGCAGAAACTGGAAAAACTGTATTTATGTGCCTCTGAAGGTCCAGATCAAAGTGTTTCTTGTGCATTTTGGTATTTTACAGAAAAAGTAGCTCGAATAAAATCACATTGCAAAATAACCAAAGGCAAAAGAAAGAACTTTGATCTGGACCTTAAGAGGCACATAAAGGCAGTGACAAATATGGCCCTCAATCACCTAAAGAACATATCCGGAATTAAAGGACAAGTGACTTCATATGATCAGATAACTGATAACACCTTAGCAGGATCTTGAAAATCTAATACATGTTTTCATCTTTAGTTGAAGTGATTACTAACAGTGTCTTCACAGGTCTGTTTACAACCAGCCATCTGCAGCTTATCCAGAATGCTGCTGCCTGCGCCCTAAAACTAAGAAAGTGGAACACATTATACCAATTCTTAAGTTCGTACACTGGCTCCCTGTAATCCAGAGGATAAACTTTAAAATATTTCTGTTAGTCTTTATGGCTTATCTCCAAAATATATTACAGCATTGTCAGTGAATCAATCACCCAGACCTCTTAGGTCTTCTGGATCGTCTACTCTGCATACCTAGAACCAGAACCAAACATGGAGAAATAGCTTTTACCTTTTTAAAATAATCTGGACCAAAATCAGAAAAATGTAAAAGTTCAGAAAATCTAAGTTGCTTAAAATTAAGGTAAAAACCTTTTTTGTTTAGGTAGTCCTTGACTCTGTTATGTTGACAATATTGGCTTAAGTTTATGGTACAACTTTATTTACGTGAATTATGATTTTATTATAAATTTTTGATAATAATAATAATATCGCAAAGAATTCATTTTTATTCACTTTGTTCTTTTTTTTCCTTTTGCCATCTTAAATGTTGGAAGATTTTTGTTGCTCACAAGTTCCCAGAAGCTACATTGTCAAGGGCTTATTATTTTGTATTAATAATTTATTATATTTGTTTCTATAACCATTTGATTACTTTAATTATTATTTTATTATTTTCAATACCTAGTTTTATAAATTATAATGTTTTTCTCTCTTACTATCCCATTGAAATGCAGGATCTCTGTGTTTTCTGATTATTTTTAATGAACAGCACGTTGAAATGTGCTTATACATAAACCTGTCTTTTCTAAATGTAAATAATCAAGACAAATATTACAAAACGAGAGCTTACAGTAGTTAATGTTTATGCTAGAACAGGGTAAGATGCTTCCAGTGACAATATCTGCTGTTTACTGTAAATTTAAATGACCTCCAATTGCAGCACCAGGCTCACACAGTACAACAGTGTAAGATTATTGTTAAAGTAGGTCAGTTTCAACACTGAGCCAAGTTACATATGGCCCTGCCCTGTACAGTATAACAGTTACATAGGTTGAAGTGCCAGACTGTTATTTCTGCTCTAATTGGAATTATTCTTCACAATGTAAAACTGGGTTAAAATTGTCAGTGTCAATCATACTTTACTCTATAACCATATGTAACCTGGCTCAGTGTTGAAATGTCTCTTTTAATGTTACATTAACACTGCTTAGGGGCACAGTAACAGAAATGAAGTTTCCATAGCCTGGAGTGACAAAGTCCTCTGACCACCGACAGCAGGCAACACAGATTCAGTGTTTTGCCCAACGGCTCAATGACCGAAATGGACAGAATAGGGATTTAAACCTTGCATCCTGTACACCAACTCAAAGACCTGCTGTTATTGTCAGCATGTCCATTGTAATAGCATCCTGTTTCTAACAAGAATTTCAAGATTTTTCCTAAATTAACAAAAGAACCAACCATCATAGCTTTTATCTCCATGCCGTTGGGTGGAACAATCCGGCCACCATACAGAAACGTCTTCTTCAGATTCTGTTCACACGCTTTAGCTATGCCTAAAGGAAGACAAAAGAAATATTTCCCACTGACTGCAACATTTACAGTGTATTTCCACTTGGTATTAGTGGGCATGGTTTTTACCTTGATACTGTGCTCCTGCACTGCGAGAAGCCTGCTGCAGGAATTTTAGCAGGAAAGGCTTGAAGACCTCAGAGCATCGATGGTAGGCAGTCAGAATGTACAGCAGCCTCCAACCTCTTTGGCAACTATCACTGTGGAGCACAAGCAACCCCAAAGTCACTCAGGATCAGAGAAGCAAAGAGCGATGTACTGGTTGAATACAGCCGGTCAACTTACGGTTTGGAGCTGGTGTTAGAAGTGAGCTGTTTGAGGAGCTGGCAGTAGGCTTCATCCCTCATCAAGGCAAAATCTCTAATGAGCTGAGGGGAGCATAACATAGAACACCACAAGACTTTAGCTGGAGTTTACTCCTTTAAAATAATGATTTAATACAATATAAATTTTTATTCTGTAACAAAATGGTATAAGTGAAACTACCAAAAAGGTGGAAGACTCTTTTTTTTAATGCCTGCTCCCTTAGTTACAAACAAAAAGCCTTTATAATCAGTTTTCTCAATTCTTTCAGTTTTCACATTAGCAAATGTTATAACAAGGGCCTTACAAAAAATCTCATGCAGATGTTAGACATAATTGTTCATAAGTGCTGTAGACAAACTGCTGTATCCTAAATGCCCAAAGGAGCATTGTTGCATATTCTTTTTCACAGCATATTTTCAGACTTTATATGCATTAATGATTCCACGACACTTAGATTTTTTAACAGTCTTTTCATTTTTATAAACAGTCTGTTGTGTTCTATATGCAATAATACACATGCACCTTTTGCATATTTATTTGTATTCTTTATGCTGTTTCTAGTCTAATTTTTTAGTCTGTCCGTCCGTCCGTCCATCCATCCACCCATCCAGGTGACCAGTCCATTGCAGATCACCTATTTAAGTCTTTATTCTGATTATTTTTTGTTTTCATATTTTCTTTTTTTTTTGTAGTACTTGCTTGCTTCTATTTACCTTTCACCTTCCTGATAATACACACACTTTTCCCCACTGTTTTACAATAAAAGATATTTCTTTTTCAATAAACTGACAGTATTATTGAGGTTTTCTTTTACCCTGCAACATCAGATGGATCAGGAAACTGAAAATAAGGATATTTACTTTAAGGAATGTGCTGACCACTTCCTGCTCTGTTGAACCCCTCAATGGAGAATCACCCATGAAGCGCATGATGCCTAGAGATAATACATCAAAACACACACATATAATTATATATATACAGAAATAAAAAAATGGAATAAACACAATTGTTCATAGTACATATTAAATACTTTTAAAGTAAGTAGGTAAGTCGAGATAACTTCTTAAGTGACTCCCATAAAAATAAACCTGAATTATGAAACAGGTTACCGTAATGTAATGTAAGAACTTGAAAACTTACACAGGAAAAGATCAGCTGCTACTCGGTTCATAGCTAGATCTGTGAACTCTATCAGAGACTCAGTGAGAGGGGCCTGCAATAATAAATCAGTTAAAAAGAATTACCTAAACAGCCCATGAAGGAAGCTATTGTTAAATGATGGAAACAACAAGATACCTTGGAGAACTTGATCATTTCAGTGGGCTCCCTGGAATTTCTGTTCTTGCTTTTACTCTTTAGAGAATCTCTAAAGACAGATGTAGACAGATAATGATACATTTAGATTTTAAGAATGTAAAGACCTGGATTATCAGTTAACTTTTAACATTACATTTATGAAAGCTTGCAATTGGCATATTGAACCTTGCATTTACATGCTCATGATTAATCTCTATCTACTTCTAGCATTCCCACATAAATGTACCTGTTACACAAATATCTTCCTTCTCTATTTTCACTGTCTTTTCAAAACCAGTTTGTCGTCAGAGTGTTTTATATGGGCTTCTCTTTTTTCAAACTCTTCACCTAATATGGATCAAGTATTTTACAATCTACTGGTGTGACCTCAACTATTTCCTTTATTTAAATAGCTCAGCAATAGCAATAATGATTTGTGAGATGGAGGTGAACCTCAGTTTAAAATAGAAAACTACCCATGTTAAATTATTCCTCTTTATTACATTTTGCCCTCAAAGAGCCAGCCTGTCTTATAGTATTTCATTTTGGACTTGATAATATGTTTGTAAGGGTTTCTGAACATCCTTTCAGGGTTTTCATTTTGACTTTGGCATGTTTATTTTATTTTTATTTTTTTAAACTAAATTCCTCATCTGTGACTAATTTTGCAATGATGTTCAAAATACCTGACCAGCATTCTGTAAACATCACGGAAAAAAAACATAGATCTAATTTAATTTATTCTACATCTCAAACCAAGCTTAACACTTTCCTCGTAAAGTTTATGGTTAGATTGGCTTAGGTTATCTAGAGTTACCTCTTTATTCAGGGGCACCAAAAAGGGTTGAAAGAGAAGCATTCCAGAGGCCCATGATTGTTGACAAGGGCCCAACAAGAGGCCACTACAATTATGAAACTAAAAAACAATATAACACAATAAACCTACAACAACACATACACACATATACATATATACATACATATATAAATATATATATATATATATATGTTCTAATGTTTTAGTAACACTAAGTCAATTAGTTTATGTAAAATTGTTCAGTCCATCTGCTCTACCTTCATCAGAAAGCAGCAGAGCAGTTAACTCTGTTAACTCTGAAAAACAAATCTGGATGTATTCGTTACATTTTTATTTCAATTAACTAAGCAATAAAGAAAAACATTTAGCACGCTGCTGGAGAGTCAAAGGAACAATGCAGGTATACAATGCAAATGTAGACCATTGCCACATGCTCAAGAGAACCATATCCTGCAAATCTGATTGTATGTTTTTATTGAACTGTCTCTTAATTGCCTTTTGATGACGAGTGTAAATATAAATTACATAATTTTAAACAGAACTGAAAGCGACATACCAAAAGAATGATATCAACAAATTTTTAGAAACACTGATCAATTCCCCTTTAAAAGATAAGAAGAAAGTGTATTTATTTAAAAAGAAATGTAAACAACTACAGTGTTGCTTAACAGCTTTGCTCAGTGTTATAAAAAACACACTGAGTTGATGGTCCCTATAGCTCTGCAGCTCTTCAAAGTAATCCCTGTTGCAGGATTATAAAATGAAAGGATCTGAATTTACATATTCCTTGGTGTATATCGCTCACCCCTGTCCACTCGGTGCCTGTCTGCAGAACTTCTTGGCAAACTCCAGCATATCATATTTACTGTCCTGCAGTGCTCTCTCATCAGGCTCTCCATCAGAGAACCTATCAAGTGAAACTCTCTAAAAGGAGAGATTAAAAGTCAGTTTGTAAGACGTAAAAATAATCAGTGTAAAGTGTGTGTGCCTGTGAAACCTCAATCGTTTGATCTATCTCATGGGCAGCCATCGTAGATGCCACAGCAACAGCAATGGCCGATGATGCAGCAAACTGGTCAGCTCCACCTCGAGGCTCGGCCGTCCGGTCCAGTGGCAATGATAGGAAATCAGGAGGAGCAACGGGGTGGACGCACTCTGTCGGGAAAGTCCCAGAGCGGCCAAACACAGCTCCAAACTTCCAACCTGATGCGCAGATACAAGCAGATAAACAAGGAACCATAAAGTTTCTATTTTCCACTACTCTGTCCTAACTGCATGTTAGATCACCCTTCTGTGAATTGGGCTGTGCTGATAACCAAACACAAGATGATAAAGATACTGCTGTCTGGAGGGAGAACACTGTCTAAAGCTAAGCTTGACACCTTGTTTATCTCACAACCGTGAAACAGTTACTTAGTGTGCCTTGCAAAACTATTCATACTGTACCACATCTTTCCATGTTAAAAACACAAACTTTAAACAAAGAAATGTAAGTTATCTGGATCACGCAGTAGGCTGCACCTCACCCTGAGAACACAATACCCACTGTACAAAAAGTGGATGGTAGAACCAGGCTGGGGCAATGTTTTTCTACTGCATGGGTAGAGAGGCTGGTTTAATTTGATAGGCTAATGGATAGAATCACATACAAGGTAATTATTGAAGAGAAATCTGTAAGGAACTATAGAAAATCTGAGGCAAGGGGGAGGGAATTAAGGGGAGTGGTGGCCTAGTCGTTAGGGCACAGAGCTTGGAATGCTAAGGTTCGCTCCCCAGGCGCCCCACGATGGCAGCCCAATGCACCCCAAGGGGATGGTTTAAATGCAGAGGTAAATGTTTCCAATGTGTGATCAATAAATTGAAATTATAATGTATTCTTATTTATAGGTTTTTTTTCTCGCAGAACAGCCACCCTAAACAAAGTAACAGAGGTACGGTAGATTGCATTAGATCAGAGCATTTTTTCTCAACTCTGATCCTAAAGGGCCTATACTGTCTACCATGTTTTAGTTCACACCTGATTCACATCATTGCATTTTCTCCTAAGCAAGTCACCTAATAATCAATAGGTGTGTTTAATTTCAGCAGCTGTGTCATCCAAGGACCCGGTCTACCTGGACTGGGTCCTTTGAGGGTCGTAAAAATAAGGAGGCCGGAAGGGTTTGGCTATGGATTCAAACAGCTCAAGCCTTCTCCAAATGTCACTGCCCCTCACTCAGGCCGTTTCTCAATACTTCTACTTGTGCGTTCTCATGTGCTTGTGAAACGTCATCAGCCTCAGCCATAGTACTGTTCCAATTCACAAGAACAAAAGACCAAGAACGGACAAAGTCCCCGGATGTTGTTCTCGCCCCTCCCTCGCCCCTCCCTCTGTACCGAGCATGCATTTTTGATTAAGCTTTTAGTTAGAGGGGCTCAGGTTATCCTGGGCTATCTCAATAGTTATGCTGCTATAGGCTTAGACTTCTGGAGGACATAGGGACCACTTTTTTCATAATTCTGCTTCATTCTATCTCTATTCTCCCACTCTGCAGAATTTGTTAGTTTAATCTTTCACGTTATGCTCTCTCTGCTTTTTTTCATAGTCTGTTCCTGTTTGGCTGTGACACCATCCTAGAGAGAAATACCAGCTGTGCTGCTTCCATCAACACCTTTGTTTATAGATGTTCGAGATCTGCCTGTTTTTGAGTGTAGTCCTGTGACTGCGACTGGCTCGATGTGCTATCTTGGCTCGGAGGTCGTCTGAATGGCTGTGTTTCCTGGATGGGCCCCTTTTACACTTGCCTTTTGCATCTCTGCTTCTGTCTCCTTGAACCACAGTCGGCCTCGACAGATGCCCGCTCAAACTGAGCCTGGTTCTGCTGGAGGTTTCTTCTTGTTAAAAGGGATTATTTCCTCTCCACTGTTGCTACAGGCATGTTTAGTGTCAGGGAATGCCCTAGAGTCAATGAATCGATGCAATAAACTGGTTTTCCTTAGATAGAAAACTTTGAAAACAGATCTGGTGAACTGTAAAGTGCCTTGAGATGACATTTGTTGTGAATCAGCACTATATAAATAAACTGAATTGAATTGAGTTGAACTTGCCCATTCTTGTGATTGACAGCTGCCCCAGCACTGTGGCAGCAGCAGCTTCCAGTGAAACGCTAACAGAGCTCAGGGTATTACGTTAAAATATCTCTTTTCTGTTGCCGTTGTTCTATAAAAGTATGTTTTAAGATAATTTGAAGCGAGAACATTTTACTTTAAGCTTCACTATATGGCCCATTTAATGATTTAGTGCGTAATAAAAAAAAAAAAAAGGTCCGATGTTGAGAAGACTGTGGCAACAAGTGGACCTCCAAGGCTAACTGCAGCCAGGGCCAATTTAAGCCTGTCTGCAGCAGCCCTCTCTCGGCATAGCCATGTGTGAAGTACCGCTGGCTTTGTTTTATTTGGCAAAATGTTCATTTGATTTGTGTTTATCTTACTCTTCTAATTATTATCCCCCCACTAAACGAAAAAAGTAAGAATTTATCTTTATCTAGAGACTCTGAATAACAGGAGGAGAAATGCAGCTCCACCTATTGACCCATATTTATGCTGCGTGCTCCTGTTCTCCCAGAGTCCATACTTTCCTGTGTTCTTCTCAAGAACATATTGAGGACACGAGTCCGTTCTCACGTTCTTGTGAATTTAGAAATGGCCTCAGTGTACGCTCTGTCACCTAGCAATTTACTTTTTCCTCTAAACATGGAGCAGCTTGGACACGCAATTAATCTCGGGATACCCAAGGCTACGTAGGATACAATGGACCCGTCCTTCAAAACAGGCAAAAAGAAGGATGCATTTGTCGGCTGCATAATGAGGATTGTTTCAATCTGAACAGGCCATGGCGCCGCACTATGTCGCAATCGGCCGACAAATCTGGTGTTTGAAGGACGCAGCCTCTGAATTCGAACTCAGCATATGTGAGAACAAGGTCTGTTTAAGCTCAGTCAAAGATGGAAGTCAAGGTATTTTGCTGCCTTGTGGTTTTTCTACTCTATGCTGACATTGTGAGATGTCTTTTACTAGACTGGAACTCCTTAACATCAGACAGTCCCCTTCAGATCTTGTGTAGCACCAGAGTAATGCAACACCTCTGACCTAAAATGGTATTTTTTATGTTATCAAGTTGAGTTAGAAACAATGATTTTTAAATTGCTTTGCCATTCTCCACCTAAAAATGATCTTCCGTTCAAATATTGTATGTAAAGGCTGCTCTGGCGGTTGTGTCTTGCATTTTCCCCTTACATTTGGAGAATATTAGCTCTAAAGAACAGAGGATAAATGGTTCAAAAAGTCCCTCCATGTTTAAAGGCACATGAAGTTTATAGCTATTGATCTGTTTCCTGAACACATCAAATACTCACCAAAGTCTTGAGTGTCACGTTTAAGCTCTTCCAGAAACACAACCTTCTTCCTCACCACACAGCCGTAACTGTAACCTGTAGGACATTGCATCTGTAAATGTTCTTGTAATGTCCACCCAGGAAACTCTGACTAAAATGGTCTCTCACCTTTCTCAAGCCCATCCATGACCTGCAACCTGATGATATCACCTTTATGAAAACTAAGCATTGAGCGGTCATCTGTCACAAAGTTGCGCTCAGCAATGACATAATCGGAGTCCTGACAGAACAAAGAACATGGGACGTATATTTAATTGGTAATGAAATACTTGTGATAAATGGTAAAGTAAAAAATAAAGTTTTCCCTTGATTTTCTTACTTTGGTGAATAAAAACTGGGACATAATTGTTTCAGTCTTTAACCACCTCAGCCTGTTAATTAATATGCTTTGCTAATTTAGATAAAGTATTGTGATTTTTCAGCAAAGAGCATTTAAAAGTATAGTTTTGACCATGACAAAGATAACTTCTATGGGAATCAAAATACTTAAGTCAAAGCTAGAAAAGTTGAAACCTCTGAATTTTTTGATCAAGTGAAATAAGAACCCTAAGCACAACTTAAATAGTTTTTTGGGTTTAACACCAAATTGAGGATGCTGATTCAAACCTATACCAAAAACCTTTTGTGTTCATTGTAATCAAACCTGGATTAGGTGAAATGACGCTGATTATTTTCTTTAAAAGTGTTTGGAGTTTTGGATAACAGGATGTAAAAATATGTAAGCATGTACAATTGTGTGGTATGAGTTTTCATGCCTTTTTGATTTCATTGATAAAGGTGTCAATAAGATGCTTGACTTGTAAGGCTTTGGCAGAGAACAGGATCAACTTCTCATTGGTCAGATTGAACTCCAGCATGTTCTCAGATGGGATGGTCACGAACAGGATGTCTGCATATCTGAGACAGAAAGCAGGAGAAACAGCAAACAATCACAATAATAACCAACAGGGTCTGCATAACATGTAAACCAAACTTTCAGTAAAATAAAGATAAAAGAAAGAATAAAATGTGATGCATTTGCCCGCAATTTCTAACTTAAGCCATCGATTGTTTATTTATATTGTAAATCCTTTACAATGAGCCAAACTCACCAACTGTAATACTCATCAGAGCTTGAGGTTTTAAACTAAACAAAGTTAAGTAAAGCAAGACCACTAAATAGCAGGCAGTAGTATGCATAACATCAGTATAATTCTGTCAAGTACCGCATCTCAAGCGATCTAGTCAGACCGAATCGGGTAGGTAACCATAAACCTTTTTATTTTATTGAGAATTAGTTTCATTTTCTGTAATGTATATTTACCATAATTAATCCAAACAAACCTTCTCATAATCTGGTCTGCTTATGATAGTTTTTAAGGTGTTCTTTGAAGTGTAATTTTCTTTGTATGAAACGGCCGACAGACAGAAAGAATACATCAGTCTAAATACTGCAAAAAAACTTAAACAGAAAAACTTTAAATATTAGGGTCTCTACATACTGGACTAAGTCTGCCATACAATGAATAGTATCTGTTGAATCTTTACCAGGTCATCTGGAGTGTATCAAGTTGTGCATCAAGAAGTGCCTGATGGAGCAGTAAGTTCTCTGAGTGTTTAACGCAGGCAAAAACCTTCAGTGTGAGATGGTTGTGGTTCATTATTGCAGTGGCAACATATCATGGTACTGATTATTTCCTGTCACTTGTCCCAAAAGAAATTGTGGCAAGCAGGTATTGCCAACAATCTAGACTAGAAAAAAAAAATCCTGTTCTCACACTTTTAGCCACAGCATTGGACATGTCCAACCACCCTAATTAAGTAAGTGGGTAGGATGCCAATTAGGGAAGAGTTGGAAATTCTTCAGGTGGTTGTTTACAATAAAAATGTATATGGCCTACTAAAAAGAGAGGCCCTAATTTCATATTTATTGAAGATGAGCGGGGATGAGTAGGATTGGAAATTGCTAGCATGTTATTTCTGCTATGTTATTTCATATCATCTAATTATCTTACTAAGTGCTAATTACATTAGCAGATCATATAACGTACCTTCTCAAATTAAGGATAAATAGTTTACTTATTGTTTAGATTCTCAGTATTGCTATCCCAGCTTCTGTCCGTTTTGCTGTCTGGCTTAGTTTCCTGCTGAGCAGAACAATATTGTGACAAACTGGATGGAGATAAACCTCAAGGTCACTAATCCGACTGCAGTCACATTCCATAACATCAGATACGAGTGAAGGGAGTGGCGGCCTAGTGGTATCCTTAGGTTCTGAGTTGGAGCCGCACTCCCACAGACTGCCACTCTGGTTTGAGCAAGACCCTTAACCTCACACTGCTCCCTGGACACCGCATAATGGCAGCCCACTGCTCCCCAATGGGATGGGTTAAATGCAGAGAATTCATTTCGTTGCTCTGTACTTGTGACAGTGTAATGACAATAAAATTGAATTATATATTATATTATATTATATTATATATTAAGGAAATTGGAAAACATTTGGAAAAAAAAAAAGATTTTGTTCACTTTACTGAATCTGGCTTCACATTTCAATGTACATGCACAATACAACACATAAAGGTAAAATGAAATAGCTGTAGTGAGAAGTAATAAACATGCTTGGCTCTACAAAGCACTCTGCATAAAATTAGTATAAGTAATGTTTATTTATATAGCACCTTTCATAGACATAGAGGTCACAAAGTGCTTCACAAAATTACAATACAAATAAAAATGCATTTACATTTACATCACAAAAAACTTGATCATAAAACAACCCTTAATCCACTACTTAAAATGCTTTCTTAAAAAAATAGGTTTTCAGTTCGTTCTTAAAAATGTAAAAAGCGGAAGATTGTTCTAGACTTCTGGCCGCTTGAAAGGAGCGATCTCCCCTGGTCCTGTAACGAGTTAGAAGGACCATTAGCAGATTCTGATCAGGAGACCCCAGTCTCCGAGAGGAGGTATAAGGACATAACAAGTGTCTAACGTAGGAGGGACCTGACCGTAAAGGATCTGAAGGTCAGCACCAGGATTTTAAACTGAAACCGAAAAGAGACTGGGAGCCAATAAAGAGTCAGTAACCTCATCGCAGAGTTTTGAATTTGCTGAAGACCAGACAACCCCTTTTTGGATAATAATTTCAAGATCATCTCTGGACACAATTGCTCCAAGTTTAGACATTTTCCTCAGTTGTTTAAAAATAGTTCATTGTCAGCAGTTTTGAGTGGTGCTCTAAGGAGCATCATCCTGTTGCTGATGAGCCAAAAAATATCGTATTTCCTCCCCTACAGTAATAATAAGGGTTATGGCAAAGGTGTTTATGGTAAGCTATTGCCTATCTATAGCATTTTGATTGGACTACAAAGAAAACAACAAATGAAACTGATGAGCCAGATAGAAAGCTTGCCTCAGGTCATGATTGCTCTAAAATTAGATTTTGTTTTTTCTCCAATGATTATTGACACCATAGTGCAGTTCTAATTTGGTATTAATGGGGCGTTAACTGCTTTGTAAGAAGTAGCCTGTCACTAAAAAAGCTATTTTATACAGTTTCTCTACCTGAATTTATAGAAAATCTCAAAGAGAGCAAATAGAAAAAATAATTTCAGTCTCAAGATGATCCGTAAAGATGCATAAGACCTGCATAAGGTTTTCACAGAATTTAAATGTGTTTTAAATATTCAGAATTTTCGCACAAATGGATTTAAAGTGTGAAAGCCAAGGACTGGTGAAAATAAACATTTGAAATTAAGAAACAAGACAAGTTTAGGAGATAAAAGGTGGCTAAAAGAAAAGTTGAAAAAAGTGAGGTTTGTGAAAAACTTCTGGACCTACGTGTATGGTCGAAGGACTCTGAAGTAGTCTGGAGCTGCTGCGCTGCTTTTCACTGTCTTTAGTAATTTGATACCGCTGTGCGACACGGACAACACCTGTACACCTGTTCCTACACTACCCTGCACTCAGACAGACAGAGGCACACATTCACCAAGAAAAATGTAAAAAATGTATATATCACAAAATGCAATAGTATGCTCCAACAAACCCACCCCCAAACTCACCGAGGCAGGAAAGAGTCGGGAGAAGTAAATTTCCCAGGTCTCTCTGGCCGCTGTTACAATTGTTTTCTTCACATGCTCCTCCACTGGATCCATATTCTGCTTAATACTATGTTTTGCTGTCATTCAAAGAAACAGACACACAAACTCATAAATGTCACGGGGTTGTGCTTATTACAGCAATGCAGCTATGAAAAAAGACTGCAGGAAAAACAGACAGGGGTACCAAAAAGGGCTTTCATTTTCTGTCTCTCATCCCGGGTGATACGAACACATGCCTCTGACAGGGTGTCATTCACTATCTGGAAGGGAGAAGTACAGGAGAGAAGAGGAATCAGTGTATAAATCTGTCTTTATTCAGTTATGAAAGATTATATAGGCTGAAAGAAATACTGTTAAATACAAAAAAGAAAAAGAGAATTAAAAATGTTTACCTGTTTGAAAATGAGATCTAGCAACAGTGGATTGTTGAAGCTGTCTTTGGGATAAAACACCTGAGAGAAAAATATATATATATATATATTCATCTGAGGACTGTTTTCCGAATATAGTGTTTAAATTGGCATTGATGCAGATATTGTCATGATAACAAGAACATAGACCCTTTTTCAATGCTGGGGTTACAAGCTGCAGGAAATTCTAAAATAACGCAGGATTTCAAAAATGATACAAATCCTAAGTAAAGTTTACAAAATCACACAAAGAGATAGAGAAGCACTTTGAAAGATGAGTATGCCATTTTTAATTCCATTATGCAAAAAGGAGAATAACAGTTTGATCGTCCGTTAGTGTGACGGCCTCTATAACAGTAACATTTCCAACAGCTTATTGCTCCATGGGGTGTAGGGGTGTGTAACAAAATGGTAAGGCAGTAATGAAGACCTTAAAGAGAGTTCCCAGCTATTGCAGAAGTGGAGCTAGAGAGGGCCAAACAATTTTATAATTCTCAAGGGTTGCTTTCAGACTGGACCAGAGTCAGTTAGCAAATTCCTGAGAATTAAATTAAAAAGAAAAACACTGCATAATTCCAGCTTGTTTGGAAGATTAGATAGAAGAAGGCCTCTTATTTAAAAAAAAAATGGTAGCATCCAAAATACAACTTGATCATCTGTGTGGGAGCCCAAAGAATTTCATAATCATTTAAAACGGTGGAACATTTTCTGCAGAGTTTTTGGCTTCAATTTCAATAAGGACTGAGTGGAATCTGTAGCAGGTTACTGCTCAGGTTCTATGTTTTTTTTTCTTTTTACCATGGCTTATTCATAAGAAATAGCTGATGTTCAGTGGTTTGTTTTTGCTGATGTATTTGTGTGGTCACCTCCTTCCTGAGATACAGCCTCCAGGGTACATTGGTGTAGGTGTAATGCTCCTCATTGGTGCTCAGATGAAGCTGTGTCTGGATGGTCTCTTTCTCTACTGGAAGCTCTCGGGATACTGCAAAGAAACATGTTTAATAACTAGAAAGTAAAACTAACACAACATATCAAATTGCAAAGTGATAAAGTCAGTAACTGGGTTATTAGGACTTATTAGATGAAGATGATGGTTTATCAGTTTTCCGGTGTTTCTTTACCTTAATAATTATTTTTCCACTTTATGAAGTACTAAACTGAAATGCGATCATTTGAATGCTGTTTTCTGACGCTTCCCCCAGTTTTTCTCCATAACTGATCGTAGGATACTGAGTTGAAATGAGCCATCTGTAACTGACATGCAGCAGGGCTAAATTGGCTGTATTTACATAATAAGTGAAGGACCTTGCTGAGTGTTTATATGTAAGAAAAGAACTTAATAAATGCCATTCTGCATTTCTTTCACATCAAATGGTGGTGTTGTGGTCAAGACCACACCAACCAAGACCAAGGAGTACAGAAACCAAGACAAGACCAATACATTTAGAGGCCAAAACCATATAAGATCTTGGTCTTGGCTAGGCCATCTAGTCCTCTAAAGATTTTTTCCTTGTCTCAGTCTCCGTACTTCTTTGTCTTGGTTGGTGTGGTCTTGACTTCAACACTATTAAATGGTGTAAAATGATACCACATCGACCTTTGTTTAAAGGTAAAGTGGAGGATGTTCTTTTTCCCGGTGGATCATCAAATATAGTATGTTTATGGAAAGAGGAGCTTGGAAAACTTATTTCTTAGAAGACCTTGGAAGTCACTCTAAACAGGGTTCAAATTCTTAAATTTGTTCAGGACAGGGTTTATTTATTTTTAAGGTAGTACATTGTATCAATTTGACTAAACTGAGATTATCTAGGTGGTTTCCAGTGATAACCCCTTTTTGTGACAGAGGGAACCTGGCATCATATATAAGTTCAATTCCTGCCCAAAGCCAAACTTTAATTGAGATTCTTATTTTCGGACATGAAGTGAGGCTTCATAGGGAGATATATACCTCCTTATCCATTAAATGGGCTGTTTGGGTTTGAACCTCACATTGTCTATCTGGTGCAGAGTCTAGTAGTAGTTGTGTTTTTTACACTCCTTGCAAGGCAACTTATCCTTATAAAATGGAAAGAGCACTGACCCCTGACATTCTCTCACTGGTTCAGGAGTGCTTTCCACTTGAGATATTCTTTGAAAGGTGCAGCACATAATTATGTTAAAACAGGGGGTCTTTATCTGGATAATGTCAAAGTACATATCACTATCTACAAAGTGAGGAGGAATTATAAGTCTTATCATAAGACAGCGGGCAAATACATTACTGCAATTTTCATTAATAGTGTCGCAATTTCACCTACATGTCTACAATGTAAAGTTGACATCAGTTGTTTACAGATTTAAACTGATTTATATGTTGTTTTTTTGTTATACAATACTAAAACTCAATAAATATTTGAATCACAAAAAAAATTATAATAATAGTGTCACCATTTCTTATTGTATCTTCCGATTTTTGGGGGGATTTAGCTAAGTTCTGTTTCTCTGCTCCCTGATACTGTTCTTAAATAAGTAATATAAATATAACAGATATGTTCCGAAGTTAAATGAAAGAAAAAAATAAAATATTCCAACAAAAGAACGTAAAAATGCAGGTAAGTCCAAAAAATATGGGGAGTGTTTAAGGAATAACATGTTGTGGAAAAGACCAAGGAATCAGGAAAGTAGAAAACAAAGATGTAAATCATTGTAACCTTTGAAGGAATGAATACTGGTTACAACAATAAAATCCTAGAAAGAGAGAGAAATTAACAGTAGTGACAGCTGCAAAAATTCTGGCCATTTTTTTTCTTTATGCAAATGGGGATTGGGGCTCAGCCTAAGAAAACATTTTACATATATGGCAGTAAAATGTCTTCAGGGTTCAGAATAGAAGTCGGCAGCTTTAAGTATCGCAGCTTCGCTTTAAGAAGCCTGAAAAATCTTAAGTGACCATTTGGAAAGCGATCCATGATCTGCACAGTGTCTCCAAGTGAGCAATATACAACTCAGCAAATTATAATTTATTTAACCTTTTTAAAAACAGATAAACTCCGTAGTTCTCTGAGATTTTATAAGAGGTAGCTCCTAAAATACCAATCATTTCAAATATCCTTGTCATTATTACAGAAATTGCAATACTGGATCATAAAACTCCTTTTAATATGTGACTTGTAAAGATTAACTTAGGAGATCTGTGCTCTAACTGTGTCTTATTTCATCCGTTTTAATTTCCTTGTGAAAGCTTTGTTTAAAAATAACACAGATTAAAAAAACATAATAAAAATTATGTTTAAAAAAAAAGTTATCTAAGCTATATATCCATCAAAACTGAATGTTTCTTGTAGGATTAAAGGAATGGATTTCTAAGGAATGTAAACATTAGTTGAGAAATACTTTTTTGGATGGATAAAAGCACATCCATACCTTTAGATTTTTCTTTTATAAATATTACGGTTCTAAGGTTAGGTTTATGGCACCACAGATCACTAAACGTATTCTTTAATTGAAGCATGATAGCTATTTAAAAAGTTCAGATAACTTGAATTGAACTACCTTGAACTTCAACTGCCTGAACTTAGTTCACTTTCATTTCCGCAGGGTTTTTCTCCAATATTTCCTTTACACTTGTCTCCTGGAGCAGTTTTCATTTGGATCTGAAGTCATAATATAGTTGCAGCACTAATCTTTTTCACATTTACATCACAGCTCTGCTAATGAAGATGAATCTGCCTGCAGAGTTGATATGAAAATATCCCTCTTATTACCACAAGAAGGAGCCCAAGTACCACCAACACTCCAATGACAAAAATCACATTGATGGCCAAGAGAATAAATGAATAGCCTTTGACCTTTTGATGCTTGAAAGTTTTGCTTGAAAAGCCACAGGAAAAAGAAAGGAAAGAAAATAAAGCTTTTAAACTTTTACTAGTTAACATTGGTAACCGATTTATGCATAAAATTTTTTAAATGCCTGAAAAACGTGATTTTTTTTCAAATAGAAGTTTGACCACAAGGTTCTGTGAAGGATTTTGTTGCAGTGATATGAGTAAGCACAAAAATGCAGGATTTGCTTTAATATGATCCAGAGAACAAAATGAGAGAGATTAGAGGAAATGATATTTAAAAATATCATCACAAGGATAATTGTACAGTGCAAGAAATATATCAAAACACACACTAAACCTTGTCTATAGTATATGGATGAGTCCAGCTTTTAGAAGGTGGTTACCTGGTGGAGGTTTAGGCAGACGACGGTCTGGAGCCCTTGTCTTTGCGGTTTTGGTAGGATTAACTCCTGATTGTTTCATCACAGACGTAGACTGTGACTGGCCAACAGGACGCTTGGGCTGGACAGGAAAAAAGAAGCATTTCAACACTGTGTCTCCATGCTAATGTGGGGGTGTTAATGATCCCAGGTGAGCAGCTTGTATAAATCTGTGACTGCTTCTTTCAGACAGGGTTGTGTTTACCTGTGGAGGAGGAGGATTGTCCATCTGGGGTTTGAGGATCTGTAAAGCTTCATCACGAGGCGTTTGCTTCTTTGTGAACTTCCCATCTGGTCTGCTTATCAAAATGGAACACCACAATTAATGGCTGTATAACAAAAGAACTGTGTATTGCAGCTCCTCTACATTCATATGGAACCCTACTAAAGATGTCTCAACATTTCGTCAAAAGCTTAAACAGCCCACTTTTCTGGACGCTGTCCTCATCCCACTCCAAGGGTTTGTACAGGTTTTGCTTCGGCAAATAGAATGGCCATAGAAGGAGCTTGATTTTGTGTCTTGACACCGATTATGTGTTTAAACCTGTCCAGCAGACAGACCCATTGAGGACATATATTTTCACTGTAGTAGATTCAGCACTATTTTAAATGGCCTTGTATTTCCAATAGAATTATGAGGCAATGGTATCTAATATAGTTCCCTGGACTTTAGGAGGAAAAGCCACCTATAGCATCACGGATCTCCATCATACTTAGCTCAAGGTAGTCATCGTATTATTCATGCAAAACCTGTGTTGTGTTTTTTTATTTTCTGACTGAAAAGCTACTTCTTATTTAAAATAAGAAAATAATTGAAAATGAAGTGAAAACCTTACAAAGTTCTTGGAAACATAGAGTTATATGGATGTGTATGTATGCACTTGTTTGTGTTACCTATTTAAGACTGAATTTAATATGTTTTTCAACAGTCTTATGACCAACAGGCCTTAAGGCAGGTGCTGTCGTGGCAGAGCCCCATTTTTAACCTTAGCGAGTCAGTTCAGAGGTATGGTGTGAATTAACTTTAGGTTAAGTTTCGGATTAAGAATATACTGATAACTGTCAGGGTAAATGTCAGGGTTAGGTATAAATTCAGGAACTAAATTGATTGTAAATGTAATTGTAAATTATTAATATGGAAAGAAATACAAACGTGTGTGTGCTTGTGTGTGTGTGGGTGTTCAAACTGACCGATTTCCAACTGGTAGTGGGTCTACTGGTGGTGAGGGGGAGTTATATCTTCTGATTATTTCTAGAAAAGAAAAGACAAAGAATGAACTCTGTATAGTTTCATTTAAAGTCTGAACACTGGCTGAAGTATAGAGAAGTTTAAAAACTGCAAAGAATCAGAGCAGAGAATCATCACAGCATCAAGCCGTTCCTTTAATAATGAAGGAGTCACCTTGAATATCTTGACTGGGGATGATGTGATCTGCTGCTTTAGAAGAGTACTTCACCACTTCTCCAGCAGGGGGTGGGGGAGATGTCACCACTGGGGCTGAAACAGAGACAGAAGCATGCCAAAATAACACAGATGATTCTCTGTTGTGCTTGGATCTTTAAGGTGTGGATTTTAGCTTCCTCTCGTGTGCTCATACCAAATTTCCTGGCTGGTTCCTTGTTAATGGGGATGCCTGGAGCTTTTTTCCTAGAGACACTGTCCATGCCTGACTGAGTCTGAAAAACCCACTAAGAGGTTACTCAAGTGATGGCAGTATTTATTTGGAGGAAGAGGCAAAACAGTAACAAGCACAAGTTAGCAACATACAGTGCTTTGAAAAAGTAACCTTTTGACAAAAACCCTTTTGAACTATCCATATTTTAGGGAAATTTTAGTGACACTAAATCAAACGTACCAGTTAATTTCAAAACAGTAATCAAAGGATACATATAATTAATATCTGAAGTGTGTGTTTTGTGCTCAAATGCCTTTACTCTGATATCAGAATAAATGCATATTAACCAATTGCCTAGAATCTAGTTAGAAAAATAGCCCTTTTTATCACAGTACAAATACAGCTGTTCTATGAAGCCGTCAGAGATTTGTTAGAAACATTAGAAAGATCAGGTATAGACCAAGCAAGAGGCCACATAAATCAGAGAAGCAGCCAAGAAGCCTGTGCTAACTCCTTTTCTGTTTTATTGTCAGGATTCAATAAAACAGAAATATTACTAATGCACTCAACTAAATTTTGTTTTTAAGGAAACATATGAAAAGAAGAAACCAGTTAGTTGTACACAACCCACTCAATCAACAGATGTGGAAGAAAACGCGCTGGTAAGATGAGACAGAAATTTTACTTTTTGGCTTGCAAGTTTGAAATACTGTGTGGCATAAGTGACACCTTTACATGTGACACAAGAGGGCCCCATCCTCACTATAAAACATGGTGGTGGCAGTATAATGTTGTGGGAAGAGGGTTTCTTTAGCTGAAGCTAAAACTACTGGTCAGAGCTGATGAGAAGATGGACAGAGGTAATTGAAGAGCAGAGCTGAATGAAAACATGTTGCACGAGACTAGAGACCGATGTACGGCTTCCAACAGGACCAGGATCATAAACCATCACTCAGAGCGAACCAGAGCATTTCTTTATATAAGTTCGGGCCTGTCAAAGAAAACAGCCAATAACAATGTATGATAAGACTTAAAAAGGAATCACAGACACTCTTCATCCAGTCTGACTGAGCTTGAGGTGTTTTGTAACACGGAATTTGCTTTTTTGTTTGACTATATCATATTAAAGAAGTGTAATTAAGTTTAAGGTTACAATGTGATAAGACAAAGAAAAGTTCAAGGGGTGTTGATATTGTACTCTTGCAAGGCATTGTAAAAGCAGAAACGATCTAATTGGGCAGAATTTCTGCTCTGAAAAAAAGCATTTTCTAGATGAAAAGGGGTCTTTTCTGTTTAACACATTGTCAGGACCTAAGCACTGCAATGTGTTAGCATAAACTGTTATCCCCATGTGTCTGGGTCTCTCACCTGTGCAGCAGGTTTAAATGTTGGTTGTGTTGGCTCGGCTTTGGAGGAGCTCAGATGATGGTCACGGCGGGCAGCCTGAGGCTGCCGCTGGGGCTGAGGATCAGTAGGGGGATCAGCAGGGGGTTGAGTGTTTGCCTGTGATAGAGTCTGATCCCGCTGAGCAGAAGGGTTATAAGGGCTGGGTGGTAACACTGCTGCTGCATAGGGGGTCGGAGTGAAGTTAGCGTACGGGCTTGGGGGGATGTTTGCATATGGACTTGGAGGTATGACAGCGTATGGGCTGGAGAGCGCATATGAGCTCGGGTGGTGATGGGGCACAGGACTCATAGGAGGGCTGGTGATGGGGGAGGTCGGGGGGCTCGACACGGGGCTAGTCACTATGGCCATGGCTTGCATGGTCATCTGCTGCGCCTGAGAAACAAGAAAATGACACATGAAATCAAAGGGCAGAAGCTGCAGTGAAGCAGAAAAACAGACAAGGATCCAAACGGGGGAGTTACCATGATGACGGCCTGCTGGTTCACAATCGCCTGCTGCTGCTGGGCCAAAACAGCCTGCTGGTCTTCTGGAGGAGAAACCCAGCAAGTAAGCAGGAGGAAGGCATAGAAACCCTTTGCTCAACTGTTTGTGTTTTATATTTTAATCATCACATCTGATACAAACCAGTTGTTACAGGTGCCACAGCAGCAACAGGAGGCAACATCACACCTCCTACAGGAAGGACTCTCACAGCTGCAGACACAAGCAGCCAATTTCTGTCTCTTTTGATGTTTTGTCATGGAGCTAACAAATTATTTCTCAATCTGGTTAAGTGCGAATATGGCAATATTCAGCATGTATGTCTATTTGTTACAAACCTCCAGGAGGCAGGTGGCCGGAGGATTGCCCCTGCTGTTGCCACTTCCCTCCAATTCCCCCGGCCCCCTTCATCCTGCCTGACAGTCCAACAACCGATTCTACTTCCTGAGAGAAAAGACAGGCTTTAAATACAGATTTTAAAAAATGCCAAAATACATTTTTTCCGCACATTTCTTATGTATTTATCACTTCACCTTTTTATTATTACATTTAACCCAATTGAAATAGTTGTAAAATAACAACATACATAGTTATAAAAGTTTTGGTCCATATCTTTCATCCCTTTTAGCCACTGGCGACAGACTGGTTGAGGACTGATGTTTATTTTTTTTGAGGTAGAATACAAATATCCAAATCTTGATAGAGAGCTTCAACATTCACTTCTCCAAAACAACTATTAGAACATATTAACAAGCGTCTAAGAAGACTTTTGGAGTGAGCTAAAGAGGAGAGAATATATTACAGGTAAAAGCTAGAGTGATTGATGTATTATTACAGTTTATTTAGCCTTTATTTAATCAGGTTAGTCCCATAGAGATTTAAAATGTCATTTGCAATAGATACCTGGCCACAGCATATAATTTACAACAGACAAAACATTAAAACTCTGCAAAAACTCTCACCTAAAACATTTACACAGACATAATTGACTGTAATGATTTAACCAGGATTTTAAAATCTTTGAGCATTACAAGAGCTTGTATGTGAAGTTCAGACAAATTTGTTCCAGGTAGTGGGAGCTGAAAACATAAGAAAGACTGCATAAATAAAAAAAATAAAGAAGCTAGGACAACAATGAAGACAAAAAGACCAAAGAAAGAAAGGGTAGTAGATACGTAAGTAGGAACACAAGGCAGGAAGGATGGGCAGAAGGTCACTAGATCTTAGCATATAAACGGCAGAGTGTGGTAACCTTTTGAAATCAAAATATTTTTCTTGCCTTCAGTACAACAGTATTAATCTAATTTAGAACCGGAAATGTTCTTACCATTACCTACGTTTTTTATGTCATCTTTTAAAGACGTAAATATTCTAAATAACTGATGCAGGATAAGTGTTGTCGTTCTGAAAGAACAAGTATTTTATGTCGTTACAACTTTCAAGTTTTGAAAAAAAAAAGGAGGAATTCCTTTTTACCTCAAGTGAGGTAAAATATGTGGCATAAAACCAAAAAAAAAAAAACCTTAGTTTTCAAGCCAATAACAAGAAAGATATAATAGAGCAAACATATATCAGTGATACTTTCTTGTGTCATCTGTTTTTTCCTTCGCCTTTGTGGGGTTTCACTCTACAAATCTGCATATTTTGTAGAGCGCCTCAGCTGCCAAGAACTATTCTTTCTTGTCATGTTTTTGGTTCTGTTTAAGTTTTATCTTTGAGTTTTCATTGGTTTTATTTCCATTTTGTGTTATTCTAGTTATTTTTGATCGCATTTGAGTTCCTAAGTATTTCTTGTTTTCCATTTGTTGCCCTCTTGTGTCAGTATCCTTTTCCCTAGCTCCCTTCTAGACACCTCTGTGCACACCTGCTCCCAATCTGCTGATTAGTCTGGTCTTTGTTTCTCTCTCCGATATATGCACCTCCTGCTCATTCGCTGTTGTTGTCATTTCTTTCCTGGTTTTCATTATTTTCGGATTTTGTGGATTAATGTTTTTGGATTTTTGTATCTGTTGTGCCTTTCGGTAATTAAATCTTGCAAGAAACCACCTCAGCTTCAGTCTTTGCATTTGGGTCCTTCAAACCTCCACTCAACCTGCCATTTCTTATGGTTCTGTGTTTCAGAATTTTGTCATAAAATAAAAAATCTTGTACATCTTTGTATTTGTTACAGCCAATAATACTGATAATATTCTTCTTTCATTTTTATAAGCAATTAAAGAGGTGGCTAAAGCCTCCCTTTCAAGCCATATAAACACATGATCTTTAACAGTCTTGATGATTGTACCAAAATCAACTTCCCTTTCTACAGGCCACACAACTAAGTGATCATTGCTCCTATCAGGAAACAAGCTTTAGACACCTCTCTTGTGATGACACAAACAATGCTGGGTTAAACCTTTCCAAAACGGCAACAGATCCCCAATTGAATAAAATAGCTCTAATTAAAGGTTCAATTACCTAAAATTTAATGAATGAAATTGCACCATTACAAAAAATGTTTTTCATTGAAATCTTTTTAAAAATATTTATTTTGGCTACCAAAACACTGGTTACCATGTGTTTCTGATTTGCTTTTTGTTACAAATCTAATCATCTAGATTCTTCATAGTGTCTTATAGAAACCAGTAACTGACCCATCAATCCTGGGTGCTTAAGTGTTTCTTTGCAGGCTGTGCTTCATTAAATAGTAAGCTTTTCATTTGCCAAAGAGTCAGTTCCTCGTAAGCAGATCTCCATGTTGCCACGGGGTGGGAAATCACCGAGGTGAGTCGGTGGCTGTGGCGGTTACGGTAACTGAGTAACGTAATAGGTTGATGGGCAGAAGAGGCCTGTAGAACACATCTGATACATGCTAATTCCTGTCAGCCACATCCGATAGCAGAGCTAGCATCAGCCACATTCCCGTCTTCGTGGAAAGATGCTGGTCCCGTGTAGTCAGTTTTCACAGAAACCTTCGTCTCACCCATCAGATAACAAACCTAGGTATTTGCAACACTGAACAGATGAGGTCTGATGTTTGCGATGGAGGTAATCATGGCACAAAGTCATGCTTTGATGGTTCAATTTTACCACTTGATATTTTCCTTGATAATCCTACTGTATTATTGTTTTAACTTCTTTTCAAGAACAACTTTTTTTTGTGACTAGGACAAACAGGACATGTTTCCTACAAATGAAAAGCATACCATAGTTTGCATAGGTATCAAATGAATCCCTATTTCTGTATTGAAATTAACAAATTACACAGCTATGGAATGTATTTCTTAACAATATTTTGCACCAACTATTTGCTGTTTTCCTGCAATAGATTCCAGAAGCAGACTACAAGGCTAATAACCCCACCTAATCTAACAGATGCAGATGAAACATGCCAGGTCATAAAAATATACATAGTAATACATTTTTGGTCCTTATCTTTCATTCCTTTTAGCCACTGGCGACGGGCTGGTTTGGGACTGATGTTTATGTTATATTTTTTTTTTAGGTAAAATACAAATATCCAAATCTTGGTAGAGAGATGGAACATTCACAAACTCTCCAAACAACTATTAGAACATGTTAACAAGTCATCTTTTTAATATGATAACTCTCATTACAAACACAGCAGGCAGAGAAGCGATAAAGGATCTTAAATATAATTTTTTACTCAAACAAGCTGGCCAGATTGAGACTGAAATTCATGCAACATATAGTTGACTCAACGAATGTTATTTTTTACAAAAGTATGTTGAGTTTAAATGTGTATAATTTACCCTTATAACAACCTAACTCTTTTTACATGACCCTTAGTCATCATAGGTAGGAATACCAAGTAGGACCAATGCGTCTCAAGTGCAGCTAATAGGGGTTTTGTTGTTTTAAATGTACATTTTTGTAATTTTACATTATTTCTGAATGGTCTCAAAAACATCCTTGAATGATGATGGAAGTGGGTTATTGAACGACAAGGAAGAACTTAACATCTAAACATGTCTGCCAAGGATGATTGGTAAGCAGACAAACTAATGGTTAGTCGACTTCTATCAGTTGGCCACAACATACTTTTACATCAAACATGATCAAGGTAAATTGTTACCTTAGGCATAAAGAGAAAGAGCCTCTCTAGATAGTTCAACATCTGACCCAGCTCTACACAAGCCATCTAACTTCATACACTTTTTGGAGCTTTTTTAATGTATACACAGTGAATTTGTGTGTCACTAGCTGTGACTGAGGTTATGATGCCATGTCAAATAACTGAGACGACAGCAGAAGAATACGAAGAGGGGGGGGGGGGACATGCAGAGGTGCATAATCTTGGTCCAAAAAGTAAAAACTGTGCCTAGTTTACATTCTGTTCACTTAATGAGATGATTAGCCACCAGTCTATGTTGTTGAGCTGGAAATGCAAAAGGTTGGGACTCTGACTAGTTTTTTTTACCTGGATTATCCACCTCTGGATAATAATAAGGAATCAAAGAAAACAATGTTTGTTTTCTAAAGTCTCAGCTCACTGTCAACTTCATCGTAGGTAGCCATGTTTGTTGTGACTGTGGCCGGCAGCATGTAGAATCGACCGATGCAGTAAATTGCTATTCCTTTAGCTAAATTCCTTTAGCTGAATCCTTTTTTTAACTAAAATTTATTAAACACTTGACTTAATGATTGAGTTGAAGAATATGATTAGATGTATTACATGATATTTCTGCAAAAATCAAGCCATTCAAAAAAAAATATTATATACAATTCTTACTGCTTGTCATGACGTAGGTTTGGTTCAAGACAACTCTAAGATCTAGTGCTCTAAAGAGCTTTACTGTTTGCGACAGAAAATAGTTGATGGTGGAGTCTCCTCTGTTGTGGTAAATAGTGTCAGAATGATTGAGTTATGTAACCTACTCCAGCTCCATCAGACAGTACAGGGTCAAACAGGCTGTCAAGATAACGATCCATCCCTCTCTGAGGCTCTAAATCTGCAGGGAGAGAAGAGCGGGGATATGTTTACTGCTCCCATCATAAGCAGTGGAAGGTGTTCTTGTGTTTGCCACATAACTCACCTTGGCTAAAGTGATCGGAGCCGGATACGGCTGAAGGATTGACGTCATTGCTTATTTCAAACCCACCACCCAGCAGGCTTCTGTCAAACAATAACAAAGAGCATCTTCATGAGATCATGCATTTATCAAGAATGGACAAGGTTGTGACAGGACAAGTTAGAATTGGGGATCCATGTTTATTAGCTAAATTAATGCTTAAAATGAAGATTAAATCCATCAGATATGTTTTGGTTTCCACTTAATAAATATTGCTCTTTCTTAATCTCTTTTCTGATCCAAGCTAACATTGCAAATAAAGATCTGATTTGTAACCCACACAAAATCCCCAACAATTTAAAACAATGCTAATTGCATAAATGAGAAAGACAACTGTCTTGGGGATCTAGAACTTCCTTTATCAGAATATGATAGAATTATCTGATATTTCTTGACAGAAATAGATTTAAAAGATAAAATATGTCATAAATGTTTTTTATTGAAAAAGTAGCTATAAAAATTAAAAACTGTGGTGCTGTCAAAACATTTTTACACTTACACAAGTTATTTTATCTCTTTTTTTTGGCCACATGCAATTATTTTACATTCAGGTAATTTCATCATCACACAAAGATAATGTAAGTAAATATAAACGGCATCTGTTGGGCTCTTTTTGGCATCAAGACAATTATTCTTATTTCCACATCGCCAGACAGGACACTGTAAAAAAAAAAAAAAAAAAAAAAAAAAAAAAAAAAAAATATATATATATATATATATATATATATATATATATATATATATATATATATTTCTTTTTTTTCCCCATTGGGAAAATTTACATATTGTTTAAGGTCAAACATAGAACTGCATATCAGTTAGATTTACGTCCAGATTTTTTAAGCCAATCAGAAGAAGGCTAAGGGTAATGTACTGCTGCATGACCCAAACCTGCTTAAGATTACAGACCGTCCCACTATCACCGCCATTTTTGCCTGTCAAAGGGACGTTCTTAGTTTTACAGCAGATATAACTGGACATGCACTTTCCAGAATATGGCTTAATTAGCTTCCATCAGTCCACAGATGATTATAAGTTCTTTCTTTTCTATCTCTTGTCTCAGGATAACTGCTTTTTTGAATTCTTATTGAACTGCCACAAGCTTGAACTTTTAAAACACAGTGAATTACCTATGTTTTAGAACGGTGAGTTTGCTTGGGGGAGTGGCAGGTGTCTAAATGTGAGAGATAAAACTTGTATGTATTCATTTCTATTAAAAAACAATGAAATCAGAATTATTTGCCCAAATAATCAGATTGACAGGAAACAACATTTTCTTTTCCAGGTTATGTCATGTCTTACCACCTTTGCATCAGGTTAACATATATCTTTACACTCTCTGTCGACTAACTACAACAACTCCTACTTTTATATATGAGGTCAAGCTTGCTGATCAGTGATTAATAAATAAAAACCATTGAAAGCAGCACTATGCTGCTACTTTTCTTCTTTTAGCACATTAAGACACAGGAGCTTCTGCTGTAGGTTTAGATTTTTTACTTTTACTAAATTCATTATATTTTCCAAAATAGTTGGTGGTTTTAGTGTTTGGTTAAAATATTGATATTGAAGATCATTCGGATATTTTATGACAGCTTTAGAGATGTAACATTGATAGCCTTTTACATTTAGTGACAAACTATTTCAACATTTGAATTTGATTTAACATTTCATTAACAGCACAGGTTTCTAGTAAAGTGCAGGTGCAGCTGATAAAATGTGTCCTAATTATAGTTTATTTTTTAAAATCACCAGGATAATAAAGCCATAATTTTAACAGCTGGATGCCTTTATTGAAACCTGACAGTTTGAATGCGTGTGTATTTGTGTTTCCTCACATGCTGGCATTGGGCCGAACTCTTGCTGGCTCCAGAGCAGAGATGATGAAGTAGCTGTTGTGTTTGGGGAAGTCAGCAGGAAGCTCCAGGTCTGACATCAAGTCTAGAACGTAGTCTGAGCCCTCAAGTTCAACCCACTGAGCCGACTCCTTCAGCAGTACAGACCAGCCTCTGCGGCCATCTACCACGCCCCTATACACACGCACACACAGAGCATGCAAAATTTCCAACTACACATTTTAACCTTTCTTTCCCTTTCTCTGTATTTATATTACCTGTGTTGTAAGATGTTTTTGGCAATCTCCTCTCCTGTGGTCCAGGAATGCAGTGGACACAGGAAGGACAACCCTAAAGTGGAAAAGCAATCGCTTTTGTTCAACTCAATATAAATAATAAATACATTTCAGGTAGGTAACTACAACAAGAAATTGGTTTCACCAGCATCCTGCTTATACTGTAGCTATCAGAAGTGGCGGTTCTAGACCAAATGTACCATGGGGGCCAGCGTGTTTTCATGTAATAAAAAACAGGGCAAGGGATTTAAATAAATAAAGATAGCTGCAATTTCTTTCAATTAGGTTTCATTAAAATTCTAAATGTCTTATTAGGTCAATATGCATTCAGAAATTTTACATATTTTTTACTTAATTTAAGTTGAAATTACAGTTTTCTATAGAATCTGAATTAGAATTTAAGAAAAAACTGTTAAATTCAGCTGTAAAAATTAGAGTAATTTTTAAATTTGTTTTGAAAAAAACATTTAGCAAATGAAAACTGGGATCCTATCTCAATACCACTGAAGCTTTCACCTTATTGTTTTTAAATAGTTAATAAAACAGAATTTGTAAAGAAAAAAAGGAAATAGATCCAAAGGATCTATGAGTAACCATGCCTGTTCCAGCACTTATAATCGTTATAATTTCTTTGAGTATTATGTCTTCAGTACAGGGGCCATAGCAAGGGCCAGGACATGATTTACATGGCCCCTGGCCCCCGTTGGCCCCTGTCTAGAACCGCCATGGCTATCAGAGTCCCAAACAGACACAAATAAAACCAGCAAACAAGAGTATCAGGTGTTGTTTAATCCGCAGACTTGCCAAAAGACCACAGGTCAGATTAAGTGGACGAGAGGAGGAAATGAGAGAAAGGAAGATAGTGAACTCAATCCTGCTGAATATTGAACACAGACTGGGCTCAGGTAAAAATATAAAGTAGGTTAATGATGTAGGTCAAAGGTAAGGCTGGGCCAGCAAGTAGGACAAATAAAAAAAATTGTAAATAGATAAGAGATCATTCAAAAATAACATTTAAAAAAAAAATCATCTTCTATATAGCTGTATAGGTTTTCTCAGACTTTGCTCACCATCCAAGCAGTGTATGTGCAGAACAGTGTGAGCTTTCTTGCGATTTGCTGTCCACTCCAGCAGACAGGGTGGGTAGGTCCGGGCATACTCAGGCCCGACACTGAGACGCTGCATCGCCTGAAGCAGTCGGTTCTGACACATACAGTCAAAGCCCTCTGGGCCATAGTCTGACACAAACCTAAAAGAAAAAACAAGTATGAGACTTGAAATAAAATGTTGCATATCTTAAAGGGAAGCAAAATACCTTCAGATCAGATGCATGGAGCTTTAAATAATATATTTTTAAACACTGAAGTTAATTACATATTCTTACATACAATTACAAACTACGATATAATTTTATGAGATTAATAGTATATTAGAAAATAACACACAGGAAAGCACATTTGAGAATTTTTTTTCTAAAAAGACTATTAAAAGTGGGGTGTAAGTTTGTACTTGTACGGGTCCCCCTGACACAGAGCTTCTCAGAACCATTGGTGGTCAAACCTGCAAATATTTTGGGGTATATGTCTAGAAGCTTTGCATATCTAGAAAAGGGATTTTTGTCTGCCACTCTGTGCATTATTGCTCAGATTAAATGGAGAGTGTCTGCATCAAATTTTGAAGCAGACTTGAGTACAATCAGACTGGTCCATTCCAATATTTAAATATGTGTCTAAATTACAGTGTTGAAATGGTTGCATCTTGAATTGGCTGAATCTTTAGGGTTGTTGTCCTACTGGAAGGTGATTTTTAATTGAATATGCAGTCCTGTTTCCTACTGGGGATGGTGTTTTATTTGTAATGTGCAGAGTTTTGCAGGTTTCTCTCATATCCTGGGGTTTCGCATCAATGACAAACAGATCAGTTTTGTTCTCATCTGTTCAGGTGATCTTATTACAAATTATTAATTTGACCCTTAACCCACCGATTGCTCCCTGGGCGCTGCACAATGGCAGCCCACTGCTCCCCAAGGGGATGGGTTAAATGTAGAGGTACATTTCTCCAATGTCTCACTTTCTTTCCACTGCATAATCATTCTTTTTTAACATTAGTCTTTTACATACAATGTCATAAAAAATCCATGGACAGTTGAGGCTTGGTTGCAACAAAATATGAGAAGTTCAAGGGGTGACAATACTAAGGTTTATGCTCTTACTTCAGGAGGTATTTAGCCAGTCTTTGAGAGGGAAGGAAGGCAGACAAACAGGATGAGAGAAGAAGCCAGCCCCGCTCTGAGTTCAGTATGTTAGGATTTCTCCACACCTTGAAGAAGAAATTGTAAAAGCTTCTCAGGGATCTAGAATGAAGTTGTCTATTAATGTAAAAACTAGCAGGTTAAAACCTGGTTGGTTATCTGAGCCAGAATCTCATCTCTGAGGCTGGGGTTGGCCAGTCCCCTTTGAATGATGTAATTCCCAAACATGTTTTCTTGAGCTCCATTCAGGTTTGGATCACCCATGAAACGAAGAATCTGGGGGAAAGAAAAAAAAATATAAATATATATATATATATATATATATATATATATATATATATATATATATATATATAAAAAAAAAAAAAATATATATATATATATATATATATATATATATATATATATATATATATATATATATATATATATATATATATATATATATATATATATATATATATATATATATATATATATATATATATATATATATATATATTCAAAGAAGATATAATATCCTAATTTAATTGTGGTCATTTCTTGTTTCAGATCATCTGCTGTTTTCATATCATATCTCTGTTTCTTTCTATTTTATTCATTTTAGCAGCCTCCCATGATTGACTGAGTGCATATAATTAACGGCTGGGTGATGATGTCAGGGTTTTACAAGAAGCATCCAACTACAACATGTACCAGAATGAAAACGTTCAGAGATCCTTTTAGGAGCTCCTGATCTAGACGAATCAGGGAATTCTCCAGTGGAGCAGTGAGCATTCCAAACAGTGGCTCCTACAACAAAAACAAAAACACACAGCTTATAACAGAGACCCAACCTGCATTTGAAACAACCCCATTACCTCAACTTATTATTTTATATAATTACTGATAGGGTTTTATCTGCTTGGCAGAACAAGGCAGCTGTCTGGATGTCAGTGTGGCAAAAAAAAAAAAAAAAAAAAAATTCTTTACCCAAAGATTGGGTATAATGGCAGGGGGGAAATTTGAAGGGATTGGAGAAGAGATTATGTGTAGTGTGAGCAAAATGAATGTTGCCTAGTGATGATGAATAAAATGTTAATAATATGAAATCATTCCTTGTCAAACTGAAGGTCATACAATGGTTCATGAAGGATTTGCACTTAGTTCAAGTTCATTTTTAAATAACTGCCTTGTCTGCCTATGGTAGCAAATGGTACTGTTTTTCTGCTGTTTAAAAACATTGCTGACATAATGGTGTGTTTTATTACCCTGAACATGGTCCGGATGTAATGTGTTATGAGGTATTCATTGATATCAAGGGGAAGCGTGAGCTGAGGGTCCACCTGGACCTTTGGAGCTTGAACAACTGCCAAGCAATCAGTATGCAACTCTTTACCCCCTGTCAGACACACAGACACAAACACATACTGTATTACATCTTTCTATACTTGCAGGACTTTGCTTTAATTTCCATTCCTTTTCCACTCAGTTCTATGTTCTAACAGTCACTAGACCGTAAACCTCACCATTACCAGTACATACCTAACCCTCAAAATGTATTGCTAACCTGAGTCTAACCAGCCCTTTTCCATATAGGGCCCAAAGCCTGGGCCTTGCTTTCTCAAAATATAGTATGAGCTAAAAAATAAATAAAGAAAATGGGCCTCACATTTCAACAAATTTCAGAACAAACAAATTTCGGTATTTAACTTTTTTTTTTAATTTATGAGAACTTTGCAATGACTTGCAATGAAATTGACTTTTAAACCTTTTTATGGCCTAATCCTAACCTTAACTTAACTGAAATTATATTAAAGTTCTAAACCTAACTCAAGCTTAATCAAAGTGAGAAGTAGGAAATGTCCTCACTTCCCAAAATTGTCCTTGTTTTAGAGGTGAAATACATAAAAGTGTCGCGAAAAAAATAGCTACAAGTACCCCACCACCACCTCCACACCCACAGCAATGTTTATACACTGATATGAAATCAACATGATGACGTACCATAAATAAACCTCCATGTTTGCAGGTTGTCTAAGCAATATTTACAGTGTTATTTCAGAGAGACACAAGGTCTCTGTTATTTGTGTGCGCACCTGAAACAGCCTGCAGCAGGCCAGCCAGCTCTGCAGGGATAGGCAATGTTGTCACATTCACCACTTCTCGATTGATCCGGTCCTGCGCAAACCAAATCAGTCAACCCATGCTGCATCATGTTTAGTGCAAATAGTTGCACTCCCCTCTAGGGCACATTTAGATTGCATCTTTACTAACCTCCTCTGCCTTCCTTGCCGGCTCCAGCACTGTCTGACAAAAAGAAAAAGCATCCCACTTTAAACATTTGTTCAGTTTTTAATTGCTTCCTAAGAATCAAACTCAGAATCTGTGTGCATACCCTCATGTAGCGCTGGCGGTTGACAATTAGCAGGATGGTAGAACGTAGTTTGATGAGATATTTCCTCCTTAGAGCAAACTTTTTTCTGTTTTTGGGAAAGGTGTTGTTATCATACATTCATTGGAAATAATATATTTGATAAAATTGCATCATAAAGCTATATACTGCTGTGTGTGGTATAGAAAGTCTGCACCACACTGCATCAAGTTAAGTCACTATTGTTGAACCAGTGCAGAAAGTTAATGACACTGCTATAGTTTCAACACACGTTTTTCAAAAAGTGTCATTTGTGCTAATTCATCAGACAGCAGAGACCTTTTTTCTGAAATTTAAAGAATCATAATGTTAAATCTATGCTTTATTGTCTTTTTGCCACGATTTTAGTACCTATATTGAAAATGCAAATTTGCGACACACGTACACACGACTGGCACCGGCCTGGAAATCTATCCCCTTTGTTGGATGAGTGCAGCCTGGACTCCACATCTTATCTCCCCGTATCAAGGTCATTGAATGAGGTTTCCGTGATAAGGCTCTTAGTGTTCAGGTCAGTAAAACCAAACTGTAAGGCCTACATTTCTGAGCTGTTGGGTGATACTCTAGACTCAAAACCCATAAAACCAGCTGATATCAAATACTGTAGTGTGGAAGTTCTGGGATATTTTGGGCCTTGTTTAGGAAGGCACTTGTTTAGTACAATATATATATATATATATATATACATATATATATATATATACATATACACTATATTGCCAAAAGTATTTGCTCACCTGCCTTGACTCACATATGAGCTTAAGTGACATCCCGTTCCTAATCCATAGGGTTCAATATGACGTCGGTCCACCCTTTGCAGCTAGAACAGCTTCAACTCTTCTGGGAAGGCTGTCCACAAGGTTTAGGAGTGTGTTTATGGGAATTTTTGACCATTCTTCCAGAAGCGCATTTGTGAGGTCGCACACTGATGTTGGACGAGAAGGCCTGGCTCTCAGTCTCCGCTCTAATTCATCCCAAAGGTGTTCTATCGGGTTGAGGTCAGGACTCTGTGCAGGCCAGTCAAGTTCATCCACACCAGACTCTGTCATCCATGTCTTTATGGACCTTGCTTTGTGCACTGGTGCACAGTCATGTTGGAAGAGGAAGGGGCCAGCTCCAAACTGTTCCCACAAAGTTGGGAGCATGGAATTGTCCAAAATGTCTTGGTATGCTGAAGCATTCAGAGTTCCTTTCCTTGGAACTAAGGGGCCAAGCCCAGCTCCTGAAAAACAACCCCACACCATAATCCCCCCTTCACCAAACTTTACACTTGGCACAATGCAGTCAGACAAGTACCGTTCTCCTGGCAACCGCCAAACCCAGACCCGTCCATCAGATTGCCAGATGGAGAAGCGCGATTCGTCACTCCAGAGAACGCGTCTCCACTGCTCTAGAGTCCAGTGGCGGCGTGCTTTACACCACCGCATCCGACGCTTTGCATTGCACTTGGTGATGTATGGCTTGGATGCAGCTGCTCGACCATGGAAACCCATTCCATGAAGCTCTCTGCGCACTGTTCTTGAGCTAATCTGAAGGCCACATGAAGTTTGGAGGTCTGTAGTGATTGACTCTGCAGAAAGTTGGCGACCTCTTCGCACTATGCGCTTCAGCATCCGCTGACCCCGCTCCGTCAGTTTACGTGGCCTACCACTTCGTGGCTGAGTTGCTGTCGTTCCCAAACACTTCCATTTTCTTATAATACAGCTGACAGTTGACTGTGGAATATTTAGGAGCGAGGAAATTTCACGACTGGATTTGTTGCACAGGTGGCATCCTATCACAGTTCCACGCTGGAATTCACTGAGCTCCTGAGAGCGACCCATTCTTTCACAAATGTTTGTAAAAACAGTCTGCATGCCTAGGTGCTTGAATTTATACACCTGTGGCCATGGAAGTGATTGGAACACCTGATTCCAATAATTTGGATGGGTGAGCAAATACTTTTGGCAATATAGTGTATATATATATATATATATATATTTTTTTTTTTTTTTGGGAAAGAGTTTCACAAAATCTGTAGAACTAATGATTAAGTACACCTTAAGAGAGAAGGAGTAAGACTGAGTAGGGAAGGCAAACTGAAGAAAATCTGGTTTTGCTTCTTAACTCTGCCTTTTGGGCAGTTTTGCTCCTAATAGCAATCCCTCAAGTAGACATGGGAAATAAAACAATAACATTAATTATAGCAGTATAGGTACCTGATCAATGTCAATAGGAAATATGTTTGATACAATGTTCTATAATTGCCCTAACTCCTATCCAGAAATGCATCATTCTGGTGGGTGTGGGTAGAGAAACAGATTTACCTTCTTAATCTCTCAAGACCCATCAAAGCAAACTTTGTAGTAGATCTGACCTCATGTTAAGAATTACATTATTTTTGTGCAAATAAAAAGGTGGGTACATATCATCCTCTAAACACAAGTAGACACTGAATGATTGATTTAATAATATGCTAAAATCTAGATCTGCAACAAACACAAGTAGGAAGGTTTAACTAATAGTAATGCAGATAGCAGTTTTAGGAGGAGTCCCAGTTGAAATTTATGACTTATTACGTCTTGTGAAGACAAATAAAATGCAACATATTTGATTGATTACCTTTATGAAATCAAGATTTAATCCAGTAATTAAGTAGCAAGACCACAATAATGTTATATTAGCCATTCTTTTGTATGACCTTAAACTGGGGTGACTGTTTACTGGTGCGTTGGTGTGTGAATATGTGTGTGAATGTACGTATGGAAGTGGGTAAACATTTGTATGTGTTTGTGTGGATGTGATGTGTAACCTTGGGAGTGTGATTAGAACAGTAAAATACCCCTCCACCTACATCACCTGATAGCAAAAAAAGGGGGTAGGCCTGGCCCCAGAAGGCTGCAGCAGTCCCAGGCTGCCAGACAGAAAGAATTACCCCAAAGGTTTTCTGCAACCAGATGCCTTTAGATTTCCACCATTAGAAATGGAGTCCACCTCAGTTTAATTTAATGTCAGTAAACATCAAGTTGTTCTGCGAAGCCCTCTAATTTATTACATGAGCTGTTTTGTTATAGCACTCTCTCCAGTCCAATGACTCCATAATGCTTTACACTACACTTATGTATTCACACATTCATGCACTGATGTGGAAAGCTACACTGTAGCCACAGCAGCCCTGGGGCAGACTGGCAAAAGCAAGGCGGGCAAGACGGTTGAAGTGTCTTGCAGCTAGAGAGTGGGGCCTAAAACTGGAAGCAAGCTTGTAACAGGACAAACTCCTAGCCCCTGAGCCTAGAATAGTGTTTAGATCAAAGTTATTCATTATAGTTAAACGGACCAAGTCTAAGTGCATAACTAAGTCTAATTTGCATGACTTGAACACTAATTGCTTGACTGATATTTTGCAAAGAAAAACAATGTTTTTAAAGCTCACAGAGTCAAGCCAGCAAAAGACAACATTTTTCTTAGAAGACACTTGAAGAAACATTTTCTTTCTATTCACTACCGGTACATCTCCCACCTTGTCTGTAACATAAAATCCCAATGACATTTACAGTAGTTTATGATTGTAACATGTTTGTATATGTTTCAGCATTATAAATACTTTTATAAGGAGGTGTATAATAATAATCACATGCATGTTCAGAAATTTACCTGGCCAGGTAGCCTCTGCAGCGAGCTTCAAAGCAGGTTATACTTCGCCTGAATTTGAGAAAGTTCTGTCGAACAAAACACATGCGGGCATATCTCTGCAGCGTCATGGCAGCTATGTCCAAAACACGGTCACGCTTCCCTTCCAACAGCTGATACAGCTCCTCTTTAAGGAAAATCTAATATACACAAAAGCAGATGCATATTTATTGCCATTAACTTGGAGTTATGATACATGCCAGCTTGTATTTCATGCAAATGGTTGTTTGTGTTACCAGTTAAACTCACCTTGCTGACGCCCACCTGATATGAGCCTTCCTTGACTGGACAGAGTTTGTGAAGCATCATAACACAATTTTCTCCATCTGCTGGCATAGGATCCTTCAGACAGAGCAGAGCTTTATACCTATGGTCACACATCATTTGACAAGGAAATCAGAATTTCCCAAAGAGATAAGAACCAGGAAATACAAAGTTGCATCCTGTATCTCAGAATTGTGCAAATCTTAGATTGGATGCAAACCTGACAGCTCTTGTTCGAGCCTAATTGGTATTTTGCGTATTTAGAGTATTTGGCTGCTTGTAATTTGCGTGGTCTAACTACTTTCTGTGTGAGTTTTATCTCCTGTGAGTGCTGCTGTAAATCAGATCCCTTTGACAGCGAACAGTGAGTGGTGCTGGGAGATCAATTGGTTTCATCAGCTTTCCTACTGAGGAAGCTGACAAATGCCAAATGGGTCTTTCAATGTGAAGAGACCCGTTTGCGTGAAATGTATTATCTCCAATGAAAGCCAATAATTACAATGATATTGACAGAATGTTGAGAGTACAGGGCACATAATCTTTCAGGAATGGAAGGTGAAAAGAAAGGCTACAAAAACTGGAGGGTATTCTAGCCTGTTATAGTGTTGTGACAAAGTAACTGCAGTTTTCTTCTGTTTTTATCTATTATTTTAAACTAAATGTTTGGAATTTTTAAGCTAATTTAAAGAGATAAGATGCAGTAGTACAAAATACAAGTTTTAAGTGACGGTTTATTTTTTAAGGGGAAAAGGGATTCCAAACAGCTAGGTTGTGATGTTTTTAAATCCCTGTTGAGGAATTCTGGCCTAGTCTTTTTCAAATTTGGGAGAGGCAGTGACTCAATGGGGAAATAGGGATTTCTTGATATCAGAATGTTAAGTTTAGCTTCCTACTGCTACACTTCACTTAATTCCAAGTTGACATCCGATCTTCATAACCAGTAGTCTAGTTGTAAAAAACAAAAAAGGAGGATGGAAGATTCTTTGTATTTTTTTTTGGAAGCATACATAGCAGAGATGGGGGATCTGGAGTCATCAAGTCATCTCTATGTCATGTATTTGTTCTGACCAGGTGAGTCCAATCTGCACAGGTTAAACCAGATTGGACTCACCTGGTTCAGTGGCTGACAAAGCGATGACTCGTTGACTCCAGATCCCCCATCTCTGATACATAGCCTAATTAATATAGTCTATTAACTAATGCACTATGCATGGTATGGTGGTTACATGTCAGGTACCCCGGTCATTGACCTCGACCATTGCACCTCTCAATAGAACTGCGGTCAGTCCCTGGACTGTCATGGCTATCACTGCCCCTACACAGTTAGGGACAAATGCAGAGGTCAAATTTCCTACTGGGATCAGCTTCATAGTAGGCCACTTCTTTGATTTTATTTAGTTTACTCAGGCTACTTGTTAGCCCACACCTAATGTTGAAAGGGTAATATTATTGCCATTACTATTAATATATAGTAGAAATTTTACACATTCAGAAATAAAATGTCATGGGTTTCTAAGGGCTGGATGGGGTCTGGTTTGGGGACAGGCAGCCAAGGAGCTGGAATCAGAATCAGCTTTTCCAAGTCCAAGGCTATGGTCCTTGACAGGAAGACATGGGATGTCCCCTTCAGGTTCTAGGAGAATTCCTGACTCAAGGGGAGGAGTTAAAGTATCTTGGGGTCCTGTTCACAAGTGTGGATTTAATGTGGATGCTGCACATTTGTTTGATTGTTGTGTTGAAGAGAGAGCTGAGCAAAAAGGCAAAGCTCTCGATTTAATGGTTGGTTTACGTTCCTACTAGGGATGCACGATATAATCGCCCCCTATCGGTATCGGCCTTAAAACTGAATATCGGACATCGGCCACCCCACCGATATTTAACCCGATATTTGATCAGCTTCTGAGTTTCTAAAGTCTAAAAATAAAATAAAAAATACTACTACTTCTTCCTCAAAAACTTCTTTTTTACAGACTTAAAAACTTCTAAAGATGAGGGAAAAAATATTGATACATTCAAATATCACAATATCTTCATATGCTGATATATTGCCATTTAAAAACACCATATCAATCTCTTTTACTACTGAAATATTGCTATATGTCATCGTTATGCTACGAAATCCTCAAAATTCACGAAATTTTGCCCTTTTTATATGTTGATATATTGACGCGGTATCTATGTATTTTACTAACAAAATCTCACAAGAATTTGCAAAATATCAAGAGAGTTTGTAACGAGACGATGAAATTTCACGAGATTTTGAAAGTAAAATAGATCGATACCGCGTTTTTAAAAATCTATTTGATATCAGCATATGAAAATATATTTGAGTATATTATTTTTCAAAGTGTCAGAAATGGATAACAAAACTTCTATTTTCAATGACTACTTATTTTTGTCCAGCTTTAACATCGGTATCGGTTATCAGCTGCATGAGTTTTAAAATATCGGCATATCGGATATCGGCCAAAATCCCAATATCGTGCATCCCTAGTTCCTACCCTTACCTACAGTATGGTAATGAAATCTGGATCATGACTAAAAGAACGAGATCTCAGAGAGAAAATTGGTAGTTATTTTTTTTTTCTGCAGGGTGACTGGCAGCTAAACACACCCTTAGAGATAGGGTGACGAGCTTCGTCATTCAGGAGAGGCTTGGAGTAGAGTTGTTTCTCTCCCACATTGAGAGGAGTATCCTGAGGTGGCTGAGACTCTTTTTCAGATGCCTCCACCAGGAAGTGTTTGAGGCCCGTTCCACTAGGAGGAGAGCCAGGGAACGACCCAGCACAGGTTGGAGGGACTATGTCTTAGCTGGCCTGTGAGCACTTTAGGTTTCTCTCAAAGGAGCTGAAGGAAGTGTCTGGGGAGAGAGGGAAGTCTGGGAGTCTCTACTGAGACTGTCGACCCTGCAACCCGGTCCAGGATAAGTGGAAGACAACAAGTACCAGACCAATGATGTTACGTTGAGAAGATCTCTAGTATTCAATACAGCACCACCCCATCACACTATCGCCACTGTGTAAGACTATACAATGTCAGAAACATGTTCTTTTTCGGTTCACCTCCTGTTTCTTTATAAGCCGGTGTCATAACTTAATTTTTCCATTGTGAGACCAATAAAGTTCTATTCTATTCTAATGCTGTAATAGTGTTACACGAGATATAATCAAATTCACATCTTTTAAAAAGTCACACTTTTTTCTGGCCAGTCAACAGAAAACTTTCCTAAAAGGTTTTCATAATCCTGGGTAATCATTTATAATCCTTCAATTTGAAAATGGTGTTATTGTATTTTGCTCTGTGTTTTTCTCATTGTTGAATCAATTTTTTTTTTTTTTTATAAAAAAATAAAGCAATGAGGGCCTCTTGAAGTAATTTTGGTTGTTAGTTACCCCTGAGTAAGTTTACTACTCTTCCATATAGTGTACATTTATGGATAATAGTTCTCCTGTGGTTTTACTGGAATCCTTAAAATGTATGATAGCTAACTATTTTCAAAATTATGTTTCTCTGCTGTTCTTCATTTTTTTTTTAATTGTTTGCTTATTAAGAACTTTTATGCTTTACACAATCAGACAGGTCACATGACTAAATAATTTAAGAAGGGAAGTAATCACTTTATACATCATCACTAATAAAATTATTTTTTTCCTATGCGATACCATTTGTTTGGTGATCTGAAACATTTAAGTGAATCAATAAAGTAAAAGCTGAAGAAATCACAGTTTGGTGGGTAGGACTTTTACACAGCATTGTATTTAGATGATCGGTTTATTGTTGTTGTTCAGCTATCATGATATTCAGTAGTAGTTGTTGCTAATCTATTAAAATGCCTAAACAGGTGTTTAAAATGGATTCCCATTAAAGTGCATAGTAATATAAAATGGTGATACCATTAGAATCTTTTAACATTTTGGTGTGTTAAAACAATGGTTTGTTTGATTAAAAAAATGAAGGCAGACCCTTTGAGTTGGTCTATCAAATAAGATCCCAACAAAAACACACTAAGAAAACAAAAGTGACTTCAATTACCTTTTAATATTGTATCTGTTCACATCTTTGAACAACCAACCTTGATAAGAAGCTGTGAAAGGTCAACCTTGCAGGGTAACCCTCCTTCCTTATACGGATGGTCTCCATAATACCAGAATAAAGCAGCTGTGTGTTGACAAGATTCATGTCAAACATTCCTGGCATCTGCATACACAGAACAACTTTGTTTTAAATATCAATATGCAAAAAAAGTCCCATAACAGGCAACCCCTAAAAGCAAACAAAGAATCCAAAAAATGTACAAACTGGCATACATCATCATACTTGCAAATATACCTTTTGATGGTTCGGCTTGATGCATCGCACAAAAAAAGGGTTACACCTGTCACAGATGGAGGATAATTGATGCAAAGATAAGTGATTTAAATGAGGCATTATTTTAACTTTGCAAGGGAAGTCTACTTTTCAATGTGTAAATTAATAGAATCAGCATTTTCTGTAGAAGGCTAAGGCATATAATCCAGTTTACTTGATAGAGTGGCGTAAAATCAGCATAAGACAGGATTTTATCCTAAGATCTGTTTTTTTATTTATCTGAGTTGCTAAGATTTACAGTATGGATCCGGCTAAGTCATATGCTTGAATTGCCATTGTAACAAATCAATCACAATCCATTACACTGAGAAAGAAAGATATTTTACATGAAATATTATAGAAAGCTACAATAGAAGAAATACTCATCCAAAAATCTTCTTCTACTCCCTATAATTCAGAAGATATTGACTGTGATATCTTGTCTTATAGCAATTAATAGTGGTCAGTGAAAGCATGTCTTAGCCTGGGTTTGTACAGTATATATGAACAAATAGACTCTCCAGTTAGACTTTTGTTTTGTATGGAAGTCTAAGGCAAAAAGTAAGAAGTCTTCTTTAACTACAAACCTCCCCATCTTGTCCAGCAGGTCCTGTAGGCTACTCTGGAACTTTGCACTGACTGTGTTGGCCTGATGACGACGTGCCGTGCTGTTGCGACGCAAATTGGAGTGCTGCTGTGACAAAGACTCTGAATGCTTCAAGAAAAAGCTCGATACCATCTGAACATACATAGAAAACAAACAGAGGATAAAGAGTTAAACTAAAAGACAGGGCTTAACCAGAACACCTTCTCAGGTAACATTTGGACTAAATTGGTGAAAGATACTTAGACATTAAAAATTAAAAGCTTACTACCTGATTTCAGAGCTGAGATTTTTGACATGGAGAGTATTGTTATTACAGTCTACAGCCTGTAGTTACATATCAGAGCTCATATTTAAACAAACTGACTGGGGGTTGTACAGTAAGGTTCCCAAGAGATAATTAAGCTTACTTCCACAGTCTAAAAACATGACTTTTAGGCTGATGGGTCTCTCTTTGGAGTGAGTTTGTGTGTCCATTATTTATTTGTCTTGCGTTGGATTGGGAACCTTTACAGGGTGTACCCTGTCTCTCAATAAATGGCTGTTGCAGACAGACAGCATTCCCCTTAAAATCCTACGAAGTAAAGTAGGTAAAGCCTATGGATGGGTAATCAAAGCATCTTTTTCTCTTTTGCAGTGTCCAACTTAGAGTTTATTATAAAGTTTCCAATTTATTTGCCCTCCATAATGACCTCTCTTTCCTAGAATCATATTTGTGGAGTTGATAGTTATTCAGTGGAGCAACTCTCTCCCCTGAATTGTTGATCTTGTCAGGTACTGGAAAGGTGTCCAAAGGGCAGAAGTGGGAGATATGTAGTAAATGGCTGTGTTCTCTGAGGGCCAAATTTGTTGGCCAATTAAATCATACTGCAGTGTTGTGGCCTCTTCCGCCTTAAAGACTCGTTCTTATACAACCGACCAATGTAGCTTTCTTTTTGACCGGTTGGAAGGACAGGTCTAGTGTATCATTCATAGGCTAGGTTATCCCGTGATTCACTGCATGTCCAATCATGCTCCATGCACAGAGGAAAAAACGGAAATGGCGACAAACAGTTGCAATATTGTAAGTGCAGTTTAATATAATACAAATATTTGAATAGTTTTGTATTAAATCAATGAAAATAGTTACGTTTAATGGTTAGTGAGGCAGATATGTTGCGGGTAATGTTAAGTTTATTCAAAGGTTTTATCTGTCCCTTTGCAAACGGGTTTGTCTGACATTTAAGCACAGATTCCAATAACTGTGCAGTGTGGGGACTATAAATCTGACATCTGCAACCATGGTACTGCTGCTGAAAAACAGAAATGAAACTAGCACACAGGACAGTACTGAGACATTCGTTATCCATTATTTACCTACTCTGGCTGTGTCTGAACGTCTGCCCTAACCCCTAAATCCCTCAATCACTATATTGAGCTGGAACTATATTGGACTTTATAGTGAACTGAGTTAACTGACTGTTTGGATAAATGATCACTGCTTTTCGCTTCCTGTTGATCACCACCTCTTCGCACGGTCCCTTCGCCATCTTTGTTATTCGTTGCCGCTGTCGAGTAGCGACCGCTGTATTCATGTCTATGGCGACAGCGGGCCGCTGCGACAACAGCATAATGCTTTGTGAGAAGATCTCTCCTCACAAAGCCTTCAGGAATATATCTGCTTGTCTAGTGATCATACATGATCACTGTTTTTCAAGGTGCATTGTGGGAAATGCCTACGGCACTCGAACACTCATTTAAAGTGGCGTAATCACTATATAGTTCCTTAAATAGTTATTAGGGCGGCCATTCTGAGAGAGCTATAGAGATGGTTCCTCTCTATATGGTTCCTCATCTCCAACCTTTGTCACAGGTTTTTTTCAGTTAAAGGAGGTTCTGCCCACCTGAGAAAGTTTCCTTTGAAGCTCTGAACTCTGCTAATTAACAATCTGCTCTAACCTCCAGTACAGTAAGGGCCGGATTTATCAAAGGTTTGCGTGTATTAAAACGTGAGCTATTTCACTGCGCACGCTAAAAAATGTACAAACTGATCTATCAACAGCGTGCTAAAAGGATTTGGTCTTTAAAACGTGCTAAATAGCGCCTCTTATCCATTTAGTACTTTTTCTGCAATGAATATTCAATATAGGGCGTTTACACGCAAAAGTGCGTCTTGTGGGAGGAGAACATGTAAATATATTAATTTAGCACTCGCAAAGTGATTTATCAAACCTGAAAGCAATTTTGCTAACGGTATCTGACTCTATATTTAACACGTTTCAAAAGAAGGTGCAAATGGTCTGTATGCGTAATTGCGCACACATGGCAGCGGTTATTGTCGCAAGAAGGAGACATCGAAATGAAGCAATGAGACGCAGAGAACGCATTTTTTCACTCCGTGTGAATATTTTTGGAATGAACGAGGAAACGATCATCAAAACATATCGTTTATCCGGCATTGCCATTTTGGAGCTGTTGGGGGAACTCCGAATGGATTTGGAGCCAGCCACAAGGAGGACCCACGCATGCAGATATCACAAAACTCCTCGCAACATTGCACTTTTTTGCATCTGGGATCTCCCAATCTCGTTTTTCAGAAGTGCTGTCCGACGTTCTAAATGCCATGTCGCCCTGACGCCCTATCGGAGAACCCCGACACCCTGCGCCTGTGGAGCAACATGCCAATGCAGTCATCTTATCCACAGTCACTTCTTGTGAGCCATTTGGTATGTGCATTGTTCTACAGGCCGATACAAAACACCTGTTTTTTTTTTTTGTTTCTGTGTTTTTTTCTTACTGCGGTGAAGTAGAAATTCAGCCACATACCACCTTAGGGAATAAAGGTTGCCAAAGTTATATATATATATATATATATATATATATATATATATATATATATATATTTTTTTTTTTTTTTTTTTCTTTTTTTTTTCTTTTTTTGGAGGGGGTGGTGTCACTGTAAGATTAAAATTTCTTAATGCACTAGTTTGCACAAACTACTTTGCCGCAAACCACAAAACGCGCAAAACCATCATTTAAATAGGGCGTCTCCAACAGTTTTGCGCCTGCCACCAGTTACGCAATCGCTCTTGTTAAATCACCCGCAAACCATGGTTCAGCCCCTCGCGCAAAATTCCACTTTGCGAGCGCAAATTACTGCACGCAAAATTGGATCTTGATAAATCCGGCCCAAAGTGCCTTCCTCTGTTTCATTCTTGTAGATTCTACTTTCCTCCTGTAACATCAGTACCCGTCCCAATTCATCCTCAGCGGATCATGTTACAAGATCACACTGTTTCCTTCTTCCAATCATCTAGCCAGTACAGTACAGCGTTGCATCTAACCCTGTTCTGTGCATCTTGCTCTCTGACAAGTTTTTGCAGCTTCTTTAGAAGTATCATTGGTTTGTTTGAAGCTTGCTGATTATTATTCTCTTTTGAGGTTCAGTATAATTAAAGCTACAGTGTGTAATAATTACAGGGATATACAGTCAGAAATGTAATATATTATACATAACTGTGTTATTTATCATCATCTACGAGCTCAGCCTCTTAACCTTAATATTTGCGTTGCCTTAGAATTCGTTATTTATAATTACATAGGAGTGGGTCTCGCAGCCATGGAGGCAGACATCGTTGCGCAATGGCAGCGCAGAGCCAACAAACTAGCGATTGCGAGATCGCCCATTGCGCTCGAAAGTAACTACGGCAACTTGAGAGAGATGAACTGAGACGGTACTGAACAATAGATGGCAGTATTATGCCTGAGAATACTATCTGTAAAATTATCTATGTAAACAAACCTCCTCACTTGAAAAGGTAGGTGATGCGGACGTCGTGGAAGACATTTTGTCCCTTAACGCTCGCCGTACTGTTGGGGGGGAGAAGCGGTGGGGGGGAGATGTTCATTTTGCTGCGGTCTGCAGTCTGGACGTTAGATGTCGCTCAAAATTACACACTTTAGCTTTAAGGCTAAATACAAATTTATGCAGCATATTTAATTTTTTTGTTATATCCATGCATATTTATTCCCTCATAGCTAACCCATGCACACATACTTAATTTGATCATAAAAAGAGTGAGTGCTTATAGTTTGACAAATTAAAAAAACAATAACAATAAATAAAGGGAAAAAAAAGGAAAAAAAATGCTTTTCACAAAATTCTTCAGCAATAAAATGCTTTTTATATCATCGGATCTGCTTTTGAGGGTTTGTTCTAACACTTTTCCTGTTCCACAGCTTCAGCTTCATCTAATGCCACTGGAAGCTTATCCACAGCAAAACCTCAATCAGGCTCATTTCCTACACCTCCTTTGCTGCTCATTTATAGCAGACTCTCACGTCCGCCAAAACCCCTACATAGACCATGCCATTTTATATGAGGGTCCGAATATCTAGTGGATGAAAAAGTAGTGGACACAACATTTCCCACAATGCACCTTGAAAAGTAGTGTGCATCAATGGTTAGTAGACGAGCAGATATATCCCAGAATGCTCTGCTAGAGCTCTCCTCACAAAGCATAATGGGATTTGTTTTGGGGGCAAGAGAGAACAAAGAGTGCAGGCACTGTCCGGGGAGGTAGAGTCAACATCTGTTCGAACATCTGTTCGAATGGTCAATTAACTGAGTGCAGTTCACTATATAGTTCCTGGTCTATATAGTGATTGAGGTGTTATGAGTTAGGGGTTAGGGTGGAGCTTCGGTCACAGCCTCAGAGCTAGTCAAGGCAAGACTGTCAGAAACCATACAAAGAGTAGTTGTCCAGTGTTCTTGTTTTACCGTAATTTTTATTTCTATGTACTTGCCTGGACACCTCTCTAATTCTGGACATGACCTGGACAGTTTTTTTTTTTTTTTAACTATGACTCTTGCTCTGCCCTTTGGACCTGTTCAGCCCTCCTTCAGTCTAACCCACCCTCATCTTTTTCTGTATGCATCCGGCAGTCTGCTCGTTTTCCCTTCTGCTTCTCTCTGGACATTACCTCCACCTGGATTCTATTTTACTTAATACACTTTTTTTTTTTAAAAACACATCACTGTCTGAATCAAATTTTCAGAAGAACTACCCAAGATCAATCTTCTTGTTCTTTTCCTATTCTTCTTCTCTTACGTCACACAATGCTAACCAGAATGCCTTTTCAGATTAAATATTTTTTCCTTGTAAAATAAAGTAAAGGGAAAGATTGATAAGTCATAAGATAAAGGTGGGATTGACATGTTCTTACTCGGTTCCTGCTTTGAATGAAGAGGTCTAAAACATCCTGCCGCACCAAGTCGAAGTTTTTATCCAAAAATTTGTGGACCTAGAAAGCATATTGTCAGTGCTTAGATTCTAAATTACAGTCATTAGAAAAATCTAGGAAAAAATTTACCTGGTAGGTGACCTTTCCTGCATAGTGTTTTAGGGTGAATTCTGGCAGCGGCATCTTGGGCCTGGCATACAGCGGGTTGGTTCCATGGTGATAGTGGCACTTCTGAAGGAAGGTGTGGTCTGTTGCCTAGCGATAATTGTGGACGGTTAATGGTTCATGTGCCATGGTAACCAAGCGTCTACAGCAGACACACATATTTGGCAAATTGATTCAGTCTATCCCTGATGTAATGCTGCTCTTAATTCACGCTGAGCTCTGGAGATCCTGTAAAACATTTATCTCAATATGAGCTCAGTCAGCTTCTTATATTAGGGGCCCTTGGAGTGATGATAACAGCAGGTAGATATCAAGTCAGCATGTTTAATAGATTTATATTGATCTGAGCTGCCTATGATACTATCCCCTGAATCATAGAAAAGCCAAATGGGAAAGATTTTTTCAAAAGTTAATTTCTTCTGAAAATGAAGTATCAAATATTACAATCAGCTATTGATCCCAATGCTTCGTATAATCAGCTTTTACTTTATTCCAAAGAAATCAGCTCTCTACAGACACCAGACTTAGGGAATTGGATGCTTTTCCAAAGAGTGTTCGAAAGAGTTGATTTGTAAAGGGACCTTCATGTGTTTATTCAGTTTACTCTCATCCAACTTCTATATTTTTTACCTGGGGGAATCCGCACTGGTCATCCAATATGCGCAGGATCCCATGAGGCTTTGCAGCAATAAGGTCAAGACAGGCCTGGTTGTTGCTGAAAGGCTGCTGCAGCCACTGGATTTGCTCCCGCATGTATTCCTCCTGCAGAAAGCAGTTCAGTACACAACATCAAGGTTCAATAGGTTAACAAAACCAATAGAAGATTGCTTTATGATCACTAAAGCCAAAAACAAAACATTATCTTAAAGCCGAAATGGGTTTCAGAGGTACTGATCAAAAAACACTTAAAAGTATTAAACAAAAAATGTATTTAAACGTATTACAATTAGTTTTTTTTTCTGCAATTAGATTAGATTTTTGCAATTAGATTTTTGTTCTGCAAGAGTCTGATTAGTATAGTGATTTATTCTAATAAAGTTTAATTGGTTATGATAAATAGGACATTTTATGAAAGTCACAGTGTTGTTAGTTCTCAAACATTTATTGTTACTTCCTACTTAATGCCTTAATTATTATAGAGTATTAATCTCCTTATAATTGTATTTTTTCCTGGAGGCTCATAAACAAAATGTTTTGCCTTAGGCCAACAATGTGTTTTGAACATCAGCTTAACTTCCACTTTGCAACTGGAATATTATAAATCATTAAACTTTCAAATCATTTCTAAGTTATTTTTCCTTCTCTTTCTACCATTTTTCTTGATTTCAAAAACTTAAAGGTACTTGCAGCCCTGGATGCCCCTCGTAGCTCAGTACTGCTAATGCTGACCAAAGGAGCTGCCGCCTCTGCCAAGTCAGCCACTGGGTCAGCATCCGAGTTCTGCTCCATTGAGAAGCCTTCAAAATTTATCCCAAAACTTTGGCCCTTATAAAGACTTGATGATGCACAAGTGGCCCGGTATAAAAATGACACCCCTGCCTGCACTGGGGCAATACAGACTTATCATTCTATTCTAAATGATACCTAAATGTTAGAGTATTTTGAAATTGTTGCATAGTACATCAAGCTTGAAGACTGTCCACATTCCTTTCAAGATTTTCAAAATCTCACGGTTTTTGTAATTTTCTATATCCCATTCCTTTACAACATATTGACCAAATTTGAAGGCAATGGTCCAAATCACAATAAAGTTTTCTTTAAAATTGAACATTAATAAAATACGATAAAAAATGACACTTTGACACAAAGTAGCTTTTTGGTTTTAGGCTTACCTGTTCTTTTTATAGATTCAGAAGGTTCTTACAAATACCAGGTTGTGCTAAATTCCTTATCCTACCACTTAGAGTTTAGCCTACAAGAATTAAGGAGGCCTGTTTGGCCAGGCCCCTTTTAGAATATTATGAAACGTAAATTGCTGACAGGGGACAAGTTTAAGGGAAATTTAAAAATGTTTAGGCCTCCTAAAATCTATTTAATAAGTCAGGAAGATGACGATGAATAGGCCAGTGTTGTGCATAAGTTGTTCAATGAATGGCGTTATACATTCATATTTTTAATGAACGGTTAGCTGAGTGGATCAGTTTTTAAGTAATCATCGTGAACTAGAGCGACGTTCACTCTGGGTATAATGAGCGACACACACAGCTCACGTTTGCTTTTACTTGATGATGACTCTTTTCATTGAATAACATCAGGTTGTACGACACTTATTAGGGCAAACAGCATGGCAGACCAGCATGTCTGCTGCCAGTACTAGTCTGTGCAAATCAGACCCATCTACTGGTATTTCTGATGCCAGTTTTGCAGAGCTTTGCAGAGTTTTAAGTACCAACAAAGGAAGACTCAGACAGAAATAAAAAAATTCTGTTTTTCTGTGCCCACCAGAACTTAACAAACCGTAAGTCAGCCACATCCACTTCAAATTTAAAGCGACACATCAAGCCAAAGCATCGAAGCTATCTTGGGAAATATCTACTTCTGAATGAGGAATGTAAGAAATAATTTTTGAAACAGATGTTTTTCAGCAGAACCTGAATGTACTTGAATGTTTCTGAAAATCTGTGTAATTTTGATAAATAAAGGCTTCACTGCACATAGAGCATTCCTTGACTCCATCAAGTATTTTCCAATTCTCTCTATATATTATGATTACACATTTAAAGGGTGAAATATGAGTTTCTATTGTTAAGGATTGGGGCTTAATTTACCAAAAGAAAATTGAACTAGTTAACTTATGTGAACTTAGTTCATTTTGAAAAAGTGAATGTGAATGTGTGCTAGTTTATTTTCAGCTGTGTGAACTGAACTTTGAGCTAGTTCTTATCAATTATGAACTTGCACAACATTAGAATATGCCTTCCAATTCCTTAGCTTAGCTATTTGTATGTGCCCCAAAGTGCAGGTTTGATCAGTTATCTCTTAGTAACACAATGTTTTGTACTTGAAAATTCAAAACACCAATTAGTCTCAATCATGAGCTGTAAGATCCAAAGCTAAATTACAAATTTTCACTGCATCTTCCAGAGACTCAGTCTGCAGTTTTACATTTTTATTTTTTCTGTCTACTTTAGAATTCAGATTGCCTTGTCATACTCTTATATTTGCTCAAATGTATAAAGCTCCACTCTGTCTGAATGATCTTCCACCAGTGGATAAGAATATTTTTTCTATCACACTTCAAAAACTCTGTCCAGTGAAGGAAGGCTTAGATAAGAGTCAGGAAGGCAAGCTTTCAAAGCAACACGCAAATAGAAAACACAGGTGCATGTGGCATATGTCACATGTAAAGGGATTTACATTTAAATTTAAAATTGTGACTTTAAAATTATTCTGAAGGAGGAGATGTATCGAGGAAAAGTATTACTGTGTGTATTTTGAACATAGCTGGAACGATGATAAAACATTCGCCTACACTATTATTTTGTAACATCTGTAGGTACATTTTCATTGAATTATAGCTGATAGTATTGTACATAAAGTGGTTATGATAATAATTATATTCATATTATTTTATTTTCTATTAGTTAAATTCAGGACTCATAAAGCACTGTTTAACATAAGTCTTAATTGTTTGCTCTCAACTTTTTTAGAGCGTCTGTCAAAAATGTTCTGCGTACTTTGGGCGATTTTCAGTCTAGTATTTTCATCTGTACATAAAAAAAATATGATGCTGTTGATCTTTGTTGAGGTTAGGACTGCTGCCGATGTACCTTCTGAAAATTGCATTAAAGCTTAAGCTTTGAAGGACCAACAGAGCTCCTCTGCAATATCTTATTGTCCTACTTACTCTGTTTATTCAGTTTTCCTTTTTGCTAGTCTCCTAGTAATTTGTTTTGCCTCTTACTAAGGGCTTCCTACTATGACTCAACTACATGTATTTTCCTAGGAACAACGCTGATTACATAACAATAATCCACTCAGAGGAAACATGAGTCTAAACCCAATTCTCACGTATTCTACGGCAAAGTCAAAGATCAAGTCTTTCAGGATCAAGCGTAAGTCAAGCTTTAAGCCACTAAGGAGCAAAAAAAAGTCAAGACTTATGTCTCTAAGGGGCAGGTCCAAGTCATGTCCTCTGCTTCAGGACATATCTTAAGAAGTTGGGGGCCACTGACCCGTTCTGATTAGAACAGTCAGGACAGTAAGGGCCGGATTTATCAAGATCCAATTTTGCGTGCAGTAATTTGCGCTCGCAAAGTGGAATTTTGCGCGAGGGGCTGAACCATGGTTTGCGGGTGATTTAACAAGAGCGATTGCGTAACTGGTGGCAGGCGCAAAACTGTTGGAGACGCCCTATTTAAATGATGGTTTTGCGCGTTTTGTGGTTTGCGGCAAAGTAGTTTGTAGTTTGTGCAAACTAGTGCATTAAGAAATTTTAATCTTACAGTGACACCACCCCCTCCAAAAAAAGAAATATATATATATATATATATATATATATATATATATATATATATATATATATATATATATATATATATATATATATATATATATATATATAAACTTTGGCAACCTTTATTCCCTAAGGTGGTATGTGGCTGAATTTCTACTTCACCGCAGTAAGAAAAAAACACACAAACAAAAATAAAACAGGTGTTTTTTATCGGCCTGTAGAAAAATGCACATACCAAATGGCTCACAAGAAGTGACTGTGGATAAGATGACTGCATTGGCATGTTGCTCCACAGGCGCAGGGTGTCGGGGTTCTCCGATAGGGCGTCAGGGCGACATGGCATTTAGAACGTCGGACAGCACTTCTGAAAAACGAGATTGGGAGATCCCAGATGCAAAAAAGTGCAATGTTGCAAGGAGTTTCGTGATATCTGGTATTGCGTGGGTCCTCCTTGTGGCTGGCTCCAAATCCATTCGGAGTTCCCCCAACAGCTCCAAAATGGCAATGCTGGATAAACGATATGTTTTGATGATCGTTTCCTCGTTCATTCCAAAAATATTCACACGGAGTGAAAAAATGCGTTCTCTGCGTCTCCTTGCTTCATTTAAATTTCTCCTTCTTGCGACAATAACCGCTGCCATGTGTGCGCAATTACGCATACAGACCATTTGCACCTTCTTTTGAAACGTGTTAAATATAGAGTCAGATACCGTTAGCAAAATTGCTTTCAGGTTTGATAAATCACTTTGCGAGTGCTAAATTAATATATTTACATGTTATCCTCCCACAAGACGCACTTTTGCGTGTAAACGCCCTATATTGAATATTCATTGCAGAAAAAGTACTAAATGGATAAGAGACGCTATTTAGCACGTTTTAAAGACCAAATCCTTTTAGCACGCTGTTGATAGATCAGTTTGTACATTTTTTTGCGTGCGCGGTGAAATAGCTCACGTTTTAATACACGCAAACCTTTGATAAATCCGGCCCTAAATGTGTGAAAAGCAAAATAAGAAATTTTAAGGTTAACAAAACATCCAATGTATATCAAATACATAATATCTGCCATGTGGATAGTTAGAAATAAGTCCAACAAAGATCTGACACTGGATACCAAATCACTAAAAGCTCTGTCAGAGTCACATTACTTTAGTTGAAATAGGATTTTCTCTTAGCCAACTGTTATCTTTCCAACTGTTGTTAATGACAGTGAAACAATTTGGGTCATTATGGCAGACTTTAAGTTGAGAAAGATCCAGGAAAGTAAAATGGATTAGCAAGCCCTGTAAAAATGCAGAATAAAAAAAAAAGAGTCCAAAAAAGAAAACATCTAAAAAAAACATAAAATTTCCCTTCGAAAGCTGGAAAAACTGCTGATAGTGATAATTTACACTTATTAAAAGAAGGTCTGCATACAAAAATGAAAAGTATGTAAGAAATTTTGTTTGCTGTATCCGGTAAAACTTTTTCGTTTTATGTCTTTTTCATCTACACCTTGTGATTTTCCTGACCTGCTCCTCCTGGAAGATGACTCTGTTAAAGAAGAACTGTAATGTTTCATTTGCGTAGTTGATGCACAGCTGCTCAAAACTGTTCACTTGTAGCTCCTGAAGGGTTTAAAAAAAGAGAACATTAGGATTTGTCTTTGCAAGTTAATCAAGGCAAGTTTTAAAGCCATCAGCTCAGAAACATCTGAAGATGTGACTGCTTTCTAGCAAGACCTCAAACCCATAAATGTCCAGTATGGAGATGGAGAGGGCTTCGTTGCGAGGGTAGACCCGTCTGTTGATGCGCTCTGTCAGCCAACTAAACAGCAGTGTGTACAGGATCTTGGCAACAGCATCTCTGTAAGAAACACACAATAATGTTTCTATGGAAACAGAAAACCTGGTTGCTATAGTAACACCAGACATCTGAAAAAAATCTCCCCAAGCCCTGACATCCTTTGTCCTCACGTTTCGACCAAAGATTTAAAGAAAATACCAGACTATTTATCCCCCATGTATAAGGTTTCCTAGTATATTTCCTAAAAGAACAGTTAAAAAAGAATGAAGAAATTAAGAAGCCTGAAATAAGACTGTCAAGCATGGTTCAGTTGAATGATCTCCCAAAAGGAAAAAGAAATCAGATCCTTTACTTCAGGCACTTACCTGGCATCCAAAGCGCTATCTACTGTCAATGGAGTGTAGATCTTTTCCCTCACTGTATCCTAACAGTCAGAGAGGATGAGAGTTTACACAGATCTGATAGCTAGAAACAGCCATAACAAAAATTTGTTGGAAACTGTATATATACTGATGGTTGAGACTGAGGTTGAAAGTGTGCTTACAGTCATTTTATAAGTGACAGCTTTCTGCAGACCTTCCGGTGAGACCTGAAGCAGCTCAGCTACCACTCTGATCTCCTGTGCACTCACCACCGACACAGCCTCCTGGCCTTCAACCTGCAGGGACACACATATGCAGGCATACATTCATCATAAATGGTGTCTTTGAAACTCAATGAACCAATGAAGCGTATATGATTACATTACCCTGCAAAGGTTTTCTTACCCCTTTAACATTTACACATTGTGTCACATTCCAGTCACAAACTGCAATGCATTTTATTGGGAGGTTATACTACATGCAGTGGTATTTTTTGATATGGTCTTGTGGGCAGTTGTTCACGGTGGCATTGATTGGGGATGCACCTTATACAAGTTTTCTTTTGCTCTCACATGGGCAGTCAGTGAGTAGCTGGAACAGGGCTAAACTACCTTTTATTCTGCCTCTGGGATAAGTTTATTTCCTGCATCTGACTGATCTATTGACATGATTGCTCAACTAAACACCAATACTAGTTGGGCCTCTGTGGAAGACTGAGAAGTCTGTACAATGTTTAAAGAAAGCCCACAAAATATCCCATCTGCAACCTGATAGAGAATTAGCAAATATGTAAAAGAAGGTGCTCTGATCAGATGACACTAAAACTGAAGTTCTACACACAAAATCCTTTGTAGTGCTATACACCTTGACCTGACAACAACATATGCTGCTTACATGTAAAATGGTAAGGTGATACTTTCTATTTACTCTGAAAGTAAAGCTACTTTAAGCTGATGAGAAAATACATCCCAACCCGTAAAAAAACTGTTAGAGGTGTCAAATGACTGAAGGCTGAGGTGGAGGAAAACCTTTCAAAAGAAAAACAACCAAAACATACAGTTAAAACCACGCGTACCCTTTATGTGCACTAGAATGAGTAGTCAACATTTAGAGTTAAATCCCAATGAAACATTTCAGTTTGACTTCGAAATTTGACTAAATACAAATGCAGACCACAATTTTTAAATCTTCATTTGTAAAAATAAATGTGGAAAACATGTATGAATTGACGTTCACTTCACGATAATATAAATATGTTTATGTTCTTTGTGTTGATCTGGTCCATCAGACAAAAGTAAGGAAAGGAAGGTTTTTGGTTTTCATTTGGAAAAAATTGTGAAAACTTAAAGGTTTATGTGTCAGCATGATTAAGAAAGACACTAATAATCCTAAAAGATGTAAACCTGCTTTAACTTGTATAGGTGTTTTGTTTTCTTTTTTTTTTTAAATATATTTTATATCATTATATATATATATCATGATATATATATATATCATTTTATATTATATTTTATACCAGTTGTAACATGTTTGCTGAGATTTGAAGAACATTAATATTATGTGCAGGAGGATATGTACAGAATATCTTTATCATCATTCGTAGTGCTTTCCTTTGTCTCAGTAGTGTTCTTTTTTTAGTTTTAGTTCTGTGAAAATTTAAAATAAAAAGTTCTAAAAGAAAAAAAAGGAGAAAGAGACCTGGTGTGGCTGGAAGTAGACATTCCCCAAATGAAGCACAGAGGAGAGCAGTCTGTAGATACAATTTAGCTCCTCTGGGGTGAAGCACAGGATGTCCATGGCACTCAGCAAACGTCTGAAGTCCTCCCCGTCATCTTTACCTTCTATAGTACAGTTTCCTCCCTGCAAACATGCCCTTTCATGAACACACATGCAGACAGACACTGTTGTCTCAAAAACATAACAATTTAGTTAACCTCTTCTACTTAAGCTCTGATTTGACAACAACTTATCAGCAATTTCAACTCACAGTTATTTTAAGTGTCATTCTGCTTGCATAAAAAGACGCAATTCGCAATGTCAGTACATAACATTACTGCTTTAAAGTGCCAGAATGCAAGAATTTAACTTCACATTAACTAACTAAATACAGCCCCATTCAGTTATGAGTGGTCTCTAAACTAAAATTAAGGCCTGTGAACTGAAATATGGTGGATTTACTTTTAGCTTCTGCTGTTAACAGTAAGTTTGACAACTATACCTCTTGACTTGAGGCATTACATCAGTCTTATATTGTGTATTTATCAGTTTTCCCAGTCAGTGTGCTGCAGTGGTTTTTCAGGGTTTGTATTGGGTCCCTGTATGGTCCACTGGGTGTGGTCCACTGTGGTTATAGTGAAATGACAAACAGCTGTCTTATTTTCTTCATTATTCTGCACCTTTTTAAAGAACACAAAACGCATCGCTCTCAATGCACTTCATGATCTTGATCACTAAACTCTGTCACGGCAAATTTGGGAGATTTAATTAAATTCAACATTTTTAAAGTCTCAATATTGCTCCACACTAGATCAAATTAAAATTAAAACAGTTAACAATGTTGGGGCTAAACTACTGTTAACAATATGAGAGACTTGGAACAGCACTGTAAATACTTGAAATTCAACACTCATCAAGGTTGAATTAATTATCAATGGTGTACTGTCTAAAATTTAATACAATATGCTAGTGTTAACACTTATTAGTGTTTATACAAATATAGCTGAGTATCATCAGCATAACTGTGGTATTTAATCTCATGTTCTCTGATACACTGTAGTTAGAGCTGCACACTAGCAGAAGCAAGGTTCCAATACACAGGCACTACTAGGCCCTCTAAACACCATCAGCTCATCACCAATTTAAGTTAAGTCACAACCACGGCACTGACATTCAAACAAGTGACCCTCAAGTTGCAGGACAAACTTCTGCAGCCTACACCACAACTTCAAAGTTCACAAATGTTGTTGTTAGCACACGTGCTTCAATGGATGAGTTCACATGTAGGTTTGCATTCTGGGAGAAAGTCGGCTAATTGTTTATTTTTACATCAACATCTTTCTAGAATTTAACTGTTTATGTGCATGAATGGAAGCCATTTAAAATACAGTAATTAAAGATGTGAATTCGGACTCTTTGGAATTGCAATAAACATTTCCTTACAACTATTGTCCAAGTCTTATACAAGCTATTAAAAACAGACATTACACAATACCTGATTGCCTGAAGCTGACTTGTAATGTAAAACTCACAATTAGTGACATCAGGTTTATGCCGAAAAATCTGTTTATATTTCAATTTCCAGTTGCCATTTAGTATCTATCTATAAAGGGTATCCTCTTAAAGAAGCACACCAAGAGGAGGAAGTTTTTATTTTTCAATTACAAGCTCCTCTAAAAGCTCCCCCATCAACAGCATTAAGTTAGCTTTTCACAGATATTATTAACTCAATAATAGTGTCATTCTGTTAACAATGGGCATAATACATCTTATGCAAAGTCATTGTTTAGTATTTTCTCAATCAGGCCTTAATGAACATGAAGAAACAATGACTGCCGTCAAATCCATTGAGTGTTGAATGATCAAGAGTTAATTTTAAAGACAAATAAGATCACACCACAAAGCACATTTTTACCCCTTCAACTTAATCTGTCCTTTAATAAAATACTTTTACATAATAAATGTAACTTCTCAGCCTCATTTGCTCCAAGCCTTTGTTTAGTCAATCTAATACTTGAATCCTGAAGTTAATCTTGCAGCCAGTTCTTATCAAGTAGAAAAGTTGTTAATGCTACAATGAAAATGGTCCTTTTAAGAAAAGCACCAGCTAACTTGGATCTAAAAACATTAGATCCAAGTCAGGTGGTGCATTTGAAGAACAATTTAGCAAATGAAATCTTTAAAAAACTTTAACATAGGATTCAATGTGCAAGCTAAGCTTGGAGTAGGCTTCACTAAATATATTTTATGCCAATGTGATCAGATCTATATTAATAAAACACATCAAGATTTTTTTTGTTTTTTTACTTCACATTACCAACACCATGTGCAACTAATTTGTTATAGATTTATTATAGGCACAGTAACACAATTTATGTATTTATTGCTGTTAATTTTGAGGGTTTTGTTTTAAAACTAAACATTTTATTTTTCATAAAATTAAAACAGAATGTTAGATCATCAAAAAGGAGCGTCATAACACAATAATGTTCCATTGTAGTCTAAAAAATTAATGTCAATCTCATTCATTAGTGTAAATTATGGACTATTGATAAAGAACAGCTACTCTGCAGTAAATAAACTCTTTTCTCAAAAAATGTAGAGCTATGTAAATACACTTTCTTTACTTTGCCTTATGTTTTTGGATTTGCATAATCTATAAGCAAGAATAATTAAAACTAACAAAAATAAATTAGTGAGTTATACACAATTCACTTCTTTAATTACCTAAAATGTAAAACAAATAAACCTCACATACTGTAGGTAGGCTAATTTATTGACATATATCAACATGTCCCCATGTGATGTGTTCTGTGATTGTACCTGGTTCAGATAGTAATACGTCTCTGCCTCTTGCAGATATAGCGAGCGCTTTTCATGAGGGGGAAGACCTGCGAGCATCTCATAAAATATATGATAGTTCCTCTCTGATTTGGCCTGTGAATTAAGAGAAACAGAAATGAGCAGAAGTCACTGATTTGTTTAATAGATTGATAGAATCCAACAGGACTAACCAAAGGCTTCATGTTTTACAGCAGGTGTTTCAGAAACTAGTTGTCGACAGCTGCTATACTAGAAGTTAAATATGCATATTTTTTCTAACACACCTGGCTAAATGACCAAAAATTTCACTAAGATTATTTTTCTTAAGGGATGCACAAAAGCTGCAGAGTACTAGCTCTCGAGGACTTGACTTGTCAGGCCCTGATCTATGGTTACCTCTTTTTCACTATGACTCATTTGTAAGACGACTCCTTCTAATGTGCTGTGTGGGTGTGTAAAGGTGTGTGCTACAAGGTTTTTCACCTGAAAGACAATGCGGGACTTCTCCAATAGGTACTGAGACGTTATGGCACCACTGATTACGCCCCTGGTAAATAGCACATACGCACACATACATCACTGAGTTAGGTAACAGGTCATACATTTGTAATGTGCTTTGATCTGCTCTGTAACAGTTTTAACAAAGGATCTGTTACTGATGTAACTGTTTTTCTGGGTCATGTTTGCACATTTTTCAGTTAACCTAATGGATATCCATTTCATTAGATGAGGTGCCCTTTGAAAGTTAAACTTACACAAGATAACATGGCACGAAGCAGGTTCATTTGGTATTTTGTCAAACACTAAAGTCCAAAATGAAGTACTATTCCCTCAGAAAGGAAATTAATACACTACAGGAATAATGACAACAGTTTGGCTGAATTAGTACCTCTAATAAGGCAAGGTCACTCTATTGCTTGCTTGATTACATTGCACATAAAAGCAGGCAATGAACATCTGACACATCTGCAAAAACATTGCCTGATGCATATGTCTGACCTTTATGTGCACAAGCGTCTAAGCTGAGCAGGAGTATGATGGCATATTCAACTTCAACACCAGAGGTATAAGCAAATGGCAGAAGTAATGATAGCATACTTGGGAACGAAGGAGTCTCTCTTGGACCTTTATTATGTTGAATGACAGAGTAACTTGTCTAAAGCCTTTAAGTTAGGAAGATTCCAAGGGCCAATGAAATATGTTCCAGTATAAATTTAAAATATAAGAAAATCAAGTAGTACGATAATTTATCCTTGTCTTCTTGCAGTGTTCTCTTTCTTAACCAACCCACCCTGTGAAATTGCAAGAAATGTTTTGGTCCTCAGGTCTTTGTCACATCAGGTCACATCTGTCAGCACAATTTGCTTGCACCAAGGATTTAGGGGCACATAAATAACGAAATGAACAAGAAAATATTTGCCCTATTGTGAAAGAACATCTGTGGCTGAAGAATGTAACGCCCCAAAAAATCTAAGTCTGGTTTTCAAAAAGAACAGCGGGAAAGGAGAGAGAGGAGAGAAGGAGGAAGGCGTCCAACAAACGTGACCCAGTTTTTCAAGAAAGGTTTGTTATCCGAGTAAAGGTTGATTGCATAAAATAAGCGAGCTATCTGCTGGCTACAACTGCTTAGTTTATTCTCCTCCAGGTCGGAGCATGACCACATCATTGAAGATGCCGTCTGGCCTTGTTCTGCTGTGCCTCTTAAACAGAAATAGATTACAAGGTTGTTTTTTTTGTTTTTGTTTTTGTTGCTTTTTGTAAAGACAATTAAATCAGGGTTAATCCAGCCTTTGTAATGAGCGTACTGTATGATTGTAACTAACATAGAGGCCAAGCAACTGAGCCAGAAAGCTAACAGAGCTGAGAATTAACATTTACACAAACTGACCAGGCAACAGGAAAATGCCCTAGTCTTCACAGAGTTAACATCAGTTGTGGGCAAATAAATGTTTAGCATACTAAATAATTCATACTAAATAATAATACTATCCTTTTTCATATGGGGCCCAAAATTCCTGGCAGCTCCCCTGCCAGGAATGTGGCAAGAACAACAATGAATCTACCACTGCCACTTTATTGCCTTCCAGAGTCACACAGGCGAAAGGGGGAGGCAAAGCGAGCACAAGCATCTTGTAATGTGACTGAAGACAAAAAGTATGTGCTAGACGGGTCAATGGTAAAACAAAAAACAAATTCAGCATTAGCTTGTGATAAAATGTAAATGAGAAAAAAAAATATTTTAAATTTGGTGAGGCTTTCATTAAAACACAACACCATACTGTTACATTATTGTAGGTTTTGTTAGATCTGACAAGAGTGTTTGATACTATTAATAATATCCTACTCTGCCTTCTCACAAAAAATTAGCTGGAGTTACTCTTCGGTAGTTTAGCCACCCCAATAAATGTGAGACTGACTCCTCCACTGTACACCTAATAAGTGATGTGCCACAACAATTTACATGGACCTTTTCATTTTATCTATACTTCAATTGTCCTCATCATAAAAAGCATCACTGTCTCTTAATCACTTATCAATGCACTACTGATGACACTTACATGATACATTCCCAAAACATAATAATCTTACTAGTTAACTACTAGGCACACATGCTTTACAGAGATAAGTAGTTGGATAGCTCTAAAACACTCTCTGAGCCTGAACCTGTTGCTGCTTTCAAGTATTTCAGTAAAAGCAAGACTCTATTATTATTACTTACTCATCCATGTAGATTTGTGTGTATTTGCCAAAGCGTGAAGAGTTGTCATTGCGGACTGTTTTGGCATTCCCAAAAGACTCCAGCAGGGGTGTAGCCTCAAGGATCTTAGAAAACATCAGAAACCAAAACATCACTATGACTATGTTACACAGAGATGTTGGTTATCTCACAATACAAATTTTACTTTACCTCTATCTGAAGGAAATGAGGCATATGGAAAATAAAATGTAATTCAAGTGAAAAAATTTCAACTTAATCTGTAGGAAGCTGCACAGCAGTTCTCAGTAAATACCTGTTGTGTGACATTTCTTTTGTGATGTATGGCTGTCAGGTAACGCAAGATTAACTTAGTGGCCTCAGTCTTTCCTGACCCACTTTCTCCACTAAAAAAGCAACAACAACAGAAATCACTGAGCATACAGATACATTTTGCAGTTTTAAATTTTAGGAGCTGATGGTAACAAATTTTCTCTAGCAACCCCCCCCCCCCCCCAAAAAAAAAAAAAACACTCCTCTTACAATGGTAAGGTGCTTGGCCATAAAGTGGATGGCTATGTAAACAAATCAATGATCAATGAGATATGTTCTCCTCAGAAAATAATTATTTCCTTCCATCCAATGATTCAGTGGAAGAGCCTGGATTTAGTAGTGAGCAAAAGAATGGGATTTTTGATGCAGAGGGGATTATGGTTTAGTGTTGATTATCGAGAGTCAGATCAAATATTTCCATAACTACATAAAAGCAAACTCCTAACGCTTCATTGCATTAAAGACATTAAAACTGTTTCAATTTTCCAAATTTACAGGAACAGTTAGGGAATGTCCCCCTGCTTATTCAACATGGCTGTGGACCAGAGCAAAAAAAGTTTATAATAGCAACTGTCAATGTCAATATTAACTTTACTTAAAATAATTCATTTTACAACTGAAAATAAATGCATTGATATGACAAAAATAACATATAAGCAATTAAAAACAGAAAACATTAATAGAATAATAAACTGTTTAAGAAGAAAAGTAGAATAGTCTTTAAATTACAAATAGTCAGGATGTCTAGCTCTATCTGCTTCAAAAGCCAAAAGAAAGAGATGTGTTTTTAAAACTTCTTTAAAGTCCTGAGGTTATGAGCAACTTTTATATGGTTCAGCAGATTATTACACAGTTTTGGGGCTACAATCAAGGCATGGTGTGCACAATGTGCACAATAATGAGTAGACATGGATGAAAAAGTTAAAAGTATGAAGGAAAACCTGGCAAGCCTTAACCAAGTCCTAATATCAACCGAACAGGACCAAGTTAAGAGTCAACATCCTCTTTTGGAAGAATTGTCGAAAAATCCAATGGATACATTCTTTAACCAAGTTGGAGCTGTTACAGCTGGAAAGAGTGGACTGACTTTTTTTTTTTTTTTGTTAAACCTATGGAATAAGAATTGGGTGTCACTAAGTGACATTCCCAAATGTTTGTGAAGTAGGCATGCAAAATACTTCTGGTAATATAGGCTATGTGTCTGACAACATTTTACACTTACAACAACAACAAAACTGACATATTATAAATTAAATATAAGATCACTGAAGTAATTTTTTCCTTTTTCATTGAACAATATCATTTCTATCAATATCGGTTTCACCTGAAATAATTGTTTTGGGAATCTAAACAAGGTTTGTGATAAGAAAAATAAATAAAAAGAAGAATTTGACTTTATAGACTGTAAAAAGGCAACCATATAGAAATACTTATAAAAAATTTGAATAACATTAACAATTTTCATGTTTTGTAAATTATTTCTTTCTTTTTTTTATGGCACTAGTGGCTTGTGCCGACAGTAGGCTGACAGGAAAGGGGGTATGACAGAGGGGGGGCGACAAGACCACAGGTCCGATTCGAACCCGGGTCGGCGACTATGGCCTTTGTACATGGGTGGTGCTCGCTAACCACTGCACTGATATAATAAATAGATTTGTTAAACATTGGGCCAAATATTTTTTTACTATATTTGTTGCATTTTTGATAAACATGGTTACAGACAATCAAAACCTCAAATTCAATGTAACAGAAACTTTGAATATTGCATCAGATAAATAAAAGTCAATTTTTTTCATATGAGATGCTTCTGAAAGCATCGATCCAGTAGTACTTTCACACAAGAAATTAGACATTTGTATCCCATGTGGAGAAAATCTCTGTTCTTTTTGACATTATTTGAGCCATTCTTGGTTTACATAAGAAAAAATACTATTAAACAGAGGCAATGTTCTTAAATTGTTTTAATATTACTATTATTATCTCTTATATGTGTTTCACTATGTAATTTTGTTAGCGTTTAGATTATCCATCCAGGTACCCCTTTCACTGAGGTCTAGATTTAAATGGGTTTTAAATGGGCCTAAAGCATTAATATCTACCGTTAACACTAATCAGAAATAGAAATATTACATTTTGCTATTGACTTTCAGAAAAAAAAATGACATTAATCTTAAAAATACTTTCCTGACAGTTCCCATAACAACAAACATCAGCAGCAAAAGTGACAGCATTTCATACCTGATCACAATACACTGGTCCTTTTTGGCATCCATCATGGTTGTATATGATAGATTAGCAATGGCAAAGAGATGACTGAAACACAAAGATACATTTTTATTTATTAACCATTATTGCAGAACAGTTACTCCTCTACCCTGTGTGTGATTGTTTTGTGAAGAAGTGGTAGAGAAAAACATGGCTAAACCTTCGCTTAGCAACCAACTAGCTACAGTTTACTGTAACAATAACCAGCCACCATGCACATTGAAATATTTATCTATGCTTGTCACTAAGGTGCAAAATGGATTCCACCTTTTCACAATACCTGCAATTTTGAGGACAGCGTAGCACTCCTAGACTTTCTTAGAGCAAGAATACAACTGCTAAATAACACAATTTTAGATCAGGCAATACCACAGACAATAATGATGAATTATAATCTAAAAGTTTTTTTCAACTGCATCTTTTCAAAGATGTTTTCGCAATCAAACAACAAAATGATTTTATCTAATTGGGATTTGTTTTCTGAAAAATGGAAAAATTATCCCAAGACTGCAAATTATCCAGGATATTAACTTTACTGAAAAGCAGAGCAAACATAACAGACAACAGGCAAGAGGGTAATATTAAGACTGAAGATATTAAGACATCTTCAAAGGGAGAATCTGCTAAAATGAGACCCAATAACTGTTCATTGACTCTTTTGTACAGGAATAACAGAAAATACTTATTAAAATGTTCTGTTTGACTCTTGCCAAAAGTCATATAGGTGAAAGATAATCTGAACTAAGATTTCTGGCTCATGGAACCTTATGTAACAGAAACAGAGACAAAATTTGACATCTTCAATCACAGCATCCCATATCATTGAGAGTGAAACATGGAGGTGTCAGCATCATGCTGTGGACAGGCTTTTCTTAAAGAGGGACTGCTGCAAACTACTCAAAGTTGACTGGGAGATGAATGGAAATAAAGAGCAATACGAAAAGTCTTAAATACCTACCACATTCAGTGAAAATTTATGTGAAGAAATGTGGGAAAAAAAATTAATTAGCATTGCTGCTGACTAAATCTGTTCCTCTTTACACAGAGTGGTTGAATTGAGATCACTAATTACTGAAGTGAAGGAAAAATGTACATTATGAAATAGCTCTCAATTTAAAAATCAGACTAAGATAATTGGAAAGTTTGTGAAGGTCTGAAACACTCAAACGCTTACGGGGGGTTGTCACTCAGACCATGGCCTTCATACTGGTGCACCATGTCTGTGCCGTAGATGTTGAGCAACTTGTAGGGGTTCACAGACACAAGGATGCTCCCTATGTAGGTCTGAAGGAAATAAATAGACAAAAAATAAATGATAATCTTATTGTTTATAATATTTGACTATATTAGGTTATTGTTATGGTTATGTTCAAAACATACGTATATAAGTTCGTGGTCAAAGCGTTTCTTCAGGTTCATCACAACTGTGGTTTCATTCAGTTCCCTGAAATAAAGTGAAACAACGCAAAACAAACAAACAACAAACAAAAACACTGAGTTATATAGTCAAATTATCAGCAGCCCTGCAGTGATGCTGAAATCCACTATTCATTATTTTTACTTAAAGACAAACAGGGTATTTTTTCCTACAAATTCATCATTGTTAGTTTTACACAAAATAACTTATGTGGTGAAGCAAACAAAATGCTAATGAGGTCCGAAAAGCGCACTGAATTATGGATAATAAAACTTAATGGCTATTGCTTTCTCAAATTACACATCCACTGAAAAAAGTATAACAGCAGTTAATGCCCAATATTTATATTGGTCTGAATTGTGCTTACGGGAGCTGAGTCATGTCTTCCATTCCCTCTGCCCATCGTACCACTCTGTGGGCTGTTGTTGGCATGCTTATTATAGAATAGATCTGGACACAATTAATAGACAATTATAGTGGTATTAGAGACATAAAACAACACAACATTTTCTAAGCTTCAGAAATATAATCACTGTTGAATTCAGAGCTGGCAAATAAATTGTTATAGAATATTTATAGTCTAGTTCAGTAATTCCCAACCAGGGGAAGGAACCCCCGTACCTCTAGTTGTCCGTGAGTGCATTGCAAGGGGTACATGAAAACATTTTATTTCTTAGGTAGTAAAATAAAATAGGGCTTAAATCGGTTTTGCTTTGTGAGGACCCAATTGAAAAAATAAACAAGCTTTTATCAACCAAACAGTAAATTTTTCTTATATGTTTGATTTCACCTTCAGCTGTGACACACATCAAAACCAGGCAGAAGAACAGACTGGATGTAGAGACCAGCCTGGTACCTGCTGTATTTCACACTGATCTATCAGATCTCATCAAAGCTCAGGTGTCTTGATGAAAACAAAGTAAAACTAATGATGTCAGTCTAACTATATTTTTTCTTCTCTATGTTTTGTTCCTAATGCATCAAGTTTAAAAGTGATTATAAGGAAGTTACTCAGAGGAGTTCCTATTTCATAAATACTGGTTTATAACATGATCTTATTTATTTTTTTTATTTCGATTCCTTACTAACTTCAACGCAACATACTTGTGTTGTTTTTTTACTTGAGAGGAAAATAACATTTGACTGAGAGGGGTACTCATGGTAAGACAAAATGCCCAAAGGGGTACACAAGTAAAAAAAGGCTGGGAAACACTGGTTTATTTTGTAAGCCTAAAAATATATTTGTGACTTTTAGACATATGGTCTTTTAAGTTTTGCTTGAACTATGCATACATGACTTGAAAAAAAACTTTATTTTCTTTATTTTCTTCAACATTCATGTCTTTTTTTCCACATGAATGAAGTTAGATACCTTATCATACCAGCTTTGGCCTGGTACTCTGGCTCTGCTAGGAGTCCAATCTTGGTTCTGAGGTTGTTTGTCCACAACCTGAGGGTTTGGTGTATATCCTTCCAACACCCCATCTTCTTTGTACATAGACCACTTTGATAAATTCTGAAGAGTGCCATGTGGCAAAACTCTTTCCGCCGCCCAAACATCATCCCCACTTTCACCTCCACCTCTAACGTTCCTGGCCCAGTGGCCAGATCGTGGCCCGTATGGAGGTATTACAGCAAAACGATGGTCCTCCCCCTGAAGTTCTGTTGGCACAGTGTATGAAGCATAACGAAGCTGCTGGTTTTGGATGGCATCAGACAGTTTTGGGTTGTGGAACTGGCGTGTGAGAAGAGAGCCATCTGGGAGCCTGTGAGAAAAATAATACTGTAAAGGAATTTTAGTAAAGAGCTACACTATACTTGTTAAATATAAGATCAAGGACTCCAGGAATTAAACTGGCCTTTTACTACTTAATTTCTCCTTAAAAAGCTAAAAGTTTTTTTAAACTTTTATATGACTGAATATTGAGGCCTTTCCTTCCATTCCAAAAACATGATTTCTAATGATGCGTTTTGGGTTATCAGTTATTTTGAGTTATGTTCTATATTTATCCTGCTATATGTTTAGGCTGCTGGATAACATAGGGACCACTTTTCTTCATTCTGCTTAATTTCATTTCAATTCTCCAGTTTGACAGTATTTGTTAAGTTCCACTTATAACTTTATGTTATCTCTGCTTTTTCTCATCATAGTAGTTTAATGTGGTCTTTTCCTGTTCAGCTGTGACTCCCTACATCCTGGACTGAAATATTAGCTGTGCTGCTGCCATCGACATCTCTGTTTTTAGATGTTGGAGTCAATAAGTGGATGCACTCAACTGGTTTTCCTTGACAGAAACTTTTAACCAATCTGAGTGTGTTGTCTATGCAAAGTGCCTTAAGATAATATGTGTTGTGAAATGTTGCTATAAAGTATAAATAAACTGAATTGATTGCATAGATGTCTTTAGAGAGACTTCCTTGGAGAGTCTACTGAGACCGCTGTCCCCACGACTCTGTCCTGGATAAGTGGAAGACGACGAGTACGAATAGATGCCTTTTTATACCATACCTTTTACTTTAAAACCCAATTAAATGTTGTTTACAGGTATCATTGTTTTTTTCTGTGTATATTCAAACAAAAGTGTTGGTAATGGAAAATGTTATAAATCGGAATTAATGTATCATAAACAGGCAGTTCATCAATGGACCTTGGAGTAAACTCTTTGGGGGACAGACCCAAATGCCTCATTAGACACTTGGTGGCTGAAGATATTCTTTGCCACATTATGGAAAGCTCTGTCATTTACATAAGTTCCTAGTTTATTAAAAAAAATATAACTTCACACCTGTAAGTGGCACCACGTAGTTCTTCATTCTGCAGTGCAGAGGCAACATTGGGGCTTCTGGGTTTGGGTACAGCAGACAAAGCTGAGGTATCAGAGAGATGGTAAAGGCCAGTAGAACGGAGTCCCTGATTTTGCCTAAGAGCAGCTGCCAAGTTTGGAGTGGATGGTTTCTGACCAGGCAATACTAAAGAACCATCAGGGAGCTGGTATGTTGCAGTACGAAGGTTCTGATTCAGAAGAGCCTAGAGGTGTTGGATCAGAGAAAAATACTTAATCAATATTACAATGGCCAAAAAAATAGTCTACGGTGTCCTGCAAAACATGTTTGACATTAAAATGGCAACTTTTACATATTCATTTAATAAACCTATAAAGAGCATAAAAAGTATGAAGTAAATGGAAATTGATTATCAGCATTAAGGAAATCTTTTGTAAGCATTTTTTACCCTCTTAGTCAATGCTTTTTAAACCACTCACAGTCCCAGTCATTGGGGCATACTTCTGTCAACTTTGCCTATCTCCAAACTGATTTTTTTTTTTTTTTTTTACTGCATACAACTCATTATGATTCAAAGCATCAAACATACTGTGTAGATTTAAGGCAGTATTATTCTATCATAAACTAACTCTGATTTAAACTTCTTAACAACTTCATTTCTTCACCTCTACCAAAGGTTAAATAGAGAAGACACCTACTGTGGACAGATTAGGTCCAACTGGTTTTCTTGGGTCGATGATTATGGTTCCATCAGGAAGGGCATAGGATACGCCTTTAAGATATGGATTTTGCAGGGCTGCTGTCAGATTTGGACTCTTTGGCTTTCTTGGGTCCACAATAATAGTTCCATCTGGAAGGGTGTATGAAGCAGCTTTCAAGGCTTGATTACCTAGAGCCTAGACAGGCAGGAGGGTTATGTAAAAGTGAGTGCAATAAAATAGAAGAATCAGCAGATTAGAACAAGGTATTTATGTCAATTTTTAGAAACTTAAAACCATAGCACGCACAAATAGTATGAAAATAAGGATAGACATAAAAATCTAAATCTACAATTAACCTTTGCCAGATTTGGTGATACTGGAGTATTTGGGTCTCGAACCCCCTGTGGTAATGTGAACGAAGCATTCCGCAAAGATGATTGTTGAAGAGCATTAGACAGGTTGGGAGAGGTAGGCTTCCGTGGGTCTATGATAATAGTGCCATCCGGGAGGGTGTACGAAGCACCTTTGAGGTAAGGGTTCTGAAGTGCTGCTGTGAGGTTGGGAGTCTTCTGTGTTTTTGAGTCTATCACAATGGTACCATCGGGAAGAGAGTAAGAAGCTTCTCGTAGGGCTGGGTTATTTAAGGCCTTACTAAGGTTTGGCGAAATAGGGTGCTGAAACAGAAAGATATGTGTATTAATGATCAACAATGTGATTGTAAGGATGATATTTAACTGAAACATGTATGAACAAATTATTTCATTGTATGTAAAGTTTGGAACTAGAAGTAATTGTTACTTTCTGTCTGGGATCCATGATGCTGCCATCTCGAAGAGTATATGAAGCTGTTCTCAGATTCTGGTTTTGAAGGGCTCCAGAAAGGTTGGGTGACATTGGCTTATGAAGTAGGCGTGGGTCCTGTTTTTGTTCAATTTGAGGAGTCGAAAAACTAAATTAGAACTGGTAGTAACATTAACCTTTGAAAAGATAAACATAAATGCAAATCTATTTCAATTTATTACTTACCCTGATAACTGATCCATCAGGCATTATATATGAGGCACTTCTGACTTGGTGGTTTTGCAATGCATGACCAAGCAATGGAGAAGACCTGGGATTTGTATAAGGGCTCATCAGGGTTCTCTCTGGTAGCCGGTATGATGCCTGCATCAACTGAGGGTTTTGCAGGGCTCTTCCCAACATAGGGGAAGAGGGTGACCTAGAAACCACTGAGGATCTTCTAAGTTGCACAGGTGTCTGAAAGGATGCTTGCCGGAGATTCGGGTTCTGTTGAAGAGCACTGTGAAGCTGAGGCCCAGCTGGGGCATAAGGATTACGACGTTGCATCATAGGCGATTTTAGATTAGACACATTATGCAATCCAGTTTGGTTTTGCGGTGCATCTTGAAGCAATGGTGATTGTCTTGGCTCAGAAATGTAATCATATGTTGTACCAATAGTTGGTCCATACAAGGATTGTAAATGTGAAGTCTGATATGAAGCCATGCCTCTCATTGCCTGACTATGTCTCATGGCTCCAGAGAGCAAAGGAGATGAGGGTAAAGATGGGGCATATGAAGACGGAGGTCTGCGAAGAGGAGAAATGTAGGATGCTTCCCTCACTGTTTGGTTTTGCAGAGCTCCAGAGAGAGTTTGTGAAGGAGGGAGCAAAGGCTGTTCATAAGGTGAAATTGGTCTTTGCTGTGTAGAATCATGAGCATCTACTAATCCTGGAACCATCTGACCCATGCCCACGACTTGAGCTGCTTCTGGTCCAAGTACTGAAAAAGCATCTGGTCGAATACTCCGTAAAGAACTGGATAACATGGGAGAGGAGGGACCAACAAAGTGTTGGTTATGCAGCGCATCTTGAAGCAATGGTGCAGTGTCAGGTTCAGAAATATAGTCATATGGCATATGGACAGTTGGTCCATACTGTAAATGTAATGGTGGAGTCTGAAAAGAGGCCATGCCTCTCATTGCTTGATTATGTCTCATGGCTCCAGAGAGCAATGGAGATGAAGGTACGGATTGGGCATACACAGACTGAGGTCTTTGAATTGGAGAAATATTGGATTCTTCTCTAACTGTGTGATTTTGCAAGGATAACCTGTCAGAAGACGGGGCAAAAAATTGTTGCAATGGCTCACCATTAGGCCCAGCATAAGAATCCAACACATTGGACTGATGATTCAGCCGAGGAGAAAGGCGTGGGGATGGACTGCGTGACATATGTTTAAGGGAAGGCTGCGGGGAGGAAGGAGGCATACTTCTTATTGACTGTTGCACCCTAAGGGGACGCCCTCGAGCAATGGGGCGAACAGGAATATGTCTAGATTCTCTTCTTCCCAGGGGAGCACGGTGGGCCATCAGAGGAGAATGGAAAGGAGAAGAATGAAGGGAGGAGTCTATGGTAAGAACAGAAGATCTATTACTTCTTATTGAAGAGGCACGAAATGGACGCACATTCTGAGTTGGTGGTGGAACTGGTCGCCCTCTTAGGCCCATGGGTGAGGGCCTGACAGTACCTAATGGAACATTTCCTAATCTCCTTGGCCTGGCCAATGGTGTAGGGTCCCTGAGCAGCCGAGTGGAACGACGAGAAAGTGTAGGTGAGGATGGAGCTTGCTGAGGCCCTTTAGGAGATAAACTATGGCGGGAAGGAGTAGGAGAGGGCCTTCGACTTAATCTTGGAGAGAGAGGCGGCGATGTGAGACCTGGGGAAAGAGAAGGTGAAGGTGGCTTTTGCATCTTTGTCCTTCCCAATGGACTTCGAGTTGGAGAGATTAATGGCTGCGGACTTTGTCTCCCCATGGAAAGGCGGGGTGATGAAGGTGGAGAACGCTGCCTCACTGGTCCTCTTTCCAAAGTTGGCGGACTACCACGAATTAGTGATGTACGAGGAGAATGGGAGGGTGAGGGCACGTGGGCCATAGGAGAAGGTGACCTATGAGGCTGCACTCCCTGATGTAGAACTGGAGAAGCAGAAGATGATATTTGCCTAGACAAAATAGATGGAGGTCTGTGAGAATTAATGAACCCACCCCTAATGGAAGGTTGTGGGGAGGGGATCTGCCTTCTTGCAGCAATAGGGGAGGGTGGTGGTGAACCCACGGCAGAAGGATGGCGCTGCATTTGCGGGGAGGGAATAATGACCGAGCGGCGGGATGGAGTCGAAGGTTGCATACGACGAGCAGGTTGAGGAGACATGCTTGCTTGTTTAATTATCATTGCTGTTGGTGTTGGGACTGTTGGGAGGTTGTAACCCGGCGGCTGTGGTATCATCATTGGATCTGTCATCATCTGCAGCTGCGAAAAGATGTAGATTAAAAAATAAAAGACTGCTATAAAATTACCAAATTAATAATATTTTACTATTTTATAAAATTTATAAGGTATTCAATAATATAGAATTATGCTTAAAACAAAGCGACTAAATATCAATCTTAGGCTATTTTATTTGCATTACAAGCAATACTATGGATGCATTTTAATTTTCGAGGTAAATGCCAGTGTTAAAATTTAACTAAACTAACTAACCTGATAAATACTATGTCTTTTTCTATGTTTAAACCCTAAAAAGCTAAAGGCTGTTTTTCAACTCCTGCACTACTGCAAGTGCTTCATTGGTAAAATAGCCTGACCAGTATTACCTGTATACCTTTGATAAATATATAGTATATTAGAGCATGTCTTAGAGTAAGCTCAATCAGCTAGCCCCAGGACAAGCATGGGCAAAGCCAATCTGACTACTGTGATGTTTGTTACATGTGCAGCTTTTAAGATTTGATTTCAATATATAAGCTATCATCAATATGCAGAATTTGGTGGCAGACAAAAAGACATGTTGACATTTGTACAGTACATTCAGGCAGAAACCAACCTAAAAAATGTAGTCCTCACAGGACCAGAGTTCACAAATTGAGTCATGGCAAGAGGCTGGCTTGGCTAGTCCTTTTTTGCCCCATTTCTTTTTAAGTGCTCGATATTACAGTGTTTTTCTCTTGAACAGAGTCTCAACCTTTAGTCACATATAATCCATAGGGCATACTACAGTGAGACCTATATATTGTGCAACAAGCTGAGCACAGCTAAAACAGTAAATATATATTCTTTACAACCTGGACACATAATTTTGTTTCCAATTACTGTCTTGTTTTATATGCTGTATGAGAATAGATGCTCCATCCTGGCAATAATCAGTGACAGACTATAACTAAAATTACCTGTGGTTGTAGAGACATGGGTTGTTGTTGCAACAATTGCTCTGACATCATCTGCTGCTGTTGGGACATAGGTTGCTGGGCCATCAACTGGTGTTGTGGTGACATGTGTGTAGGCATTGTTTGAGGTAACATACCATTCCCTTGTTGAAATATCATCTGCTGCTGTGGAGACATAATTTGCTGGGGTGCCATTTGCTGTTGTGGTGACATCTGTGTAGGCATCATTTGAGGTAACATACTATGCTCTTGTTGAAACATTATCTGCTGCTGTGGTGACATCATCTGTTGTGTTAATTGTATTTGTTGTAGTTGTTGTTCCAATACCGGCATTTGCTGCTGAAATGATGTCATATCTCCAAGTTGATATGGTGCAAGAGAAATCTGGTCTTCATACTGGATATCTGACATGTCTTCAAACTCTGGATCTGGAGGCAGAATAGGTGGAGGAGGCAAAGGAACTTCTAGTCTCTCTTTTCCAAACAGTCGCACTTGAGGTCTAGGAACTCTAAATGTAATGTCTCCTGTGTGAATTCCATCAAAGTCCTCCTCAGTTTGATTCATTTGAAATGCATATTGGTCCCCACTCAGGCTTTCCACATTATCTACACCTGGCACTTCAAAACCATACACCGGTTGGCCTCCAAGTGGAAATGTTGTCTGTTGGGAGTTCAAGTCTTGGTAATGCATCCCAGCCTCACTATACCCAAGCTGATAATCTGGTTGAAATCCTACTTGCATTTCCATAGTTGGAGTGTAAGGATCCCCATAATAACCTGCCTGCTCAATGTCAGAGTAACCCGTTTGTCCATGTGCATAATAAGCTCCCTGTCCATTTTCATCATAATAAAGTGGAGGCTGAGGTTCAAGAAATCCTCCCATCTCCCCTCCATATATGTGACCTTGAGCATAATAATCAAGGGCTTCATCTCCATACATTGCCTGCTGTTGCTGGTACCCACTATAATTTGGTTCCTGAGTGTCATAATACCCTTGGGCAGGGAAATAAGGTTCATTGTAAATGTAAAGTCTATCATCATAATATTCACCATTTGGATCATAAAATTGATCTTCCTCATAGTACCCTAGGTCTTGATAGTCTGCACCTTCAGTCTCATTTTCATAGTAGCTATATTGACAATTTCTTCCAATTCTTGGTGCTGACTCAACTCCATAATCACCATAGCCATCTTCATACCTGTAACCTCTCTGGGTGTCTATATATTGCTGGTCATAATCGTTATCTTCCTCCCCAAACTCATAACCATTGTTGTGGTAACCATGCACAAACCGCCGGGAGCTAGAATGTCGGTTATTTCCTCTACGAACACCTAAGCCATAATGACCTGAATTTTCCTGCATTTTTTTTGACAGAAATCGTTTGGTAAGCCAATTGGTTGCAGCAGCAACCTTACCAACCAATAGACTACTGTTCTTGAAGTCATCACTGGTGCCATCTTGCTTTTTAAATAGCCCTCTAAAGAAGCTGCCTTTTTTCTTATTTGAATTTCCACCTCCAAGACGAAGTAACATGTATGTGGGTTTTTTCCCTCCATTAGCTGCTGCCTTCTCTTTGGCTTCTTTTTCCTTCTTTTTCTTTTGACTTGTTTTAAATCTCATCATGAATCGAGATGTGTTTTTCATCATAGACTTTCGTCGTTTTTTCTTAGCAAGCCGGCTCTTCCTCCTTCCCAAACCAAGAAACAATCGTGATGTGCTTTTTAGTTTCTTTACGCTGTTTTTGCGCCTTTTGATGCCAGAAAACTTCATAAACATTTTTGACATGTTCTTTAGACCTTTCTTTGGGAGTTCTTTAACTGGAGCCTTTGTTTCCTCTTTTTTGCCTTTTTTCTTTTTCGCATCAATATCAGATTTTCCTCCTTTCTGGTGACGATCATCCTTAGATTTCTTTTTAGATTTACTGTGCGCCACTTCATCTTCATCGCCGTCCTCCTCATCATCATAGTCTTCATCATCCTCATCAGAGTAGTCGTCTCTAGATTTCCCACGTTTCTTGTCTTTGTCTCCTTTACCGCCTCGACCTTTTCTCCTTCTGTCATCCTCCTCATCCTCCTCATCCTCGTCTTCACTAAACTCTTCATCCTCTTCTTCATCACTCAGATCCTCCTCTTCCTCCTCAGACTCTACTTTTTTACCTTTCCCCTTGTCTTTTCCTTTTTTACCATCATCTTTTCCTTTGGATGGCTCTTCTTTTCCCTTCTTACCACCTTTCTTATCATCTTTTCCACCCTTCTTGTCATCCTTTCCAGCTTTTTTGTCATCTTTTCCTCCCTTTTTGTCATCCTTAGCTTTTTTTTCATCCTCTTTCTTTTTTTCCGGTTCCGGTTTTCCACTTTTCTTGGTGTCCTTTTTATTGTCTTTCTTGCCAGGCATTTTGAGCAGTTGCTGGAATTACACCATGACCCTAGTAGTATATTCAGTGATGCTGACCTTAAAACAAAAAGAAAGAAAAAAGTGAAATTAGGTCTGCAAAGCCACAACGATAGCCACTGATGCACAAATAAAATCTTATCTTTAACAAACCTTTAAAGTATTTTTTGTTTTAGATGTGACTGTATGATTTTGCACTTGGACTTTGTGAGGGTTCAACATTAGTTTGAGAAGAAATCCACCTGTTCTTATGAGCTCCACACTGTTCAAATCTAGTCCCCATGAAGTCACCTGTGGGGATACAAAAGAGCTCATACTTGCAGTCTTTAAAAACACATTTCTTGTAAAACCACTAAAATCTAGATTTATTCAAGCATCTCACTTTCTTCAAAGGGGGTTGAAGAGGGTAGAACTGAACAACAATATTTAATACTGTATAAGTTTTAATTGGGCCTTTCCTTTTTTCATTTTTTCTTACATTGTGTTTTAGGTGGAGGTGGAATTGTTGACACCCTCTAGAGTATTGTCAAGTTTTTTTTAGAACCTATATGGATTTTTTCCCAAGTTAAATTTCTTCATAAAACTTGTTTTGTTAATTTTTACTAAATTGGTTGTAGCGGTAATACAAATTCCAAAGAAAACAAAGTATTCCAGAAACAAGATAATAATAAGTAAAATTTTTACAGGTTGTTTATACCTCCATCTTCAAAAAACAAGAAGAAACTTGGTAAGGGAACTTGGTAACCTCACCCATGATTATTTTTCAGTAAAAATAGACGAGAATTCATTTAACAGAAAAATCACATTGGTAAGACAGTAGGTAACATATTTTCCTGCTCTTCTATTAAAATTAACTGCTCAGCAGCCTCTGTCACATTAAAAAAATATATTTCCTATAGAAATTACTTTCAGGTACTGGTTATGTGTGACGAATAATCTCCCACCAGTTATTTACATGGATTTAATCACACAAACTACATAAAAGTTTTTCATGATTAAACCCATGGACTTGAATTAAAGTTGAAGTGAAAAACCACCAGGGGATAAATACAACAGCTATGAAAGACATATAGAAAGACAAGAGAACTATCAAACAAGGGCTTAGAAACCAAGTATACTGAAAATATGGCAATAATTTGTCCAACGTTTCTCCAAATGTAACAAATTCAATTCATCATTACTTTTTTTTTTTTTTATTCTGTTCCTTAAGCTCCCTCTCACATTTTTTTTCTTTTTAATTATCTTATTTTTATGTTATTAAATGTTTATTTATTAATCTATTTATATATTTATTTTTCCTCCTATACTGCTCAAACGAAATGCCCCTGGTGCGATTTATTATAGTGGTTTAAGTCAAAGTCTAAGTCTTAGAACTTAAAAAAACCAAGACATTACAGCTTTAGTTCCAAGTTCCAAGTGAATTTTGCCAAATGTAAAAATGAAATACAACATTTTAAATTATTAGTTTTACCTTCTCAGTGGTCAGATGTGTAGCCAATATCAAGTTCCTGTGACAATGTTGACAATTTTAGCATCCAATTGTTGTCTTTCTCCTTGTTGAAAGACAATCAGAATTGAAGAAGACCTGACTTGGTTGTGGTCAGGCTCTAAAGTCTTCAAGTAAGGTGGCTCCTGATATGATCACAAGTCTCTTCTTTATTGATCCAGAAAGAAGAACGCAGAAAATAATAATTTCAGATAGCAATGTGTGTCTTCCTCTGACTTTACATGTCCTTCACTAATACCTGCAACACATTTCCTCACTCAAATCAGCATCCTGTGCAGAATGTGATATCAAATGTGTGCAAGTAAGAGAGACAGGAGATGAGTTGCATTTGTCTGTGTGCACTTATGTGCAAGCATCTGTGTGGTTATGTGTGTGTGTGTGTTTGGACAGTTCCTTGTTCCCGGTCATGGAAGGAGCCTTAATTTGTCATCTGGCTCTGCAGTTGAAACTTGAGATATCTGAGTGGCTGAGGGGGCGGGGCATAAATAATACAAAACGTCCGGACAGAAGATAAGCATGATTAGCTTATCCTCTGAACGGCAGAAGATTACCTTGATTAGTATTAACATGATGTCAAATCTACAAATACCAAGTAATCATTAAACTCAGGTTTTAATGTATATATATACTTTCTGCATTTAAATCAAACAGAAACAAGCTACTGTATGCCTCAACTGCTAACCTATTTCTACATGTGTTAAGACAGGAAATGGGGAAAAGCTGGGAGTTGTTAAAGATATGACGTCTTCCCTCTAAGGTATCAGTAACTCAAGAATGACTCTCACAAACTTACAGAGGTCCAGCAAGTAAAGGATCAGTAACAGGGCTGTGATTATTAGTGCCATCAACCAAATTATCCCTCTTCCCAAGAGAAGGGGTCAGATTGCCAGATCTGTCCAACTACAGGGTACAGGTGTAAGGTTGCCAGATCTGGATCTTTCAGAATGCTTGTCTATCTAATTATTACAAACCATGTAGTCCATGTTAATGCATGTTTGCACAAGGTTTCACAAAGACACTTTAAAAAAAGCTTGATTCTTTCTATGCACAATACTTTTTTTTCCTTATCCCACAGTTTGTCTTGCAGCTCATGTGGCTGTTAGAATAAAAGAAAAAAAAAACTTTAAATGTAGGCAGCCAGTTTTCCACCTTCCCAAAGCAATTGGTGCTGGCAGGTGGTCCTCCATCTTTTGATAGAATTTGTAAAGAGGAAACAGCATAGAGACACCAGAATACATGCCTGGGAGAACAAAGTAGAATTACAACAGAGGTGCACATGATGAGCCTCATCAAAAGCATTCAGGTCCTGAGGGGAAGCAAGAGATCATCTCTGTCAGTTAACACACAATTTGCCCCCCCACACACTACCACCACCACACACATGTACGCACACACGCACACACGCACACACGCACTCATACACACACACACAAACACCCACAAACACACACACACACACACACACACACACACACACATAGCAATCTGCTGCTATCTAGTGGAACAGATCAACACCTGCAGCGCTCTTATTTCGGAGTTAATCTGAGCTGATTGAGTTAGTGGTTCTCAACCTTCTTTTGTAGCAAAATGTCATGATGTTTACAAATGGACATGGATAGTGTCAGTATCTCAGATGATACTATAGGAACAGGAGAGAGATATTTGTATCTTCCAACATAGTTTAGTTAAAAAGCATAATAATAATAATAATAAAAAACATCTTTATTCTTCATAGCAACTTTTACATGCTGTTTGTTAGCCCATCCCTAAAGCAGCAGTAGGTTTCCACTGTGCAGCATCCACTGTAAGCTTTCTGGGGCTAAAGGTCTGGCACAGTCTGGGGCATTAACTATGCATCAAGTTTGCACTCAAATATGAAGTGTGATTTATTGAGAGTTTGGAGCTAAAGACTATTAGATTGAATTTGGTGTTATTACAGATCCAAGTTCCAAAGAGCTTTAAAGAAATGCATATGCAACCATAATCCTTGTTCAGATTTATTGTCACCCACTTCATTTTTAACTGAGACCTATAAAAACTTTAGCACATTATGCAATGATTATTGTGTTTATTACCTCTTAATTACAATTAATACATGCATATTTGCATGAGGAAGTGGGGCAGTTGCTGTCTGGAAAGGCCGTAAGATTGCAGGCTGAAAAACTCAGGCTGTCACTGAGGGTTCCTTGAGGACTGGAAGATACTTCACCCCAGAAACTCCCCAGACACTATTCAGTGTGGCAGCCTACTGCTCCCTAAAGGATGGGTCACATGCAGAGAAAAACAAAATATTTCAAACTTCCTTATTTTGCAACTAAGTATACTAAATCTTTCTTGAGGCAAATGACACGTATACCACAGTTTCGGATGAGTTAAACCCGACCAGCAGCAAGTTTTCAGTACAGCATGCACAATTGGACATAATAATTCAAATATAAAAAGTTTACTTTGATCCTGTTTCGCATGTGGTGTAAAATTAATGTGAATGCACCACTTATGAGGATATCTAAAACAAAAAGATGGCCTTGATCAATACTTTTTCTTTTGTAAACATTCACCTTGTAGGGCAGAGGATCAGGGGCGGAGCTAGATGGGGGGCAGGGTTGGCCATGGATGTGTCTACAGAAATGTATTTACACCTGAGATAAGCCAGAATAATCATCCTTACCTTAAGACATGCTATGTTATGTGACAATTGGCTGCTGTGCAAACTAAAAGCTTTTTTTACTCTGGCCATGGCCATCCTAAGCTAATCACTGGCCAACCCTACCATTCATTTCCCTCTAATACAGATGGGGGCAGCAGTGATACTCTCATGTGGAATATTCAAAAAAAATTTCATATATTAACAATAACTTTACAACAAAAACACTGGTTAATTATGCACATCAATATACTAACATTAAAGATGATCAGGACTGAATGCATGCTCTTCAGAAATAGATTTTGTGTTTCATGGGGTAAAGAGAAAATGTCTCTGCAAGTCACTTAGTAGTCTTCAGTGAAATCATAGATAAATAACTGTTTTAATAAAAACTTATTAAATAATCAATTTATGTAGATATTAGTACTTGTAAATATCAATTTTATGCAGAATGATTATTGATAAAAGTAGTTAAGTAATGACAATGGAAAAGAAGTTTGCCCCAAACTCAAACCTGAAAGAATTTTATCCAAGATACCTTTTATCTAGAAAGCACGGATGTTTAAATATATGCGTCTATTTTTTAGCTAAGGGTGTGGGAACGTATAGTTTGTCTTTATTTAGAAAATATGGATGTTTTGCTCATAATTTTCCTGTTGGAACAGTGTAGATGAGGTTTTGGTGCCTATCTACTTTCGGCCATCCCTCAGTGTACATTGGTTATTGCCTGGCCACCCTTATAAAAATGTTCTGGCTACGCCTCTGCAGAGACACTGTGAGAACCAACTCTAGAAAGTGCATGCATATCCTATTGTAGGCTCTAAGATCCATGCTCTCCATCACATACCTCTTTTAAGACTTCACGTCACGGGTGCTCCGTAGTCACGTTTCCCCATCCTCTTAGGCTAGAGGTCAAAAAGAAAATGAAGAAGAAAAAAAAAATGAAAGAAAAGTCCTTCTTATATTTTCTTAATCCTAATTGCCCACACTGCTGTATGCATTTATGCTCTTCTAGCTTGAGCTAAAAGCGGCAGGGGTCGGTCTGCAGGGAGGAGAAGTGTGCCACCGGGAACAGAGGATGAATATTTAACGATGGCTATTCTTCAGCGAACGGGCAGGGGGCTTGAGTTCCACGCACACTAGTGAGAGCTGATGAGCTCCGTGGGTGGGCAGTGTCGCTCATAAACATGGCAAGATACACTTATATATATGCACACATTGATCTTGAAGGAAGAGAGGGAGTAGAAAAATAAAAGCTAAATAATTTCTAACGGGCTATTGCACAGGATGGGGGGTTCTTTCTAGCAGCAACCGGCCTTATTTGCACCTTTCCTGCAAACATTTCCTCTCATCTGGACTGAACAAGGTGGGGAAGTGTGTCATGGGATGGCTCAACAGAGGCGTAGCCAGAACATTTTTTTAAGGGTGGCCAGGCAATAACCAATGTACAATGAGGGGTGGCTGAAAGTTGATAGGCGCCAGAACCTCAGTGTCAATCTACACTGTTCCAACAGGACAATTAATGAGCGAAACATCCATATGTTCTTAATAGAGACAAAGTATACTTTCCTATAACCTTTGCTAACAAATAGACGCATTTTATATTTAGACATCTGTGCTTTGTAGATAAAAGGTATAGTGGATAAAATTCTTTCAGGTTTGAGTTCTGGGGCAGACATCTTTTCCATTTTCATTACTTACCTACATTTACCAATAATCATTTTGCATAAAATTGATATATATATATATTTTTTATATTAAAATAGTTATTTTTTATGATTTCACTGAAGACTCCTAGATGACCTGCAGAGGCACATTATTTTCTCTGCACCCCATATAACTCAAAATCTAGTTCTGAAAAGGGCGTGAATTCTGTACTTATCATCTGTAATGTTAGTATATTGATGTGCATAATCAACCACAGTCTTATTGTTGTCAGGTAATTGTTACTACATGAACAATATAGATGTTTTCAATATTCCACTTGAGAGTATTACTGCTGCTACCATCTCTATTAGATGGGAAAAAATGGTGGGGGTGGCCAATGATTGGCTAAGGGTGCCATGGCCCCCCATCTAGCTTCGCCCCTGTGGCTCAAGGGGGAAATGTAGCCAGATGAAGGTGAGAGTTGCAACCATAAAAATAATAAATAAAATGGGAATACAAACACGACAGTGTCTCTAAATGAGCAATCCTGATGTTGCCCGCCAGATGGACCCGCTTGACAACAAACTGCGGAGGCAGCGCCACTAACTGCTGCCGGTTTCAAGCCGTAACCCAGACGACCTTGCCGTCTCCCGGCATCACCAGCTGGCCGTCAGAATCAAAACATTCCTTGGCTTTGATTTCATATCTACTGGGGCCGAGCAGCAGCACTCGAACCTGTTCCTTTTTTTAAAAGAAATACTAAAGCAACAAGCCCGTGGCTACGTACGGGTTATTTTTAGAGCTGTTGCTGCAACAGTGACTTACACACTATAGATCCGATCATTTATTCGTGCTTAACGCAGCCTACAGGAGATGAATGCCTTCCTGCTGCAGTTGGCAGACAAACAACTTCCCCAGCAGTCTCGGTCAGTGCAGACAGCTGCCAGGTCTCAGCTTGGTATTTCTTAATCTAGTTTTGCCTTGCCCTCTTCTCTGAGCCCTCTAAGCAGACATAAAAAATATAAATTTATACCGCTAAAAAAAAGGACTACATCTTAGATGTTGAAG